CCTTCTGCTGCTGGCCCAATAGAGCAACCTACTTGCCCAGTTTGTCTTGGTAAATTCTTAACCTGAATTATTGAAATTTATGGAGAAATATGGCTTAGTCTAGCTCTAGAAAGTGTAAACATAGGTATTGATATTAAGATTGACAGTATCTCTCTATGTTTGGTTTCAGTATAATAATATATGCTCATGTTTCAGAGAGATTGGACCAAGACACAGGTGGCATTCTCACAACCATGTGCAATCATTCCTTCCATTGCTCATGTATTTCTAATTGGCCAGATTCTTCTTGTCCAGTAAGATTCTTTTTATCATTTTCATGCTCTTTTAAAATTTTATTCAATTTTTCTTTACAGATCTTTATGGGTGTTGGTTTTTATTTTCAGGTTTGTCGATATTGCCAACAGCAACCTGAAAATTCAGTATGTTGTATTTGCCAAACAACGGAAAATCTCTGGATGTGTGTTATCTGTGGGGTTGTTGGCTGCGGAAGGTATGGACTCCATTTCCTGAAATCAGCATAGAGACATGTCTCCTTCTCATCTGTCCCAGGTTAACCATTTCGCTTTGTTAAATACTTACCGTAGGTACAAGGAAGGACATGCCAGAAGGCACTGGGAGGAGACAGATCATTGTTATTCACTTGAGCTTGAAACACAACGTGTTTGGGATTATGCTGGTGACAATTATGTTCACCGGCTTATTCAATCCAAAACTGATGGCAAGCTAGTGGAGCTGAATTCTCATGGTAGGCTGAGCAAGGATGGTTGTGGAAGCTGTGAATATTCTGACAGTGGAATGACTGATGCTCTCCTGAACAGCAAAGTGGACATGGTAGTGCTTTATGTTTCATGTTTTCATAATCCTCGTGTTCAATTTTTGTATTCTTAAGTTAATTTAGTGCCTCGTCATTTTTCTTTTTCAAACCACAGATCATTAGTGAGTACAACGAACTTCTCCAGGCACAACTAGAGAATCAAAAACAAGTAAGCACCTATCATGTTCGCCTTTTGTTGTCTCGATAACTACCAGTCTCTGGAAGTTTTCATTGTCTGCTTCACGTTATTTAAGTGTTAATTCTGTCTACCAAAGGGATTAAGATTTTCTTTTTTGATTTTCTATCATTTCCTCGCCCATTAGTATTTTGAAAAGTTGCTACAAAATGTTAAAGAGGAAACGGAACAGAAAGTCTCAGAAGCTGGGAGCAAGGCAATAAGCCAGAGACTGCAGAAGCTGCAGACCAGGTTTGACAGATGTTTAAAAGAGAAGCAATTTCTTGAAGATGTGAGTATCTAGCTTTCATTTTGAAAGTTTTTCTTGATGGCATATTTACAAAGCAACATCTAATTACATTTCTGTAGAGTATTGACTTGTTGTTTTCTCATGCGTAGTTGAACGAAAATCTTGTGAAAAATAAGGACGTATGGAACACCAAGATTACAGAAATGGAGGAAAGGTAAATCATCTCCTTATGGGAAATTGTGCTTATTCTAGCTTGTGAAACCAGGCTCCATTTTTCATTAATGGAAACTTCCCTTTGATTTAGGGAGAAGAAGGCAGTTCGGGTAAAGGATGAAAAGATTCAGGGCTTAGAAGAACAGGTAAAGAAACATCTATAGACAATACAAGCCCCCGCGTTATTTGGTTATATACACCTATTAAATCTGTTATTCACACTCTCAGCTTGGAAAACTAATGGCCCAAATGGATGGTGAGAGTGAAGTCTCAGAGACGAAAGAGGTCCAGGACGCCACTGTCTTGCCCTTGTCGACCACCAATAACTCTTCTTCTGGGTCAGGGAATGTTATACATGCAAATAAAAAGAAAAGTAACAGAAGAAAGGGTTAGATCAAGATTCAGGCTCCAATTTTTAGAACCAAATCTCGCTTAGGCTAGTAGACTAAAGTTGAAGCAATCTGACTGCTGTGAATATCTAGATCTAACTCTTCATTCGTGTTATGATGTGTGCAGCGCCTTGTGGCAAAAAAAATTTTTTGGCCCATTATTAATAAAAACAAAGTTTTTCTTACTAAAGCTGTTGACATATTTAGGCCTTTTAAATTTATATTTTTTAAATAAAAATTAGGCATTATGAAATATAATTCTCATATTAGTGACAATTTTTTAAACAAGAAAGAAAGTTTTAGAAAATATAAAATAAGACAAAAATAGTAATATTTTAGGGATCACAAATATCATTATTATTTTTAAAAATGAGTTTCAGCGTTAACTCTATATTACGTGAAAACATGTCAAACTTCGAACACCAAAGCTTACGGACCAACTAAGGACGGGATGTCTATGCGCGGTTAGTTTTCAACGTTTTTAAAATTAAACACTTAAACTAATTTTTAAAATGTAATAGTGAAATTAACATGATTTTTATTAAAAATGATTAATTATGTTTAAAAAATTTAAGTGTTAAATTTGTTTTAAATTTTAGTGAAAATCATTATTTTTAAAAAAAATGAGTTGAAATGTTAAATCTATATTACGTGAAAACATCCCGAACTTCGAACACCAAAGCTTATGGACCAACTAAGGACAGGATGCCTATGCGCAGTTAGTTTTCGATGTTTTTAATATTTAACATTTAAACTTATTTTTAAAAAGTAATAATGAAATTAACAAGGTTTTAGTTATTAATTGTTTTCTTAAAATTTAAATGTTTAATTTGTTTTAAATTTTAGTTAAAATCAGTATTACTTTTTTTAAATGAGTTTAAATGTTAAATCTATATTACGTGAAAACATCCCAAACTTCGAACACCAAAACTTACGGACCAACTAAGGACAGGATGCCTAGGCGCGGTTAGTTTTCGACGTTTTTAAAATTGAACACTTAAACTAATTTTTAAAAAAGTAATAGTGAAATTAACATGGTTTTAGTTATTAATTGTTTTCTTAAAGTTTAAGTGTTTAATTTGTTTTAAATTTTAGTAAAAATCATTATTATTTTTTAAAAATGAGTTTAAGTGTTAAATCTATATTACGTGAAAACATACCAAACTTCGAACAACAAAGCTTACGGACCAATTAAAGACAGAATACCTAGGCGCGGTTAGTTTTCGACGTTTTTAAAATTGAACTCTTAAACTAATTTTTAAAAAGTAATAATGAAATTAACATGGTTTTAGTTAAAAATATTATTTTCTTTAAGTTGAAGTGTTAAATTTTAGTGAAAATCATTGTTATTTTTAAAAATGATTTGAAGTGTTAAATTTTAGTGAAAATCATTATTATTTTTTAAAAATGAGTTCAAGTGTTAAATCTATATTACGTGAAAACATTGCCGAACTTCGAACACCAAAACTTACGGACCAATTAAGGACAGGATGCCTAGGCGCGGTTAGTTTTAGACGTTTTTAAAATTGAACACTTAAAATTATTTTTAAAAAATAATAGTGAAATTAAAATGGTTTTAGTTAAAAATTATTAATTATTTTCCTAAAGTTTAAAGGTTAAAGTTTTTTAAAAATTTTAGTCAAAATCATTATTATTTTTTCATTGAAAAAATCAATTATTAAAAGGAAAAAAAGTAAATTAAGAAAGCAGCAATACCTCGAGCAGCTTGTGTGATATGGACGAAAAACAAACCGGGACAGCTAAACGTGTTGGCTGGTACAAGCAAAAATTCGGCCTCCTTGAGCCTATCCAGCTTCTTTTAGGTACTACAACATATTAAAAAGATTGCACATATGTCAGCAAGTGACTATTACCATATCCAAATTCACAACCTTTAAAATTTAAATCCTCCTAACAAAATATTGCCTATTGGTCTAAGAAGCCTGAAATTAGAAAAGCAAAAAGAAACAAATAAAACAAGGACAAAGAAGAGAGAAGAAACCTGAGGATGATGGTGGTAGCGAGAATCTCCACCAAAAAGAGAATCTCAGTTGTGTAACTTGTACACTAGTACTGGCAATCTCTGTCTTTGCTTCTCTATATTCGCTTACCCATAACTACAAATTCCGAACCCTAAGTTATAAATCAACCGCATAACAAGTACCAGCAACAATAAAGAGAGAAGAAGCTGTTATACCTAGAAGAAGAAGAAGAAGATGCGAGATTGTTGGACTATATATGCCTCCTTCGAAACGATGGAGGTTTCTCATCAGTCCGTGGTTTCCAAAACGCCATCTTTTTCGCCCAAGAGCTTTTTGGCTTCTTCGGTTTATGTATCGGCTCTTTCTCTCTTATTCAAAGTCTACATGGATCATCGGCGAGCCTCTCTCTCTCTGTATGAGAATTGCATAAAGAACAAGATGAGTTTTTTCTTCTCTGGTTTTGGTTTCGAAGAAGAAGAAAAGAGAATGAGTGATGATGTTGGAGATTGATTAGCCTTCACTTGAGTATTTATAGGCAAAACGTTCTTCGAATTAAAAAAAAAAAGGAAACTTTCGATTGTTTCTTTTTTTTTCTTTGACGGTTGTTTCTTTTTATTATTTGGGGTTGAGAAAGAAAAAAAAATGGACCTCTTAGAACGTTCGAGAGATCTGGACCGTTTATTGAGATCGGACGGTGATAATCTAATCTTAACGGTAAGATTATGTGGGACCGGGACGATCTATCTATTATACCTCTCTCTCTCTCGTTCCAAACAAACACATGTTAATTATGGAGAAGGAAAGAAGAGATGGAGATGATGATTCTGAACCAATTCTCAAGAAACTGTTTAGAATGGACATGATGATGTTGGTGTTGGAATCAGACCTTGATTAATACTCAAGCTTCATGAGAGTTTGTGAAGAAAGCAGAGGAGTGTGTCTTTGGTGAAGAAGAAGCGTCGAGAAGAAAGAAGAAGAAGAAGACTTTTGTTGTTTAAATTAGACACAAGTGTTAAAGGACCTTGTTGGGCCATAAGACTAATCACGTGACCTTTATTTATAGACCACAAAATCGAGAAAAACTATTGGGCCTTTTTAAAACTCGAAAGGCCCATTGAGCTACAAAAATTAGAGAGAACTAAAAAAGATTCTTCTATCTCCCGTCGTTAGTCCTTATCCGACGCCGAATCGGGGGAATTAAATAAAAACGATCGTTTGATCTTTGAAGAGTTTAAAGGAAAGTCAAACCGTCTCTACTTTTCCGAAATTCTTCTGATCAACGGTGAGATCTTTTTTTTCTCTGATATCGTGTGTATCTGTAATCGATGAATCATCAATGATGTGAATTTTTTGTTTATCTAGAGTTCTTGATTGATTGATTGATTATTCATTATGTTCGGTCAAGAAATCTAAATATCTGCTTTTGGGAATTAATTGACAAAATTTGGACATCTCTGATGCGTTTATTTAATTCCTAATCTTATTATTATTTTGTTACTGGGAACTTTTGGTTTTCTTCATGATCTCTGTGTTCCGTTGAAGCTCTGTTTTGTGGTGTTTCAAGGTTTATCTGTAATTTATTATGAGAAGGATATTATTAATCTTACTAATTGACATGTTTGGCTTTGATCTTTTTTGTTCACAGATAGACACACCCACACACACAATGGATGAATTGCCAGATCATTTGGTTTGGGACATTCTCAATAAGCTTCATACTACCAATGACAGAAACTCGGTTTCACTATCATGCAGGCGTTTCTATTCACTAGACAACGACCAAAGATACTCTCTTCGGATCGGTTGCGGTTTAGTTCCTGCAACCGATGCATTGCTTTCTCTCTGCAGGAGGTTTCCAAATCTATCCAAAGTAGAGATCATATACTCAGGTTGGATGTCAAAACTTGGCAAACAACTTGACGATCAAGGCCTTCTTGTCCTCACCACAAACTGCCATTCTCTCACTGATCTCACTCTTAGCTACTGCACCTTCATCACCGATGTTGGCATTGGCCATTTGTCATCGTGTCTAGAGCTTTCTTCGTTGAAGTTAAATTTCGCTCCCAGGATCACTGGTTGTGGTGTCTTGTCACTTGCTGTAGGATGCAAGAAACTCAGGAGACTTCACCTCATTCGATGCCTAAACGTTGCAAGTGTAGAGTGGTTGGAGTATTTCGGAAAGCTTGAGACTTTAGAAGAACTCTGCATCAAGAACTGCAGAGCCATTGGGGAAGGTGATTTGATCAAGCTGAGGAATAGCTGGCGAAAGCTGACAAGTCTGCAGTTTGAGGTTGATGCCAATTACAGGTACATGAAGGTTTATGATCAGTTGGATGTGGAACGGTGGCCGAAACAGTTGGTTCCTTGTGATAGTCTGGTGGAGCTCAGCCTTGGTAACTGCATCATAGCTCCCGGTAGAGGGCTCGCTTGTGTACTGAGAAATTGCAAGAACCTGGAGAAGCTTCATCTGGATATGTGTACCGGTGTCAGCGACTCAGACATCATAGCATTGGTTCAGAAAGCTAAACACCTCAGAAGCATCTCGCTCCGTGTCCCATCCGATTTCACTCTGCCGCTCTTAAACAACATTACCCTAAGATTAACCGATGAAAGCCTCAGCGCCGTAGCTCAACACTGCTCAAAGCTCGAATCTTTCAAGATCTCTTTCTCAGACGGTGAATTCCCTTCCCTCTTCTCTTTCACCCTCCAGGGGATAATCAATCTGATCCAGAAATGCCCAGTACGCGAGCTTTCTCTTGACCATGTGTGTGTTTTCAACGACATGGGGATGGAGGCTCTGTGTTCAGCTCAGAATCTAGAGATCTTAGAGCTTGTCCATTGCCAGGAAGTGAGTGATGAGGGGTTAATTCTTGTGAGCCAGTTTCCTTCTCTCAGTGTGTTGAAACTATCAAAATGTCTGGGAGTCACAGACGATGGAATGAGACCACTTGTTGGATCTCACAAGCTGGAGTTGCTTGTGGTGGAAGATTGTCCTCAGGTTTCAAGAAGAGGTGTTCATGGTGCTGCAACGTCTGTATCTTTTAAGCAAGATTTGTCATGGATGTACTGAGATCGCATTATTATTATCTTCCCGTGTACACATACATTTTACTGCTGTGTAAATAATCGGTCTTGGGGTCAGAAATTTACTAATGCCTCATGACGATCAAGTTTAAGATGACGTCAGGCAGGTGTAGTCGTGTAGATAAAAGGTGTGGTGGGCTCTCATGGAATGATGTAATGTTGTTATAACTCTTTGATTTAATGACTGGTTACATAGATATTGCGTCATAATTAATGAAAAATGTTAAAAAGTTTTTGACTGATATCTTTCTAATCCATGAACTAATATCAAAGTCATTCTAAAAGATTTTTTTTTTTGGAGATATTATCCATATTTCGCAACTGTTGTTATTGCCACGTCAAAACGCAAGTAGTACTTGTTTGGTCAGTTTAAAGATCCTCTGTCCAACTGGACTAAGTGACTAACTTCATATGACATTTTAAAGATCTTCTGTCGGTAATATAACTTTTACCATCTCAACCCCAAACTGTTTACATCTTCCCAAAGGCCAAAAGTATTCATTTCTAAGGTCAATTTCTTGAGGTCAAATTTTATGATTGTTTGTCTACTAAGACCACAATTTGAAACCTGTAATTTTAAATCCTTGTCAAACAGATTTTTAAAATAGTCAACTATGCAGTGACGTTTTATTCTAGCAAGTACACATATCATCTAATAGCTTATTATAATGATTCCTTTTATATTTGCTAATTTTTTAGGTTAAGAAGTAGTAGAAGCGAAAGTGTAAATCACACAATCGTGTCTGCTGACGCCAGCATAAGTCCAATGAAGAGATTACGTAATCAAAACGGATGTCAATTCGACCAAGTCAAATCGTTTGGACTACAGACTACGATTTGCCGTTTGATTTAATGGGCCTATTTCTTTGTCAAGGCCCATCTCATACCGTATTATGCAAGTTGTCATATACTGTACATCTTGGCAAGATGTAAGTCAGTATGAATTTATGAAAATTGACGACAACAATAATCCTAGTTTTGAAGAAAATGAAAATCATCTCAGATACACATACAATTATTATGATGACTAGTTCTACTTAGGATCAAAATTCTATAATCATTTCCTTGTTCTTGCATGACCAATGTAGTCCATGTCACTTACTTTATTCCAAGATTTGATAAATATCAATCACATGTTTGAAAAATAAATAAAGGGAAGATTAAAATTTAAGAGTTTGTCTACCTCCATTGGAAACAAAAGGTACAAACTTTGTCTTGGCACTGTGAAGGACAGATGCGCATAAATGTAAAAGATTTTACTGTCTCATCGAAATTGACAGCAGTATCTTTTAATTATCATCCCACTAAACCAAAATACTTTTACCATAATCTTTTTATAGTCGTATTAATTAGGGAAAACAAAAGAAACTTTTCAAATGAATTTTACCTTTATTAATTAGAACACTCTTTATTTATCCCGATTATAAAATGGTAGCGAACCTAACATTTTGCATAGAAGAAGTTTCTCACCTTTATAAAAGAAAGATGGAAAACACCGTTGATGGTCACCGTCTCCAATATTCCGTTCCGTTAAGCTCCATGCATGAAACCCGTCAAAGCTTCGAAACTTACGGGTTATCCAAAGAGACGCCGTTAGTCTGCATGCCCTTCTTCGAAACCAACACTTCGTTTTCTAATGTGTTGTCAACGAAAATACCCTTTAACGGAGCCACTAGTTCATTCGATATCTCTTCTCTTTTCTCTTCTAACCCAAAATCAGAACCCGAAAACACGCCTAGGGTCATTGACGATTCCATCGCCGCCGTGGTAGGCGAAAATGTTCTTTTCGGTGATAACAACAAAGTCTCTGATCACTTTCCCACGACGGAGACCAAAGGAGGTGGTGTGTTGCGGGGGCGGAAGATGCCGCAGAAGAACGGAGGATTCATGGGAGTGAGAAAACGACCTTGGGGGAGATGGTCGGCGGAGATAAGAGACAGAATAGGGCGGTGCAGACACTGGTTAGGAACGTTCGACACGGCGGAGGAGGCGGCGCGTGCGTATGACGCGGCGGCGAGAAGGCTTAGAGGGACGAAAGCCAAGACCAACTTCATGATTCCTCCGGCTTTCCCGGAGGAAATAGCTCTGGCTCAGTCGTCTACAGCGGAAGAGAATAGGAGGATGAAGAAGAAGAAAAGGTTGAATGTGAGGAAGTGTGTTAAAGTCACATCGGTTGCACAATTGTTCAGTAATACCAATACCTTAAGTTCTTGTGGTAGTAATGTAAATGTGGTTAGTTCTATTGATAATCTTGAAAAAATGGGTCTAGAGCTTGATTTGAAGTTGAGTTTAGGGTTGTTTAGAAAGTGATAAATCACTTGTAGTTGAGTAGTTCAAGTTGTTTCATTAACATTCTGTTGTTTTTTGTTGTTGTTGTAGTACGTACTTTTGGTTTTGGTTGTTGGTGGAATGAAACAAGAGGCCATAATCTTGGTCTGTTGGACATAAATCGTAACCTACTGATATTATCCGTTTGTTTTACTTTTGAAACATGACTATACATTGGTCTAAAATTAAATGAAACTGACTAAAGTTCCAGTGTCTAAATAAAATATGAATTGTTGGGTCATATAGAGGTAGTTATTAACCTAGGATATAGAAGCTGGGTGCATAAATCATGGGATCAGTAACTTTTTGATAAATAGTGAACTATATAGGTCTTGTTTCTGCAGAAGAACTGGTTATTAGCTACGCTTAGCTGCAACTGAAAGCTACAAAAGTTGAGCAAGTAATACTAATAGGGAACTTCTTTGCACATACACTAACACAGTCATCATATAGACATCTGTGTATCTAAATACGTCAATGTGTGAACCCAAAAGTTATTCACTGATTCGGCCCAAAACTGAGAATCCTATGGGCCATGACTACAAAAATATTGACTAGGTTACTAAACAAAACGTGATTGCATAGGAGAATTCATTCGACACTAAATCCACGTGCCCATGATCCGTATTCTTATGGCTGTTATATGTATCAGCATAAAACCTTGTTTATCATTACGACCACCATGACTTATAAAAAGCCGAATATTTTCGCCATTAAAACGTTTACAGTGGTCAACCGTGATTGTAATTGTAGTAGGAGATTGGATTAATGTGAGTTCTTGAGCCATTAGACCACCATGAGCTGATTTAGTTGACAAGTTTTCCAAGACATTCTATCGGATTTGCCGGTTTGCTTTTCCCAAGTAGGACACGAACTAGGGGGGCTCTAAGACAACACAACCATTTTGGTGGATCCTAGAACTTCGTCACTAGACCAAGTCCAACTCCCACTTGATTAGCTGACAAGGTTTGCTATCAAAAGCATCAATATCGCCCAAGAACATAATATGTCCAGGAGAAAAGGGAGGAAACTCATTCTCCCAGAATTGGTCATCTTCCAACAACAACTCGTTATCATCACATTCTTGGTTCATTATATGGTTTGTGTCTTCGCCTACGATCGTTTCTTGGTGATCAACTAATACGAGTTGATGCATAAGTGATTCAGGCATGACAGCTTCCTTGAATTTCTCGAACTGGATCATCTTGGATCCGTATGTGTTATCATCATTAGGCCGTGAAAAAGCAGCAACTTCACACATGTGTTGTCCCACATAAGTGGTTCTATAAACAGAAGGATTGTCTTTGATCATTTGCACTCGCTTTGTAGCATGACAATTTTGGTCATCCGCATAAGCGCAACGATAGTAACACCTGTGACAATCGCAATAAATGATTATCAATAATTTAGCCTAATCAACCGTGTAGTAGACAAGTGTCCGCCACAAAAACAGAGAAGAAAATTTACTCTGTTTCGTGAGCGTCAGCCATGAACAGAGCAAAGCAGAGCATTTACTCTGTTTTTTTTCTGTTGTACTAAATACTAATTACTAACCTTTGATAGGAAGAAGTTTTGATCTTTTTTTGTCCGTACTTCCTCCAGGCAAAGTTTTCACGGAACGGAGATGGGGAATCATCTCTATAATTCTCTAAACCTTCTTCTCCACAACTCTTTCTGTAACAACAAAACAACTCAAAAGTTAGGCAAATCGACCAAATTTTTATATAGGTTTTAAAGTCGACATGAATTTACACCTTTTATATAGGTCTTCCGGTGACTACAGGTCAAAATCACACGCCTCATCTTCCATCAAAATCTCGTTAATATAGTTCATAACATGGTCGTCTGTGTCTTTATCCTCCATGGTAATTGCTTGGGGATCAATTGATAAAGGTTGAGGCATAACCAATTCAAGCTTAACATGGTCGAATTTGATCATTTTAAAACCGTATGTACCATTGTTAACTGCATAAGCTGAAGCTTCACGTGCATGTTGTCCCACATAAGTGTTTCTGTACACTGGAGGATTGTCTTGGATCTTCTGTACTCGCTTTTTAGCGTTGCAGTTTTGGTCTTTGGCATAGGCACATCGATAGTACCACCTGTAAATTTTACACTTTAATTAGTCATCACTTAAAGTAAGATATATACACACTCTAGAAAATATATAGCTCTGTATTTGTGAGAAGAGAGCAGTATGTCTTTCTAATCTACTTAATTAACTAACCTTTGTTGCGGAGAGGTTTTGATGGTTTTTTGTCCATATTTCCTCCAGACGAAGCCATCAATGTGGCCCGGAGTCGGAGAATCTTCTGTATAATGCTCTACACATTCTAGTCCACAAATCTTTCTGCAATGTTGAATTATAGCAATGACCAGCGTGTATTACTAGCATCGAAAATGATGAAAGACATACGACCAACATAGACCAAATTAAACATGTGTGTTTTCTACTTGATTTAGAGTTGGAAACTCATAAACTTTGTATATAGCATATGCCATGAGAATTGAGATTGTTGTTAATAAATTACTTCTTTGATGATCTTTGAGATACTTGACGTGGTATGTTTTGAGAAGAAGACTCATGGTGCGGTGGAGGATGAGGAGAATCCATAAAAGACAAAGCAAGAGAGAAAGAATCAAGAATGGTGTTGATGAGTGGCTCTGTTGAAACAGAGCTTATTTCATGGTTTTTGAGGAGCGTCTTGAGATTGTTAGCGCATCCTTGGCCAAGGAGGAGTGCTGACTGCTGAGAGAACCTTCGGATCAATCTCAAGAGACATATTTTCTGTTTAGGATAATTCAGATTAATCTGTTATTAGTAATATATATAGAGATCAACAACCGTCTTCTAGAGAAATAAAACATTTGTTTTGTCTTAAAAAAGAAAGAAAGTGGAAAGTCCACAAAAATGTGTAAAGTGTAAACGCAATAAAAATAACTTGGCGCCGTCAACCTTGACATTTGGTAATTCACAAACGTGCGACAAGACGACGTAATTGGAAGGTCTTGTGCGATTGTTAGCCTTCAAACAATCAATAACATTTAACAGATACGGGACATTTCAAAGTAACCAGACTGCTTGAGCTCAAGTCTAACCAAGGAAGGAACCTTCCTTTCACCCAATCCAACAGACTAATTCTATTTTATACCAAAAACCTTTAGTCTCAAATTGCAAGCTAATGTATAATTTACAAAAAAAAAAAAAAAATAAAAAATCTATAGCTAGCTGACAAAAAGCAGGAAATATTGTGATGTTTTGTTTGATACTTTAACTAGTATAGTTGTTTACTAGATTTTTAGGAAAAATCCTACAAAAAAATCTAATGTATTTTTTATTTGAACGTTTAATATCTAAGAATTTTCGGTTGGAATAAAAATATTTCATTTAATTAGATTTAGTTTTAAAAATACTTAGTCTTTGAATTGTTAATAGATTCGAATCCGCAACTTAACAACATTTAACGGCCATATTTAAAAGCGTGATCGTTTTACAAAATATTACTAATATATTGTCTTGGTTTGATGGTAACACATGGGTAGTTTAACCATGAGAGTCCGGGTTCGATTCCACCTCAACTCACCACCTTTTAATATATTTTTCCCTATTTTTTCCTCTTTTTTCGTCTTCTTTACGGGTTCTTCACCTCTGTCATTGGACATAAATCGTAACAAGTAATTGTCTTAGTATATTATCCGTTTGTTTTACTTTTGAAACATGACTATACATTGGTGTAAAATTAATGGAACTGACTAAAGTTCGTGTGTCTATATAAAATATGAATTGTGGGGGCACATAGAGGTAGTTATTAACCTAGGATATAGAAGCTGGGTGCATAAGTCATGGGATCAGAAACTTTTTGATGAATACTGAACTATAGGACTTGTTTCTACAGAAGAACTTAGGAACTGGTAATTATATAGTTTAGCTGAAACTGAAAGCTACAAGATTTGAATAAGGGAACTTTTCTACATATACACTAACACAGTCATACACAGGATGCATGTGTGTGTATGTAACATATATGTGTGTGATCCCAATGATACACTGCCGACAAATTGGATTCACGTCTTTCCAATGCATGTTTCTTGGATACTCTACCAAGCAAAGCCCGTACCTTGCCTCCACAATTTCTATCATTGTTCAATTTTGTGAGTACCTCATTCCCTTTGCTATCCAAACCAAAGCCGAGACAAGTTTGCATTGGATGAATCAGAGCTGCAACAGACCAGCCGACAGGTCTCAGTCATCTATGTGCTCTGATTCCTCACTTGCGGAAGCGCCATCAGCATCTGCAAACTCTGATGTATAGGTTTAGTACCGCCAACTACCACTGTGCCAATTGAAACTCACACAGCTCAGAATCCGCATACTGTAACTCAAGACGGAAACAATTGCGATAGAGACATCATCGAACCAACCATGGAAATTATACAAGGATTTAGATTGAACAACTAGTTCATCAAGTTTCTGTGAAATTTTATTTCTTTTCAATTGTGCAGAGCATTTACCAGTACACTTGAGGCTAATTTAAGACAATATCAAGTATGAAACATTTGTTGTTCTTCAACACCACATCATTTCTCTTACAAGAGCTTCAGTCAAGCGCTGTCAAATTTTGGAACATTATCTCAACCGCACGTTCGATTTCCTCCTCTGATATAACCAACGGAGGAACAATCCTGACGACATTTCCTTTCCCTGCTGTCAAAATCAGAAGACCCGAATCTCGGCAAGCATCGACCAGTGAATTTGCCAGCACATCGAGTTCCACACCTATGATAAGCCCTTCGCCTCTCACTTCCTTCACGTGCGAGTTTCCTCCAAGTTTTTTAACCAACAGGTCTCTAAAGTATCGACCTTTATTTGAGACACTGGACAAGAAAGAGGGCTTCGATACTTTATCAATAACTGCAATGGCTGCACTGCACACAAGAGGGTTGCCTGCAAATGTACTTCCGTGATCTCCGTATTTTATGGTCTCTGCAACCTTTTCAGTCACGAGCACCGCTCCAATAGGTAAACCACCAGCTAAAGGCTTTGCAACCGTCATTATGTCAGGAGTTACACCGAAGGCTTCATAAGCCCACATGAGACCTGTTCGACCCAAACCACATTGAACCTGGGAAATGAACCAGTTGAGGCAAGACCAATTAAGAAACTGCAACAACAGAAACAAAGAAAGAAAAGAAAATTTTGGATGGATTTTGGAGGAAAGGTAGAGTATATTACCTCATCGAAGACGAGAAGAGATCCAGCGGCATCACAAGCAGAGCGCAGAGATTGCAGAAACTCTTTTGTAGCAGAGTAAATCCCGCCTTCTCCTTGAATTGGTTCCACAAAAACTGCAGCTATTTTACCTGAGCGGATAAGGTCTGTGGCTGCTTGAATGTTACCATATTCTAAGAATGTTACACCTGGCATGATGGGTTCGAAAGGAGTTCTGTATTGTTCTTTGCTTGTCAAAGCAAGAGCTCCTAAGGTTCTTCCATGGAAGCTGTTTGTAAAGGCGATGAAACTTGTCGCGACTTCTTTGTCTTCTGGATGGGTAAATCTCTGGAACTTTCTTGAAAACTTGATGGCTGCTTCATTGGCTTCCGTTCCAGAGTTACAAAAGAATACACGGTCTGCAAAAGAACTTGCCACCAAGCGTTTTGCGAGCTCTATCTGCAGAGAAGTTCAAACATTTCAAATTTCAACAATGTATATTAAATATATACACTAAGATTTTACATTGATGTCCACATAATTTCCTAGGACTAAAATTTAACCTGTGTGGCTACTAACTTGTTCTATAATATCATCCTAAAACACTCTCAATGGCTGAAAATAATAAATCAAAGCGAGTGAAACCATCTAAAGAGTGAGATTCAGGCGTAAATTATTTTTGTCAAAATCCAAGTGTAAGTATTAAACCAATATTAACCAGTGAAACAGACAGATAGTCACCAATACATGGATATGCATGTGTGAATGAGCATGATTATTGCTTCAATGCCCGAAAACAGAAGGAAATCAGAAGAACTAACCAATGAAAGAAAATTCTCATAGTAATTTCTATAGAAAAGGCATAGAAACAATCCAATTTGATGAAATCTTAAAGTGCAAGTACTTCTCATAAGATATCCCTATTATAATTAGAAGACTAATCCCACATTTCCTAGCATCTTTCCATAGGCCATAGCTCAATCACACAGAAATAAACAAAAAATTTCAAGCTTTCGCCAGGATCGGATTCTCCAACCATCAACAGAATCAATTACGCAAAATACACTAACGAATATATACCTGAGGGATCGTGTAATAGACATTGCTGACATGGGCAAGAACACCAGCTTGGTCAGTGACAGCTCGAAGCCAATCAGGATCTCCATGGCCAAGAGCATTCACAGCAATTCCAGATGCACAATCCAGATACTCTTTCCCTTCTGGGTCGAACAATTTACAACCTTTCCCACTTGAAAGCACCACTGGAGCTCGCGCGTAGGTACCCACAATAACTTTGGCTTCCTCTTCAATCACCTTCTGGCTCACACTCGCTTTTACCGGCACCGCTTGTTCCCCTGTGTTTGTCAATACGCTCGCTATCCGGCCGCTGAATCCGATCCGGGTTCTGATGATCGGTCGTTCAAATCGACAGCGTAAGAGGCCAATCTCCGACGACGGCGCGCGTGGCAGGGTGATTTGGCCAAGAGACGCCATTTCGTGTGGTTTTTTTGCGTCAGGACTCAGGACAATAAAGAGAGTCGTTAAGACAAAGTAGCTGAGATTAATTCTAGGGTTTTAGCATTTAAGGCCACTGATAATTATAGTAGTATTATTCTAACTTTCTGGAATCTGAATATATTATACTTTTCGTTATTACGATTAAGGACTAATCGATTTGAATAATAAATTAGCAAGTTACAATTTATAACGAAGATAAGATATAAGCAAGTCCATCAATCATATTTGGAACGTGTTACATTGATTATAAATGTCGATGTAAGCCAAGTTGCAATACATTTTACCAGAGATATTAAGAAGGAACAAAAAAACAAAAAAAAAGAGTGCAGCTATTATCTATGTAGATAATTACATCTCATCCTAATAAAATGGGAGAAAGATAAGAATCATTTAGGAGAATGGCAGAGCAAAAATCTTACTACCAGCTAAACAAGAAGATATGTCAGAAAACACTTAACCATAAACTCGAACAACTTCACCTTCAGGCGAATCTTCTTCAGCGTCCACGGGAAATGGGTGAAGGATATATAGGATTAATCTACGTTCTTCATATTCATATAGTTACAGTCATGTTTGTGGGAGGAGGTATAGTGGTATAGTTGTGTAATGGGAAAAACAAAAGAATGATATGCTTATGGCTCGCCCCTTCAGCAGACAACCTCAGGGCTCGGGTCGTTATCTAGAGGCATGTTTAGATCAGGGAGCATGAAGGAGGAACCTTTTTCGAAAGCCTGTTTGCAAGATAAGGCAGATTGTGATTCAGCCTGCAAACATATGAAAATGATATATTTGAGTAACAAAATGTTTATATTCTGTATATATGATTGAATGAGTAAATGTCTAGAAAGATAGATAGAGAGAGAGATGGACTCACCTTCATCTTCTTAAGAGCATTGTTTCTTGCTCTTTGTTGCTCGACCAAATCGCGCATACTTGCCAATTCCTGATTCAAAATTAGGATTAACCAAATCTAAGATTAGAACATGCACTTGATATATAGAGACATAAGGAAAAAGGCTAAATGGAGGTTATACATTTTTCAGGCCGTTACTCTCCTTCAAGAGCATGATCTCTTCTTCTTTAAGCTCAGCCAAAGTCTGTCAACAATCATACATTAATTAGAGAAAAATATGTTTGAGTCGACCAAAATGTATCCGTCCAAATGTAGGAAAAAATAAGATTCCTAGGCATATCTTAGACTATATGCCTAAACAGATTTAAACAAACCATGAGACTGGTAAGAATTGCTCAATGTCTGGGCTAAAACTAGTAATATTATCTTTAACAGTGTCAGTAACTAAAGAAACACTGTCTTTTGTGTTTTTTTTTTTTACCTTTTTCTTTCTTGATCTCTTGAAAAGGGTTGTTGTTGATGTTATTGCACTCGTTTGAGAAATCTGGACATCAAAACAGAAGCAATCACTAATCAGATTATGGCTTAAGACACACAACACCACCAGATAAAGCCAGCTCAATAATCAATAATCACACCAAACTAATACCATAAAAACAATTTAGTTGTATTCTATACCATTTCAATAAAGAAACCACATACATGACACACCTACCATTCCAGAGAGACTTTAGAGGCACGATAAGGTGGGAATAAGAGAATCACTTCATCAGGATATTAACAAATAACAACTAAAACAACGAGATCTTAAAGAAAATTCCAAATCGTATAAAATTCAGAAGAATCTTCTTGGTCAACTACTTATGCCCTTAAAAGAAAAAGAAAAAAAGATTTAGGGGAAAAATTAGAAACACGTGAGTGGAGCGTGACTTGTGAGACTTTAACGCGTGTGTGTTTGGTCGTCACATTCACACGTCATGTTTTTCTTTCTCCTCCAACCCCAAAACCAGTGTCACGTATTCTCCACACCACCACTTGTCCTTATTTCATCCTTTTTATTTTAATTTTTATTCTACCCAAAAATTCCTTTTTGTGGTTTTTCAAATTATAAACCATCAATCAAAGTCAACTTAAAAATCAGAAAACAATCTTAACTAAATTTTGTGAAAAAGGTAAACAGGCTAACTGAACAAGACTGTCACCCATAAAATCTCACGGACGAATCAGAGGACCTAATGCGTTGCAACAACTGAGGACTTTGACCACTACTAGAGAACTGAGAACATACTACTTATTGTCCACTGCGCCACATCTGATAACTGCCCTCCCCACTAAACCCTACCACACACGTACCTAATCCACTCATACTCTAATCTTAAATTCAATTCCACGAAAACGCCTCCCAAATTATAAATAACGCCAGCGATAATCTCTGGCATTGACTTATATACCCTTTATCCTGAGAAGGAGCTAAACTGATGACAAGGGTTAATTTAGTCATTAGCACGGTAATGAATGTTTTTTTTTTCTCTTTAGCATTGAAGTCTACAACGCTGATTTGACCCAGAAGACCTCTCTGCTGCTCTCCCTTGATGTGAGGGCTTTTTGGTCTTTCCGTAAAGCAGCAGGAGAGAGAGAGAGATGACTGAGATGCACAAAAGTGGGAAAACGTGACTCTTTTGTTGCCAAAAGAAAAGAGCAAAAAGCAGGGATCACCGAATTTATCACCTGTTTGAAACTTCAAAAATCTAACAAGTGTTTCCAACGAAGACAACAAAAGAAATCAAGAAAGATAGATTTAGTTTCTTGGAAAAGAAAGAACTAAAACATGAGATTGCCTAAATTGGAGTTGTGTCCACGCTGGGGGTATTTCGGTCAACGAAAAGTCGGTGTACCTACATGATCAGCTTAGGAAGACGATCGTGGATCCTACAATGACCAAAATACCCACAAGCGAACAACTAAAACGTCTCGTCGTGTGGGGAGGCCAAGGGCTTAATCGGTAGTAGATCAGCCCAAACCACAACAAAGACGCTCAAAATCACGATAAAGGAAAAACGTAAAACTATGACAGTGTAAAACGCCGCAACACGAGGGATATATTCGTCACACACACAGAAAACAACACCTACGAGTTACGACCATCGCGGAGTTTCAAATCGGATAAAACCAAAAATCGAGTGAAATGATCGGACAAACCTTAGATCTAAAGGGCTCAAAGGGTTTTACGGCGGCGCTAGACTCCTCAAGGCCTTCCACCGTGGTAGCACCGCCGCCGCTTCCACCGCTGCCGCCTCCGCCGCTAAGAGAGGTGGCACCGCTCCAGGAAAGCGGTGTGGTGGGGCTGGCTCGCGTCTGGTCTCCTTTCTTCGATCTCCGTTGACGCACGCTCCATTTCAGCTTGAGAGGAGACGCGACGACGCTCTTCTTGGGTTCGGAGTGGCGGAGCCGAAGAAGCGCCTCCGCCACCAAGGAATCGTCAGACATGGCCACTCGAATCCAGTTTTCACCGGACATAGTCGGAACTCAGAGAAAAAGAGAGAGAGATGGTGGCGAAAAAGTAGAGAGGAAGAAATCTCTGTGGCAAAGTTAATGGGTGGATTTGTATATATATTGAGTTTTATTGCACAGTTAGATAGATTGGAAAACTCTTTTTTTTTTTTTTAATTTCTTTTCTTGATAAGTGTAGGACCCTCTTGAAGACATACGTGGCATAGATCATTTGTGGCAAGCTTTTTAGTTTTATCGTGTGTTGGAATAGCAATAGGCGAAAAAGGTAGTGTCTGTTTATACACGCGCGACCCCTATTCAAAATTTGGAAATTCCACAATTTAGATGCTATGGGTAACATATGAGTTGGAAAAATAAAATGTCATGCTAGAATAATCAACTACATTACATTATATATACACGGTCTATGTTATATTGTAGAGACTACATATTAGTATTTTCATGTTAATTTATGATTGGACACAAATACGACATTACCTCGCATTCATGACCATATAATTTCTTGATCACGTCAACTCCGTACTTGTGGTCTTCGAGTATGGTAATATATGACTCATACTAGATTTATAACGAAACTTCGTTCGAAGTTAAAAGAGAAAAACTCACAAAGAATTCCTTCCAGACAAAAAGAAAACAACCAAACATTTAGTAGAACATCAAATTGCTTTAGATTAATGGGATTTAAATTGCATGGTAAAGGTAAAATGGGATGATATGGTCTAAGTTGAAACAAAAATAGAAGCATACAAATTAGGGTTTTGAAATGAGTTTTTTTGTAGACACGTATCAGTTGCAATTGGATTTTGTTAGAATACCAATGTGTAAACAACACGTGTCGTAACATAAATGTGTTCGTGCAATACACATTCTTATGTTAAGCGTTGATTGATAATCGTATCAGACGAACACATACGTCTCTCTCTCGAAAAAGTAGTTATCGTTCCGATTGTACGAAAGCAGTCAGCGAACTACCATTTTTCTTTTCGTCGACATGGTAACATATTATTATTATTTCAATTTTCAATCCTCAACTATCTTATCATCTGCCGTAGTAGTTTATAAATCACAGCTCTCTGATTCCGTTTCATTGAAATTATTCAAACGAGATTTGAATATGAAGGAGATGTAACAATTCAAAAGAAAATGCTACTCCCTCCGTATTTTAATAATTGTCGTTTTAGAATTTTTATTTTTTTGAATTAGATGTCGTTTTCAAATTTCAATGCAAAATTTCTTACTTTTTAATGTTTTATGATATCATAAAACATTAAAAAGTAATAAATTTTGCATAGAAATTTGAAAACGACATCCAATTCAAAAAAATAAATTTTCTAAAACGACAATTATTAAAATACGGAGGGAGTACTTTCCTTTTTTTTAGCACCACTGGTTACCAAAAAATCTTATGATATTGTTGTAATCTAATTTAATCTTAGCTACAAAAATTTTAAAGTGCCTCATAAGAACAAAAGCCTAGGGAATCAAACCTTCTGAGCTCACTAACGTAAGATTTACTCATCTCAAGTCTCAGTAGTGATGATGATGATGGTTTTAATTTGACTTTCACTTTTACCGAAAGCACCTAAACCGTGAGCCGTCCCTTCTTTCTAATCCGGTTTACTTAATCACTAGATGATCAATTCCGGTTCTCAGAGAACCGGACTGAGACCATTTCAATTCACTTGAACGGTGGCTCCATCATCATCATCTACCCACCAAAAACCCTAAAAGCTTCCGGAGCCGCCAAGATCTCAGTTTCCATGGCGCTTCATCTCGCCAGACCTAAACAAAGGTTACATTCTAATCCATCTCTCATTCATCTTTTCTCAACCTCCTCCTCATCTCCTCAAGACGGGAACGAATCTAGCGAGCAGCCCTCTCAATCACCGTCTTCTTCATCTTCATCGCCGCCAGATTTCAAAATATCTTCCTACTTCAGTGGTATCAGAAGCAGTCTCAAACAGACTCAGCCTCAGGACGGGAGGAGACAGTTCGTCAGATTCGATGCTAAAGCTCCGAATCCGGCGACGTCGCTCTCCGGCGGCCGAAATCAGGATATCAGGAGGAATCTGAACGAGTTCCGAAGTAGAGCAGTAGCTCCGCCGCCGAGGGATTGGCAGGATATTTACAAACAGAATGTATTACCAAAATCGGATGGGACTCGTAAAATCGAAGGTATTCCATTAACAAACATAAAGGCGAACTTAAGGCAGATGAGACCACAAGCTAACACTGAGAGCAAATGGGCCACTTTATCTGGGTTACAGAACACTATGAAGACGAATTTGAAATTCAATGAAAATCTCCGGTCAAATGTAATCGGAGGAGGAGAAGGATTGCCATATTCAGTGTTTGAAAAGGAATTAGAAGAAGGGCAGAAGAATGAAAATGAGACAGAGGAGATGAAATCAGAGTTTATCAAGAGTTATGATCCAATTGAATTGGGAGAGAAACTAAGATTGTATAGACCAGAGGGAAAGAAAGAACTAGGTTGGTTCTCATTACATGAGCTCAATCAGAGGCTTGTTAAGCTCAGGGCCATGGAAGAGGAACAATTCGAGAGAACGAGGACATCGCATCCCTCCTTCGTCAAGGAATTGAGGTCTGCGTATGAAAATGAAAAGGCTGTAAAAGCTCAGAAATCAGTTCCTTGTAGGTTCCGAGGCCTTCTCATATCCTTTCTTTGTATATATTTGAATGTTTGGTTACAATCTCAAACACTCTGGTAGATGAAGTTGCTTTACTTTGCGCAGTAAAGTGTTGGTTTTTATGCTTGGGGATTGATGTTGTTGATGCTGACTTCTTTGTTGTTAATTTGTTTGCAGTTCAGAATACGGGCATGTGGGCACTTTTAAATGGTACCCCTAAGTATATGCTCGAGCCTCCGAAAGATCAACTAGTTGAAACTGTAAGTCTTTTCCTTCTTACTTACTGAATCCTTTAGCTTGTAGCCGTTTAAGAATTTTTGACATTGATTTTGTTGATGCATGTGTTAAATCATCAAATGCAGTATTTCCACCCGGATAACATGTCATCTGCGGAGAAGATGAAAATCGAGCTTGCAAAGGTCAGAGAAGAGTTCAAGATGTCAGAATCGGATTGTGGTTCTGCACGTGTTCAAGGTATCTTTTCTAATCAATGTTGGCTTTAGCTATTGAAGACGATATTACATTTCCTCTGGCTACATTAAGCCAGCTAATTAGAGGTCATTGCCTTTGTTATTTTTGAGAACAAAATGTCACAAGTGCTGGTTTAGTGATCTCTATGGTTTTTCCTTGTAGTGGCGCAACTGACCACTAAGATCAAACATCTATCCTCGGTTCTACACAAAAAGGTAAACTTTCAATCTTTTTATCTGAAGCTACCAGCTCCGGTTTTCTACTGTAACCTGATCATGCATCCTTATAACCTTAGGACAAGCATTCGCGGAAAGGACTTATAGCAATGGTGCAGAGACGGAAGAAACTGTTGAAGTATATGAGACGAACGGACTGGGATTCTTACTGCCTTTCACTGTCAAAACTCGGCCTTCGTGACAATCCAGATTACAAGTTTTAAAATTTTTGTGCAAGGGACATCATAGAATTGTGATCTCAGTACTCTCTTTTTGTTCTTTTCATTATGGCAAAAGAGATAATGTGGGTCTCTCTCTTATAAAATCATATTGGGGAGGAAAGTTGTTCTACTAGAGTTTATGTATGATTGCAGGCTGTTTAGGCGAAAAGAGAATAAAGCTGTGGGATACTTTCGTTGACATTGTCTTTATTACTTAGAATGTGATCGTAAACTTACTTGTCGAACATATTTTTCTCAATGCATCTATCTTTTACTGCCACTTTATCCTCTTTAACCTTTAGGTTGGTGAATGTTAAACATGAAAAGTGAACACAAACGGTTTAAGTTGTAATGATGTCCGGAACAGTTAACTTGGAACAGAAACTGAGGTGATTCGGAGGAAGAAGGTTCATGGAATCGTCAGTAATCTTTCATCAATGGCTTTTGGCCTCTTACCAAATTAGGATTCAAATTTCAGAAGTCAGCGATGGTTTATGAGTAGAGAGAGTGAACCGTTACTTCAACCCGGTTAACATATAACCGGTATAAAGCAATTGAATTTGAAACGACACTTGAAGAGTTTATTTATTCACTGTTTTATTACATTTTCTTCGACTTCCTCTCCCAAAAGAAGTAAGAAAAGTCACTCATGTCATGGCGTTTCATCTCCTCAGATCAGAGCAAAGGTTCCACTTGAACCCATTTCTGATCCGTATTCTCTCAACGTCCTCATCAAACCTACTCTCTCAATTACCGTCCAACTTCTTTACCAAGAAACCTCTCGTCGACCGGCCTAGGAAATATTCAGGCGATGTTTTTGACCGGTTTGCTATTCGTCCATATCGGAGAGAGAAACCTGTAAGTTTATTCCGTATTAAGTTGTCAAGCCTTTTACTTTGTCAGAGCGATTAGTCTAAAACGAGATCTTCCATAGACTATGTTATAAACTGGCATGTTTTGTTACCATTATGAAATGTGGCATTTTATATATCTGTCGTTAACTATGATATAATATGTACGGAAAAATGGAAAAGTCTGATACTTTGTGCATCATTATAGGATGAAATACAAAGCAGAGTTTCAATAACAGAGCAGCCAAAGGAAGAAAAAAGGAGGAGACCTGGAAGACCCAAGAAGAAACAACTAGTAGAGAAGAAACCACCAATGGACGAAAAGAGAAGCAGAGCTGCAAGTATAGGAAGGAAAACGTTTACTGCTTTGGGTAGCTCTTCACGAAATGCACTCAAGACTCATCCAGATTACATATGCAGTGTGACGCATGCAATGGATGTTCTAAATAGTCTACCTAGAGTGAAGAAGTGGTCGCCTTTATACCGTGCTTCCATGGATCATCTGATGGCTGATGTAGCTCACCGCCAAGCCTTTTTAACATTCTCTGATCCTGAGGATATGATTCGGTACTTGAGGTATAAGACCCGAAAAACGGAAAGAGAATGAAGCTAGATGCCTTTGTGGCTTTTATGCTGGATTTAGGTATTTAGATGATGCTTTGTTTTCATGTTTTTTCACTTTTTGTTGTGACTTTGCTTTGGTTTGCAATCTAGTGCTGGTTTACTACTATCATTGAATAAGAAGATCGCTGAAAATTTGGTAACAAATCAACGCCAGCCTGCCTTTGGCTTGACAATTTTATTACAACGAAAGTGAAAAATATAAACCCAAAGAAAGGTTAACCCCTGTTTCTCCATTCAAACCATTATGCTGATATCTTTTTCTTCACAAATGAATCTGACTTTCTCAGCTCAAATAATCAGTCTAGTCAATGTGTCATCATCTCTTCCATTGGCACGGTATGCTATAGAAAGCAACTCAGAAGAATCCTGGGAGATTACACATCCATGACGCAGCAAGAAGTTCTCGAGTTTTTTAGTTGGAGAAAAACCACATGGCGGTACGATTTTCCTAAGAGATGGATTCGCAAAAACCATCCAAGTGAACATTTTATTATCAGCTTCACAATACTTAAGGTTTATCTCTCTTAAGCGTATGCAACTCTGCACAACTTTCTTCACCCCTCTTGAACTCACATTCAAGCATCCTTGCAGATCAAGATGCAACAACCCTCTACATCTTTTGCTGATCATATCCAAGGCTTCGTCATCGATCCAAGTTCCACATGCTCGCAAAGACTCCAACTTTGGAAGCTCAAAGTCTACTACACCAAGACTCCTTATGCCAGTGCATCTGCTGATATCCAGAGATCTTAGCTCACCACAATTCCTCCAAACTTCAAGAATCCCATCTCTCGTGATGCCAGGACACTGAGCCACGTCAAGACTTTCTAAAAAAGGGCAATGCCGTGATATTTTCTTGAGACACTCATCGCGCAAATTGTGGTTTCTAGATAAGTACAAAAACTTGATCCCTGACTTGATATCCAGTTCCTTGGAATATTCTTCGACTCCAAAGTTCGTCCCTACCATTATCATGCACCTCAGGGAAACACATCTTTCAATGATACTAAAGAATGCTAGACCAGTTAGCTTGGAACAGAAACTAAGGTTCAAAAAGGTTAAACTCCGAAAGAACATCCCTAATTCCATAACCATCTCATCAGAGAGGAAATTTGCTCCTTTAAGGTTCAAGTGAACTAGTGTTTGGTACTTAGCCAGCAGATACAAGATCCCATCAAAAGTAAAACCATGGCAATCGGAGAGAAGAAGCTTCTTTAGAGGTAACTTGGCATCAGCAATCAAACAAAGCAACTCATCGGATAGAAATGAATCCGAAAGATCAAGCTCAGTCAAACAACGAGCAAACAAGAAAGCATCGCTTGATAAAGACTCCCTCGGCCTCAATCCGATTCCGTTGATCGCTAGAGACTCCAAGTTCCGCGAATTGCGCAGAACGAATTTGATGCAATCCGACGAAATGAAATCGCAGTCACGGAAGATTATCTCTCTCAAGAGAACACAATTCTGCGAGAGAGCAATCAAAGATTTATCTGTGATGAAACTATTACCAGAAATGTTAATCTTCAACAAACCCTTGAGATTCGACGAAAGCTCGATAACACCAGAATCCGAGACTCGACTCGGAATAGAATTAGGATAGCTTATGTCCAGCTTCTCTAGGAACGGAAAATTCACTCCGATCGAAACCAGATCGCTATCTCGAAAACCCCCAACTCCATAACATTTCAATTCCTTGACATTCTTCATCATCGTCCCCGATTTCTCAAAATCTGGAAAATACCTCATTTGCGAAACATCTACCGATTCGAAATCCAAACCGGAACGCGAAACCTGGAGAAGAATCGAATTGAGATCCTGATTGAAATCAGAGAACCTGATTCGCTTCAAGTTCCGGAATCGAAGGAGATGGCGATTGAGGAAAGGAACAGTTCGATCGGTGACGACGAAAGTAGAGCGAACGCGATTGGTGATTGAGAGGAACATGGTTGATACGAGTGAAACAGATTCCAGGAATCGATAATCATCTTCATCGATAGCTTTGCAGATCAATTCCCAACATTCTTCAGGTAAATCCATCGATTTGTTGATTCTCTCCAGATTCGATCAAGATAGCTCAAACCGGAAAAAAGAACACAATCTGTTAAAAAAAGAAGCAACGCTTTCATATATAAATCTGTTAGCTTTACGTATAAAAGGTTTAATGTTTTTTGTCAACTATTAGTATTATACACACAGCATCAATGCATCATCATCTTACATTGGGATGTTAAATTTTGTAATGTAGAGAAAATCAAAATGAAAAGATAAAGAAACTGTTTTGCTAACTACACAGTATCACTCTCTCCACAAATCCACGTCTTATCACCACGTCTGGGTGTTGGGTTGGGTTTCTCTCTCTCCTGCTTAGGCACTCTTTGCTGCTTTATTAGCCTTTTTTTCCACCTTTTCATAACTGCCACATGAAGACCAAACACCTAAAAACCTTTGTCCTTCTCTCTGTTTCCCAACTCCAACAGTGTCTCTTGTCTCCATCTCCTCCCCCAGACAAAGATAATCTCTAGATTCCCACCATTTCCATAAAAGAATTAGATAGACCAAGAACAATAACACGAAGCAGCTTCATAGTGGGAGACTAATCTCAATTGCTCCTCAGAGTCAAAGAATTAATCTACATACTCTCCTCTAATCCACATACTCTCCTCCTTTTAATGAAAGGACGAAACTACCCCTTTACTAGGTATACGTGGTACAACTGGTATCCAAGTTGTACCACCTCCTAATTGTACCATCCTAGTTGTACCACCTCCTAGTTGTACCAGACCTTAGTTGTACCACCTAGTTGTACCACCTCCTAGTTGTACCACAACTTAGTTGTACCAGACCTTAGTTGTACCACCTAGTTGTACCACAACATAGTTGTACCCGAATATTCCCTAGTTGTACCAGTTACAACCCGTATAAAAGGATTCGAACCCTGGGGGCGCGCGCGTGCGCACGGAGCTCGCAACCACTGAGCTATTGTGTTTTTCGTTGAACACTTACCGATTTAATTGTATTTAACCCTTATCACCCAAAATCAACCCTCATTAAGGGTAATTTTGTCTTTCTACCATTGAAGAGTATTTGAGACTAAATTTGGAGCTTGAGGAGCCCCTGAGAATTTGTTCCTTCATAGTGTCCTACTCTTTCTTTATCTCTCTGTTTTTGTCTTTTCTCTGCATGTTTTTGTGATACCAGACAAAACTAAATATGTGTCTCCTTCGTCATTTGCTACCCATTTGGGTTCTTGGTTTCTTCTTCTTCTCCACTGCTCTTGTTACTAAATCAGAAGAATCTTCCGTTGTCTACGTTTCCCACGAAATCCCCATTTCTCAGGCTTCTCCACGAATGGGAGCTCAATCTCCAGGTATTCATTTGTTTCCCCCTTTCCAAATTAGTTGCCCTAGAAGCAAATATAAAAAAATTTGGTTACTGATTTGAGTGATTGCTTCTTACTAGTTCTTGAAATTGTCTAAATGGGTTTGCTGATAGTTGCCTAAAGGAATTGAATTTAGTTGAATCGATACTGTTTCCGAAATAAAACTGAAAACTTTCCGACAATTAAGCAAATAAATTTCTACAGCTGAATCAAATTGGATTTTATCTGACACTGATAATAAGAAAAAGTTGACCTTTTTAATTTTACTTTCTCAGGACCTCCCATTGTTAAAGTGGTGCTTCGCCAGGACTTGAACAAGAAGATTCTAATTGCTCTTATAGTCTCATCATCTCTGCTCTGTGTTACAGTCATGTTCCTTTTGTATCTCTTGCTAAGGTACAGAAATATGAAGAACAGCTTCACCGGGATCAAACGAAATTCCGGTATTCAATTCTCTCTCTTATATCTTTACATTTTTGTAATTTCTTGGTTTTGTTGCTACTTTGTTATGGCTTATTTTTGGTACTTTGGTTATCTGAAGATTCGGTGAAGAGTGTCACCACGAAACCGATTGTACACAAGATTGATTCTGTGAGGAAAGGAACCATCCCTGTGTATGAATATCAATTGCTGGAATCTGCAACAAACAAGTTTAGTGATAGTAATTTGTTGAGCGGAGGTGGTCGTGGATGCCTTTACAGAGCTAGTCTTGATGAAAAGTCCTCTGTCACTGTGAAGAGACTTGATGGTGCTGGGGAGACAGACATTGAAAAACAGTTTGAGGTTTGATCAGATTGAGATTTTAAAGAATTGAACCATCTCATTCGATAAACCATAACTCGGTTTTCGTCTTTCTCTTGTTGATTTTCTTATGCAGACTGAGGTAGATTGGTTGGCTAAGATCAGGCATCAGAACATAATTTCCTTATTGGGGTTTTGCGTATATCGCCAAACGAGTTGTATTGTGTATGAGATGATGCAGAATGGATCTTTGGAGAGTCAGTTACATGGTAAGGGGATATGATCCATGTTTAGGCATCTTTTGTTCCATCTTTTGTCATCTGATTTTGATTTTTTTTTGCTTTTTGATACTCTAAGGGCCTAGTCAAGGTTCAGGTTTAACTTGGCAGCTCAGGATGAAGATAGCAGTTGATATAGCAAGGTAAAGTCCATTCATTGATAATACTTTCCAACATTTTAGCAGTTCTTGGTATCTCCAAGAACATTTGTATGCTTACAAAGTATTCCTTTTTTTTCATAAAGAGGATTAGAGTATCTTCACGAGCATTGCCATCCTCCGGTAGTTCACAGAGATTTGAAATCATCTAGCATCCTTCTAGACTCCGATTTCAATGCAAAGGTAAAAGACCAAATGATATAATGTAGAATTCTTCCTAGACTTATTGTATTCTCCATACAATATGAGTCTTAAGGATCTGTTGCCACATTTGCTTCTCTATAGATATCAGATTTTGGGTTTGCCACGGTGGTTACCACGCAGAATAAAAACCTGATACACAAAGCTTCTGAGTATCTTCTTGATGGTAAGACGTGTACCTTATCATTATTCTTTCTCGGGTTTCGATCTTGACATACGCCAACCGAGATGCTCAAATTTTCTTTCAGGGAAAGTTACAGACAAGAATGATGTCTACTCATTTGGAGTGATCCTCCTCGAACTTCTCCTCGGGAAGAAATCAGTGGAGAAACCGTCTTCTGAACCAGAATCCATCGTTACTTGGGTACATACAAATCAGAAACTTTCACGAGAAAGTCGCTTCATTTAGCAGGAAATCCTCTTGACTTGTGATCTTTGTTGGTCTTTCTTGATCAGGCTGTACCTAAGCTGAGTGATAGAGCTAATCTTCCAAACATCTTGGATCCTGCAATAAAAGGAACCATGGATTTGAAGCATCTATATCAGGTAAAAGCTTCAACAAAATCTCATTATTGTTCACACAAAAGATTTTAGTAAAACACATAAGCCAAATACAGAAAGAAAAAGATTCATTCATTGAACTCTGTGTTTTATTTTCCCCGGACAGGTAGCTGCGGTAGCGGTGTTGTGTGTACAGCCGGAGCCAAGTTACAGACCACTTATAACCGATGTCTTGCACTCACTCATCCCTCTTTTACCAGTAGAACTCGGCGGATCATTGCGGATTTTATAAACAATCTTTCCATTTTTATCGTTTCATATCAATGTGCATGAGTATGTGAATTTTTCTCTTTTGTTGGTTCTTTGGAGAATTGATTGTTCTTTGTTTAATCAAGTTTTGCTTAAATGGAAGCAAGACAAGTTCAGAGTTTGGTTGGTAAAGTTGACAAAGAAAAAAGCGTCACATATTTGGCCTCACACGCATTGAATCTGTAACCTGTTTCTGTATTGGCACGAAAAGTGTGCTACTGCCTCCTTATCCTTATCATTCGTTTAATTGTACTATTTCTATAGTATTTAAAAGAAATTAATGATGCCATAGCTAATGGTTACCGAGACAAGAGTTAAGTAAGACTTTGGTAAGTTAAGTTTTTAATCCAAAAAAAAAAAAAACTGCAGAAGCGTTGACTTTTTAAACAGAGTTGTTGTGGGGAATGAAGAACCTTATCCGTTGCCTTGTCGATGATCGACGAAATTTCTTTCATTCAATTTACTCGTTTTCCAAAGATATCTCGAAACTCGACTAGTAGTAGTATGAAAGATGGATCATCAAACGAAGCGGATAAGCAAAAATCCATCAAGATCGATCATCATCACTCTCAAAGATATTCCTCCTCTCGATCCATCTTCTATCCCCTCTCTGGTAAATATTATTATTTTCATTGAATTACTCCAACCAAATTTTCTTCTTTCTCGGTATAACAAAATTTGATCATTTGGGTTTGAAACAGAACAATCTCTGCGTTTTCTATTTGTAGATGCTTCTCTCTGATTTTCCTCCCCCTGATTTGGCTATATCACAACTTTGCTTATGTCGGATGCAAATAATAAATGAATCTTTGCTTCTTTCAATTGTTAGAAACCAATGGTGCAAGATCATAATAATGACGAAGAAGACAATGCCATTTCTTCCTTCTCTAACATTCAGATTGATCCTAACAGCACAAGAAGCATTACACAAGAGAATAAGCTTGTTCCTAAACCAGAAGAAGACACCACCACCAAACCCAATTCTAAAGGTGCATGCACTTTTTCTTCACCTCTTTTATCAAAATATAGAGTCATCCATCATCCAATCGATGTAAAGTTGTTAGGAAACCAACAGAGATTGCAATTTTGGTATAGTAGAATTTTGGTCATTTTGTTCTGAAATTTGTGTTCCAGATGATGAATCTAAGAGAGGGTCAGCAAAATCGATGTTACACGAAATATGTGCTTCCAAGCGTTGGAGACCTCCGGTTTATGAATGCTGCAAAGTTGATGGACCTTGCCATTTGAGATTGTAAGTGAACATCTTCTTACCTGCACTATCTTTTACTTTTTTAATCGCACGCAACCTTTTTTGCATCAACTTGGTTTTTGTTTATGTTTTTTTTTGGTTCAGATTTACATACAAAGTTGTGGTTGAGATTAGAGATTCTTCAGGGAAAACTGTTTTGGAGTGTTTTGGGGATCCCAGACGCAACAAGAAAGCTGCTGCTGAGCATGCATCGGAAGGAGCGCTTTGGTATCTTGAGCATGTAAAGGCCAAACCAGAAGACAAAGCCGCATATCATTTAGTCAAGATGAAGTAACTTGAGAGTTTAGCATAGCCATATGTATATTTCTAACGAGGGAAGCTTAAAAGATATTCCTATCTGATAATTCATTATAGCTCTTTGGGTTGTAACAGTTTTGATCTGTATCAGAATGTGCTGTGAGTAAATAAATGTTTAATGATTATAATTTCTCTAACTTTTATTGCAATCCTTGTGCCCTTATATTTCTCCTTAGTAAGGAGTCCTTTATCTTTAAGTTTATTAGACACTGGATTGAAAAAGTGATATGTATTTTTTCAGTTAATTATTGATGTAAACAGAGCTCAAGTCTTGGTTGCGAGACTCATCCAATCCAAGTTAGAGAAAGCTTTGGAGACTTTGTCTGGTTAGGCTGAGGGAGAGACTTTTCAATTCACTGAGTCTGATTATTGTCATTTGCAATGAAGATTTGAGCTTTCTTATTTTTCCTCTTTGATGCATTTTCTCTTTTGCAGACAGAGACTAGAAGAAACTCAATGGTGGTTACTTAAGAATTCTAAGTAATTGTAAGATCTTATTACTCTTGTAAAAAGGGCAAAAACAAGAATATTTCAAAAAAAGAAAAGAAAGCCACATCCACTGCTAACAAAAGAAACAAATTTCCTTTTTGCAGCATTCTCTAATTATGAAGGTGGTTATTTATTCAATACTCTTGTGGTTCTAAAACTAAACTGAGAAACACTTGTTTCTGAAATCACAGGGTATAGTGTTGCTGGATAGCCTCAATGTCTAGTCCCTTCTGCTTCACTACTGATTCCACGTGACCTTTCAAGGTATGACGTTCCCTTAACCTGAAATTACAAGGCAAGAATGTTGTAAGCCCATATTCTGAGCAACACAATGGTATAGAATAATCAGTTACTTGAGCGTTGCCTTGCAACTTCAGCTCGTCTCTTGGCTTGATCTGCTATCTCTGAAAGTTCTCTGTAAGTGCTCTTGTCGTTGAACATATCTGAGGTTTGAGCTGGCTGCAATCCGTGAAGTGTCCGTTGAGCATGTGCCCATTGTGCTTCTCTCTCTCCCTTTCCATAGTCTTTCTTTGACGTGAAAGCGGTCTGAACAAAGGAACAAAGTTAGAAACCAGTACTGCAAAAAACAAAAGGTACACCAGTGTTCTTGTTGTCTCAAAAGCAAACCTTGTTCTCAATGACATTATCCCAGGCTCTTCCACTCAGTGAATATCGGATGATGAACTTGAGGAGATCCAATGGGATGTAGAAGACTATACTATAGAGCCAGATAACTCCTGCCCATCCCCACCCAATACCTCTGATTCTTGCAAAATTCCAGTTTGCGTATACCGCAATCAAAGTAGCAATCTTGGAATGAAAACAAGAACATTGTCAGTATATTGAGGCTTCTTCTTCCATATTAATTATGTAAGAGTACTAAATCTTTAACTCACCAGCTGAGCTACGAAAAAGGCAAAGATCAACCACAAGCCAGGACGTTCAACATATGACCAGCTTCGCGATCTTGTTACAAAGATAAGCGCTTGGCTCACGATACTAACTTGGAGGTAAACAGCTGCTGTTAGCTCGTGCGGATTACCGCTGATAGATCTCACTCCAAACTTTGCCTGCACCAAGAGAAAACTGAAGGTTAACAAAGACACTTACTCGAGCTGGTCAGAAAAGTCCTCTTAAGTATTGTTGAATTCTCTTACAGAGAAGAAGTCAGTGCTCTCTGCAGCCCAGAAGAAAACTACAGTCATGACTGCTAGGTAAGTGCCAAGAACAACGCCGGTGGCAAATATCTCTTTGAGTTTCCATGAATCAGGAAGTGGAGAAGGCTTTACTCTGTCCTTTGATATCGTCATGATAGTACCATCATTAAGGATAGCAACGATCAAGACCATGAATGGTGAGAAGTCAAACTTCCATATGAGTGCAAGAAGCATAAAGCCCATCACTATACGGATTGTGATTGAAACTGCATAGATAGTGTAGTTCTTCATTCTCTGAAAGATGGCTCTGCTCGTTAGGACAGCACTAACTATGACACTGAGCCCTGGCTCGGTTAGGACAATGTCTGATGCACTTCTTGCTGCATCAGTCGCATCAGCAACAGCTATTCCAATGTCAGCTCTCTTGAGAGCCGGGGCATCGTTTACTCCATCACCAGTCATGCCACAAATGTGCTTCATCTCCTGGAGCCTCTTCACAATCTCATACTTGTGTTCTAATTAGAGACAGATGAAACATATTTATTAATTGGTGAATAAATGAATCAACAAAGAGAAATGTTTCATTTGATTTGATTGTTTTTACCAGGGAAGACACCGGCGAATCCATCAGCCTTCTCGATGAGTTCATCAACAGGAAGGCTAGCTATAGATTCATCCTTATCTTGTCCAAGTAGAGCAGAAGATGGATACATGTTTGTGCCCATACCGAGCCTACGACCAGTTTCCTTACCAATGGCGAGCTGGTCACCAGTGATCATCTTGACATTAACTCCAAGGTCAAGGGCACGCCTGATTGTCTCTGCACTGTCATGTCTTGGAGGGTCAAAGAGAGGTAACAGACCAAGAAACTGCCATGGCTCTCCAGGGCTGTTCTTGTCTTTCTCAGACACAGTCTGAAATCCAAAATAGGTAAAAGAGCATTTTAAGAGAAAGAACACACATGAATCCAAAGTGTTGGGATTGGAACTAATTCTTTTACCTGTCTACCAACAGCAAGGGAACGAAGTCCTCTGTCAGCAAACTTGTCAATGATGTCATGAGCTCTCTTACTTGCATCCTCCCGAAGGTTACAGAGTTCAATGATCTAAAAAATCACAGAGAACAATCAGTGGGAAAGAAATTAAAAACTCTTGAGAGAAGAAGGAAATGAATTTATTACTTGCTCTGGCGCGCCTTTGCTGACACGGTGCCAGTTTCCATTAGCATCAATGTAAGTGATAGCAGTGCGCTTATCCACAGGGTTAAAAGGAAAGAAATGAACTTCAGTGATGCCTTCTCTTGCTTCTCTGGGATCTCCAAGCATTCCTACAATGCAAGCATCAATAGCATCTTGATTTTCAACTCTAGAGGCTCTTGCTGCATTCACAAGAAGCTGATCCTTGTCCAAGTCTTTGACAAAAACCTCAACCATGCTCTTGTCAACAGTAAGCTTGTTGAGTGTAAGAGTTCCAGTCTTGTCACTGCACAAAACATCCATTCCAGCCATTTCTTCAATTGCTGTCATTCTCTTTGTGATAGCTCCTTGTTGGGAGAGACGGTGAGATCCAATGGCCATGGTGACAGACAACACAGTCGGCATTGCAATCGGGATTCCTCCGATGAGAAGCACCAGAAGGTTGTCGATTCCGTCTCTATACGCACGGTGCTGAATAGGATACATCACAACGATCTCGATGATCATACCTATAGCGATGGAGCAGATGCAGAAGTTACCAATCGCAGTCAACACTTTCTGGAAATGGCCTTCTTGGTTAGTGCTGTCTACAAGATGAGCAGCTTTGCCGAAGAAAGTATGAACACCGGTAGCGATGACAACAGCTTCAATCTCTCCTTGTTTGCAGGTGGAGCCTGAGTAAACTTCTTGGCCGGGGTTCTTGGTTACTGGTAAAGACTCACCAGTGAGAGCAGATTGATCAACCTTGAGAGGATCACCATCCAAGAGACGACCATCTGCTGGAATAATGTCACCCAACTTGATACTGATAATGTCTCCGGGCACCAATATAGCTGCCTCTTGCTCGCTCCACTTCCCATCTCTCAGAAGCTTTTCAAAGTGATTTATTAGTCATTAATCATCCACATTTTTGCTTGTAGATTGAGGTGATTAATAACTGTATAGCTTACCTTGGTTTTGGGTGCTAGACCGGCCATCAAAGCGGCTGCGGCGTTTCCGGCATTGTTTTCTTCAATGAAGCTTATGGTAGAGTTGATGATTAGAAGAACCGTGATACCCACGAAATCTTGCCAATCCGGTGGCCTTCCCTGCAGAGTGTAGAAATGTGTAAAGTGAGAAAGATGGATCCGGGTTAGTAAAAAAAAAGAAGAGAGGAAGTTAGTTAGGTTAGGTGATGTACTCCTCCGTTGGCCAAGGCGATAGCCATAATAGCAGCCAGCTCCATGACCCATGAGAGAGGGTTCCACATAAACCCTAAGAACTTCAAAACCTTGCTTTCCTGTGTGATAATTGAAAATGGTTTTAGATGGAGTTACTTGGGGGTGAAGAAACAGAGAAAAAAGTGAAATAGGTTTTTAAGATGTATGCCTTTTTCTCTTCGAGCTTGTTAGGACCGAAGATTTCGAGCCGAGTTTGGCCTTCGTCGCTGGTCAGTCCTTCCCTTGTACATCTGAGCTGCGTAAGCACCTCCTCGATCGGTATTTTCTCCTGTTTTTGAAAACCAAAAATTAGCGAGTTGAAAGTGAAAGACTGGAATATTAATGGAACTCGTACTCTCGAGGATACTTACGAGATCGATGCCTTCGTTTTTTATATCGTCCCAGCTAGAATCTTTAGTCCCCGCCATCTTGTTTTCAGAAACAGGGGTTTTCTTTTTTCACTCTTTCTTTCTTTGTTTCTTTGTTGTCAAAATTTTTCCAAAGTATCTCTCTGTAGTATTTTTCTTTTTCAAAGTGAAATTTTCTCTCGATCTTTTTTTCTTTTCTGTTGTTATTTTAACGAAACAGAAGAACAAAAGGGAGAAAAACAGAAACAGAAAAACGAAAACAAATTATTTTTTATATAAAATTGAAGGAAAATTGGAGTCGAAGTTCAAGTGTTTATATAGGTGAAGAGGGAGGGCAAGACAATGCGAGTTTTTGGCTACGGACAAAGCCCAAGTCCTTCGCTCATTCCCGCTTTCTTTTCCTGCTTCCACTAATCTACTGCCACGTCATTTTTCTCTCTTTCTTCACTAACTAACTAATAACCATATTTATCACCCAAATAAACTAATAACCATATTTAGGAAACATTAGTCGTTTTAATTATATAACAAATATTTAAATCTTTTAGATAAACATTTCTTGCTTTAGATAAATATTTCTTGGTTTATTTTATTAATTAAGAGTTACTAAACTAAAATAAACTTCACTTGTGGAATAAGATGTCCTACTAGCTAGGTGTAATAGAAGAGTTTTTTAATAAGAAGAGAAGATTTCCTTAGTATTGATGAAACGGAAGAGGTATGAGTATAACACAAGATGGTTCCAAATTGAGCCCAAGGAGAATCATTGGAGGATATTACTTTAGACAAGAGTCGCAAGACTTTATATTCAAAATTGTCATTAACTAAGTAGACAAGAAAGTCCAACGAAATCAAGAAGCTAAAAAAAGTTCACTAGCTAAGAAACCAGACTAAGCAACTCTCATTTTCTGCCGGTTGCTCCAACTCTTGGCTTGGCCTTAACCTCGTTTTCCTGCAATTCATTTAAAAACAATTCCATCCGTTAGATGCAGACACTAATGTTTTGGAAACATGATGATATTACTATTGTTAGTGACGCACACACCTGTGGCAGGTGCAAGAAAATGCTGCTTTTTGCAGTCGCCGGGTTGTGATTTTCTGCACCTTTGCTCCAGTCATAGCAAGCCTATATAATAATACATGTTAGAAAGCATTCATTTACTCTATATATCCTCTCAAGGTTTTGCAAGACGATCATGGTTTTAGAGTCCAAGACCATCTCAATTTTGCAGATATTACATGAGCATGCATAAATAAAGTGAAACCAAATAAGATTTTTATCATACCGCATATGCATATATCGATCCATCGTGGTTGAACGAGCTGCAAGGAATTGGCTGATTGCACCTCGACATGGCCTGTGAAATTCATGGGTGAAAAACTGTTAGATAATTACTTCGTTAAAAAAAAAACCTGATGAAAAAGAGATGCAAGAGGAAAATACCTTGAGTCTTTGTTTACTATCTTTGTCCCAGAAATTGAAAGCACCATCTGAGCCAGCAGTTGCAAAAGTGCCATGTACCTTAGATTCACAATTCAGACAATCAAATTCATCGCTCAACATTGTGCTGAAGGCTTAAGATTACATAAGAGTATAAACTACAGAGCTTACCGGGTGGAAATTCAGAGAGTTGACAGAATAGATCTCATTTCCATCTCTGTGGCATTTGAATGTGAAGTTTTTGCTCTGTTGAGAATCATCCAGATGATGGACACCAACCCGCCCCTCAATTGAACCAACCTATAGAGTATAGAGATCATTGGATCTGGTTAATTTTTCATATTCAACACATTTGTGATCTAGATAGGATCTGGAGATGTGACTGGTAAAACAAAATCCAATATAAAATTACGCTATTATTTGCTAGGATGACCTATATCATCTTCGTGAGATTGCAAATAAAAACACTGCAATGTTTAACCTAAATGTAAGCATCTAACAAACAAGCTAATTCCTGTAACACTGACTTAACCAAAACACAACAGAAAATATATATAAGAAGACATACCAAAAATCCTTGCTGATCAGGGAAGGCAGTAACACACCTCGTCTGGTACTTCAGTGGAGATTGAATTCTCTTAAACTCAGTCTACAATTTACACAAGAGAAACTGTTAATCTAATGGTGAAAGCCTGTTCATCTATTCTTTGTAAGATAGCATATGGGCATTATATAATTTATCCAAATGTTGATGCTAAATAGATCATGAATTCCCAAATCATGTGATGCTCACAGCATTCTTAGTACTTAAACTCTCATTAATATGGAACAACAAGGAAAAATTCTTACCTGAGGATTTTGCAAGTTGAAGACTATCAGATTTCTATCTGCAGTTCCGACAACCATCAGAGGATGCTTCACAGACAATGTATAACATTTATCTGGGAGCTGTTGGGTATGCACAGGATTTGGCTGTCTTGTGTCCCAATATCTGGAAGGAAAACCAATATACATCATTAAATACATGGGAACAAATAAATCAATCAGTGAACATTCTATCATTTGCTACATTTCGTCATAGGAAATAATGAACAATTATTCTTACTTCAAAGTTTTATCCCAACTTCCAGTTGCAAGAAGATTCATTCCCGGGATCCAAGCCATAGCTACGATAGGAGCATCGTGCATAGCAACAGTTACAGGTTGACCACCAGACAACAAAGGCCACATTTTTGCTTGCTTATCACATCCACCGCTAAAGACTGTGGTTCCATCATCTTTCCAAGCAGAACATAAAACCTTCATCACAAGAAAAGACATATATGCATCAGATTCTAAGACAAAAAAAAAAAAAAAAAAAGCAAGATAAGAAGAAGAATGACATATTACCGGCTGATCATGCGATATTGATGCTTTGGGAGCACTGGCTAGAGAGGCTCCACTACGGGATATTTCCCAACACCTCACCTGCAACGGAAGAAGCAAACTCACATGTTACAATATATATACACGTCCAGATATTCAGTGGGTGACTATGAAAAAGAAGAGAGAAACTGAGCTGAGACATGTGTTCTACAAGAGTATTAGGACTAACGAGTTAGATTTTAAGGCATGGAAAAACAAAGGAGCCAAGGAATTAACAAAAAACCTGATTGTCCCATGAAGTGGCCACAAGTATATCGGCTCTTGGACTAAAACTTAAGCTTGAAATAGAATCTGCGGGTGATGGAGTAACCTGCAGGAAGATACAAACCTTTGTGAACTTTATAGTACAAATAGAAAGACGAACTTTAGAAGATAAACCCAAGATACACAGCAACCATCAATAGTATATGTTCACAAGAAAGTAAGCCCGTCCCAAAGAGTTCATTCAGTAGCAATTAGTGATTAGATAGACTAGAAACAAATCTCTCAACAAGTTAACTAAGCCGTAACTAGACAAATCTGCCAACAAGTTTCTAAATCAGTGACTAGATAGAAAGAAACAGTTAAATCAGAAAATCGCTCTCTTCGATTTCAGAAGTAAAACCCTAGCACACTACCGGCAAGATTCAGTCAAGATTTAATCGATGGATTTTGAAAGTCTGATGCAAAAACACGAAGAGATTATAAGCGATCTCATTGATTAGACACACACCCTAAATACAAAACCTCGAGAAGCAAATCAAACAGAATAATCAACCGCCATAGAAACCCAAAGGAACGAAAAAGAATTACCTCGTAGGATTTGTTAGGGTTAATGTTGGCGGTAGCCGACGCACCGAAAGTAGCCATTATCACGAGTCCGAGGTCGGATTAACTGTTAAAAGTTCAATTCAAGAGACAAAATCACATAAGTAATGCTTCTCTACAAGCTTTATCAGAATGGAAATCGAATGAGAGAATAAAAGAAACATACCTAGAGAGAGGAAGATCCGTCGGAGATATAGTGTTTTCCGGTGAGCAGAAGAGGAGGGAAACGAAATTAGTCGGAAGAGAGAGAGAATGGGACAAAGTATTTATAAAGGTCTCTCTGCGTCACATTGACGTCCGGCGAAGCGTTTATCAGACGCTGGGATAAATAAAAAAGGGAAAACAATTTCAAACCAAAAAAAAAAAGGAAAACATTATCGGGCCTAATATTTGGGCCTTATATGGCCCAATTTTGACTCTTTTTTAAATCGGAAAGGATTTCGGTTCGGGTCGGGTGGTTAAACGGATCCTAAACCAAACCGGCAGATCTCACACATTATGAGAGCTTTCCCTCTCTTTTCCCCAGCGGCGGCTAACTCCGACCACTTCAGTCAGTGTGAAGAAGAAGGAATTTGGGGGTTTAGATTTTTATACGATCTTTGTCGCCGCCGTTAGTTAGCGTCGTCTCAGTAATGGATTTGTAAGAGGAATCGGAAAGGTCGCGGTAGAGTCTGTGATTATAAGAAAAGGAAACCCTAGATTGTCGCTTTCTTTGCCTCTCGGAGTTTGTTTCTGTTTCCGTCAATCATGACGTCTCTTTCTATTCAACCATTTCCAGGTAAACCTTTAAAATCTTCTTTGTGTTGAACTATCTTTGTAGGGACTTGTGTGGGCTATTGATGTTTTGCATATCGTTTAGCTTCAGAATCATGTTCATCATTCAACTCTTAGAAAATTTGAGGTTGTAACACTGATGCTAAGAGTACACTGATTTGTTTTCTTCTTCTGATATTTGAGTCTCTGCTATGTTTTTATCTGACATTTGATTCAGAATCGTGTGCTAAGTTCATTGATTCAGAATCGTGTGCTACGCGTAGGTTGTAACTTTTATCATCTGATTTTAAAAACTTGTCATTCATTCTCCTAAGTTCTTGTATCTTAATTTCCCAAAATTTCTATGTTGACAGAGATTTCAAGGATGGCTAGAAATTTAGACTCGCGAAAGAAAAGAAGGATCTCTTTAGATGGAATTGCTGCCTTATGTGAGCATTCCAAAGAGATCATTGATTCATTGCCTATGTTGAATTCACCTGACTACTTCTTGAAGCCATGTATGAACGAGCTGGTTGAGCGAGAAATTGAAAGCCCTGATTATTGCAGCCGGGTTCCTGATTTCACTATTGGCAGGATTGGTTACGGTTATATCAAGTTTATTGGAAACACAGATGTAAGAAGGTTGGACTTGGATCAGATAGTTAAGTTTCGAAGGCACGAGGTAATTGTTTATGATGATGAGAGCTCCAAGCCAGTTGTTGGTGAGGGACTTAACAAGGCTGCTGAGGTGACTCTGATTGTAAACATACCAAATCTAACTTTGGGGAAAGAGCAAGTTGACCATATTGCTTACAAATTAAAACAGAGCACGGAAAGACAAGGGGCAACTTTCATCTCATTTGATCCCGATAATGGTTTTTGGAAGTTCTTGGTTCCTCATTTCAGCAGATTTGGATTGAGTGATGATGAGGCAGATGATATTGCTATGGATGATGCGCCAGGTTTGGGAGATTCCGTAGGACTGGATGGTAACAAGGTAGCTGACATTGATGAAGAAGATCAAATGGAAACTTCTGAGCCAGAGCTTTCTCACTCTCTTCCAGCTCATCTAGGACTTGATCCTGGAAAGATGAAAGAAATGAGAATGCTGATGTTTCCTAATGAAGATGTAGACGAGAGTGAGGACTTTAGAGAGCAAACTTCCCATAATATGACATCCTTGACTAAACGAAATGTAAGACCTTCACAGAAAATTTCTCAAAGAAATAGTCATCAAGACCCTCCACCTGTCGTACGGAAAACTCCGCTTGCTTTGCTGGAGTATAACCCTGGTAATGATAAAAGCTCCCCAGGCAGTATCCTGATGGTGCAACAAAATAAGAATCTGGCAGTGAGAAAGTCGAAAACGGGAGGTTTCGAGCTGGACATCAGCCATGTCACGCCATTAACTGATAACTATTCCCGCAATGTTGTTGATGCAGCATTATTCATGGGAAGGTCGTTCCGAGCAGGTTGGGGCCCAAATGGCGTCCTTTTTCACACTGGTAAGCCAATATGTAGCTCCAGTTCCCAGATGGTATTGTCTTCTGTGATCAATAAAGAAAAGATAGCAATCGACAAAGTGGTTTGGGATAGAAAGGGAAAAGTTCAGAAAGAACTTATTGATTCTGTGTTTGAGGCTCCCTTAAGTCTCCACAAGGAATTAGATCATGTAGAAGAAGAAGTTAGGTTTGGCTCTTTCAGTCTTAAACTTCAGAATGTTGACACTGATCGTGTAGCTCTTTCAGATATCTGCCGAAATTATATTGGTATAATCGAGAAACAGCTGGAAGTTGCTGGGTTGTCCACATCTGCGAAGCTGTTTTTGATGCACCAAGTCATGGTGTGGGAACTCATAAAAGTTCTCTTCTCTCAGAGACAGAGTACTGAACGTTTGAATTATGCAGCTTCTGATAATGAGGAAGAGATGATGCAGGATGTGAAGGAAGATTCTGCAGAAATTGATACAGAAGCTCTTCCGCTTATCCGAAGAGCAGAATTCAGTTGTTGGCTCCAAGAAAGTGTCAGTCACCGTGTACAAGAAGATGTGAGTGATCTAAATGGGTCTGGCTACCTTGAGCACTTATTCTTTCTTCTAACTGGACGAGAGCTTGATTCAGCTGTGGAACTTGCCATATCTAAGGGAGATGTTAGACTTGCTTGTTTGTTGAGCCAGGCTGGTGGATCAACTGTAAACCGCAATGATATCTTGCAGCAGCTTCACCTTTGGAGAAGGAATGGGCTGGATTTTAATTATATCGAGAAGGAGAGAATTAAGCTTTATGAATTGCTTGCTGGTAATATCCATGATGCGTTACAAGATTTTACAATTGACTGGAAGAGATTCCTAGGGTTGTTAATGTGGCATCATCTTCCTCCCGACAGTTCATTACCTGTCATCTTCAGAAGCTATCAGCTCCTACTAGATCAGGCAAAAGCTCCGTGGCCCGTCCCAATATATATTGACGAAGGACCTGCAGATGGGTTTGTAAGCAACAAGCATTCTGACCTCTTGTATTATCTTATGCTTCTGCACAGCAAAGAAGATGAAGAAATTGGTTTCCTGAAGACTATGTTCAGTGCCTTCTCTTCGACTGATGATCCACTTGACTATCATATGATCTGGCACCACCGAGGAATTCTAGAAGCAGTTGGAGCTTTCACTTCAGATGATCTTCACACTCTCGATATGGGATTTGTTGCACAGCTTCTCTCTCAGGGCCTTTGTCATTGGGCTATCTACGTTGTTCTTCACATACCCTTCCGTGAAGATCATCCATATCTACACGTCATTGTCATTCGGGAAATCCTGTTTAAATTCTGTGAAACTTGGAGTTCTGTGGAATCACAACGGCAATTTATCAAGGACTTGGGTATCCCTTCTGAATGGATGCACGAAGCTCTGGTAAGGACACTATAGAAACACATTCTTTTCTACTTCTGCTAAAGGTACTTGTGGTTACCTTTTTCCATCGTATACGAATATGCTGATTACTGATTTACTTTATTGTGTTGCAGGCAGTTTATTACAATTACCATGGAGATTTCGTAAAGGCTCTTGACCACTTTATTGAATGCGCAAACTGGCAAAAAGCTCATTCCATTTTTATTACGTCAGTTGCTCATTCATTGTTTTTGTCAGGTAAGCCCCGTCATTTCCTTATTTGTAGATCCAACTGTTCAATTAGAACATGATCCCCGCGTAGTGTAGGAAGGATCTGTTTGGAGTGATTTGTTTTGTCTTTATTAAATGCAGCTAACCATTCAGAAATATGGAGAATCGCTACTTCAATGGATGATCGCAAGTCTGAGATTGAAAACTGGGATTTGGGTGCTGGGATTTACATGTCATTCTATTTACTAAAGAGTTCACTGCAAGAAGATGCTGATACGATGGTAGAACTGGTATGTCTACGTTTTCTTATAGTCTTATATTTGAGATTCAACTCCTCTACCTCTCAAATAGCTTAAACTGTGATTGTGTTGTTGTTGACCAAACTGATTGTACAATATATCATTTCTTGCATTGATACTCAGCAAGATTGCTTCAAACACTGGAACTTGGAGTCCTATGATCATGGGCATAAGAGTCTTTTTTTTCTCGATGTGTAAACACTTGTATGAATAATCAAACAACATGACTCCTTTGCTTCCACAGGAACCCCTTGATAGCACAAACGAGTCGTGCAGAAGTTTTGTCGGTCGTTTAAACGAATCATTGGCTGTTTGGGGTGACAGATTACCAGTTGAAGCTAGGTAAGTTCTTCATATGTCTCACTGACACTTGCTAATAGCATTGAATCGTCAAGAACTACTCATGACTTGCATGTACTTGTATGATCCTTCATCATTCCATGCATTTGTTTGTATAAGATTTAGACCATTCCTAGGATATCTTACATATTACCATAACCTAGAAAATGATATATAATGGAGCGATTTTGGATGGATCCTTCTAAATTTGGTGGCATCCATAGTAATTGCTCCTAAACTAATTAGTTGGCTTCTGATGACAACACAGCCCAAGTTTGCTGTGTGGACAGATACGGGTCACACATTCTCTGTTCATCACTTTTTAGCATATTGGTTACAAATACACAGTTAACTAACAAGCGCTTTGAATGTTGCAGAGTGGCATACTCAAAGATGGCAGAGGAAATATGCGATTTGCTTCTGTCAGATCTGAGTTTGGATCCAAGCCGAGAGAGTCAGCTAAAATGTTTTGAGACGGCCTTTGATGCCCCTTTGCCAGAAGATGTAAGATCAACACATCTGCAAGATGCTGTGTCACTCTTCTCTCTATATCTCTCAGAGACAAGCCAAATCTCAGCTTAGTGAAAGAGACAAGCCAAATCTCAGCTTAGTGAAAGAGACACTATTATTCTCTCAGAGAGTCTTTTTGTGAAACAGAGTCGGTTTGCTTTTGTCTTGCGTGAATGATTTGATTTGGTCGTGTTGTTGTTTTAGCAAAATCCCCCAAATCTTATAAATATTTTGTCAAAAGTAAAGGTCAAAATTAATGTAAGGGGGATTTCAGATTCTTGTCAAAGTGAAAAATTTTTGCATATTTTTCAAGACGGTGTTAGAATAGTAGAGCAAGCCATTTGGCTCATGTTCTAATGTCTGGCCTCTGCTTTTCATCATTAACTTTTTTGTTTGTAAATGATATTTTAAATTTTCTTGAATAATGTTGCCGAAAGTGAGATAATAATCTAAAAAGTTTGCGGGAATATATTCTCCTTTAGTTTCAGAAAAGGTAAAGTCCTATAGATTCTTCTTCTTTTCCTTATTTCTTGTTTCTGATTAGTACTTACTGAGAATTTGATATATGACTGTAAAAATAATGTCCAAAATCTGAAACGAAAATGTAAATAAAAATTAGAGAAAGAAAAGAAAAAGGTTTGCATATTAACAAGATTACAAAGCTCACACGCAATTAAGAGAAGGAAAAGCAGAATGGTCTCTCTAGTTGAGAGATCAAAAATGGATTTAACAAAGAAAGCCAAATCTCATTTTATTTATAGTCAAACGGAGGAAGATCCGAGAGTCAATGGCGATGAAGGTTGCAGAGCACGAGGACGCCTTTTCCTGCTTCGACCGCGGACTTGAACTGAAGGAGATGAAGAAGACGACGAAGGAGTAGCAATCGTAGACCTCTCTCTGCTCGATACACTGGTCAGTTTCTTCTTCTCAGATTCTGCTTCACATGATTTGTCTTGATTGATTCTGTTGTTTCCAAACCTGGTCGCGTTTATGGTCGCAGGAAGCACACAGTTGCACATAAAGCCTGTATCAAAACACAACTTCAGAGCACAGAAACAGAGTCCTTTCCAAATATGTTCAAAATGCCTAAATATGGAAACTTAAAGCCAAACCCAAGTCAGAAGCTATTCTTATCGATCATACGCATAAAGATGAAATCTTTCACGCCAACCCCGAGAAAAAAGAAGCTAAACCAAGTCACATTATAGTCTAAAAGCTGTTCTATCGATAATCCTCCAGGCGAAAATGGGTGTACTCATGCGTAAAGATGGAAACTTGAAATATATTGTAGTCTTGAAGCATGATTATTGTTCAATACATTATTCTACGTGAAACCAAAAGCTGAGACTTATAAGCCATTGAGTATAAGCATCACTCTATACACACTTGCAAACATAACTACTTGATTCAGTCTCTCTCTGTCTCTAACTTGTACAATCATAAAAGCCCAAAATGTAAAGAATGAGGGGAGTTACCAGAGATTTTACCGATTCTTGCAAGGCGGTTAACCCAACTAGGAATTGGATTCCCAGTTAGCTTGATACAAGTTTCATCGCAGAAATGGTTGCAGTTCTTGGTGATGAGATTATAAGAACTTCCTTTGTAGTTGTCAGCAAGTTGCTCCATAGTAGCTCTCACTTCCAAAGGACCAAGATCCGTTTTACCAATCAAAATCGATTTCCTAAACGTAAAGCCTTCACATTGCTTTGGCTCCCCTTCGAAAATTCCAGTGCTTGGATACTCATGAGCTCCAAAAGCATACTCTATACCATGAACTATACACCAACAACAACAAAAATGAACTAAATTCTTCAAAAATTCAATACGAATATCTAACACTTTGAAGTTATAAATGACTTGAAATGCCAAGAAAATCCGATCTAACATAGTATGATATAATATTTAGAATTGAAATTACTATTTAGATCTAAAACATGAATTCAAGAAATTCAAGAAACAGAAAGACAAACCTTCAACACCGGAATGGTAAACGCCAAGACCAAGCCAGTAAGCATAGCCATTAATGGGAGTTAAATCGTAAACATTGAGGTAAACCGGAACATTTCCTCTATCCACAAAGCTTGAGCTTTTCCGGCAAAGCATTTTCCTTTCTTTCAAATTCTTCCTCTTCTTTTCAAGGTTTACAAGTTAAGCGGAGAATCGTAATGGCTCCAACATTTTCTTCACCGGAGAGAAACAAAACAAAAAAAAGACAGAGAAGGAATAAAGACAGAGGAGATAGAGTATCGCCGGCGTCAGTCAAATCGGCCGGAGGGAAGTTCTTCCGATGAAAGAGTGACTCCGTTTTGTATAAACTGTCGAATAAGTTGATGACAATTTACCCTTTTTCTCAATTCAACATACAATTAAATTACACAAAATGCCAACGACTTGTCTTTTGAGATTTCCGATGTCAATTATGTTTCCTCTTTTCGATTAAAAAGCTTTAGGAAGAGAATGAGACTTGCTTAGCTTTTATTACTAGTTTTGAATCTTGAATAAATAAATTATATACTACTCCCATAAATATTAGTAATAAATTCTATTTTGCTTAAAATTATTTTATGATGTACATTTTGCATATTTATGATTTTTTTCACAACCGATCACCGGTAACGATTTTAATACCTATAGAATCGTTATAGCCAATGATTTATTTATAAATGCATAGAACTTAAATTAATATTGGCGGTATGCTTTAATAATTTTACATTTTATTATGGGGTCCAATATAAAGCTTAATATTCCCCTATCTTTGGCTCAACTTTTTGTCTCGAGACCACCCTTTTTCTTTTTTATAGACTTTAAATGTATTTAATTTTGAAAGTGGTGCGACTAATTATGGTGCAAAATGGGATAGTACAAAACAATAAACCATTTTCATTGCCGAGAATAAAATTTTGGGGGAAAAAATGAAACTAATAATGGATCTGTGTTTGTTTATCGAATGTAATGTCCACAAAAATATCATAATCAATATAACTTGGCGTATATTCTTTTTTTTTTTTTACTAAATAAGATGTCGTAAAGACTATAAACTTAAGAGTTACAAGTTGTATGAAAAGTTCAACTTTCTATCTTGAATATATATGAAATATTAGAGGCCTGCCACTAATTTGCCTTGGGTAATTTCAAAATAAAAAAAAATGTTTCCCTAGCATAATATAATAATAATTACAACTAATTTAAAATAGAAAAAAGGGTCAACATCTTCTCAGCTCACAAATAGTCTCCAAAGCTGGAAAAAGAAAAACAAATTGAAAACAAAAGGTAACAAATATATGTTGACAAATATATGTAATTTGATTGAAATTTATTACAAAGTCAGATGATCACAATTGACATGTGAGAGTCTTCAATTCGTACCTGATCGAACCAATAATCCGAGACCCGGTCAGATTCGGTCAGATCCGGTTATTTCGGAAACCAACCCGAGCGTTTTGTTTTGAAACGCTCATTTTGTGTGGAAAATGCGCGAGTAGTGGGAGCTATCATCGCCGGGAGAGATCAGGATGATTCGCGGCAGAGGCTCGTGGGTCGGATTATCGACCCGGTTGAAGCTTTACAGGATCCGACGTCTCTGCACTAAAGGAGAGAATGGTGGGAACAAAGTCGAGAAGACGGAATCTAGCGTTGCTCCTTACAGCGAGACTGAATCTAGTGTTTCTCGCTACGATGAGACCTATAAGAAACTCGACAAGCTCGATTTCGTGACCGCTGCGAAGATCTTGTTCACTGAACCACCCAAGAAGAATAAATTTGGGTAATTTCTGCTGGAAATTTGGGGGTTTTAAGAGGGTTTTACTTTTTATGGGTTTTCAATCTCTGCACACTCTCTTCAAGCTGATCTTGTCCTTTGTTTAGTTTATCAGATGCTATAATGGGTTTGATTCATGCTTCTATAAGCCTTAAATCATGGAAAGACCCTATTTTTTTCCACTTACCTTGCAGATTTTGAACCTCAGAATTGTAGAATTGTAGAAAGTGAGCTCCTTTAGGCTGAAACAAGTGAACTGGTTTTCAAGTTCTGCTGCGATTATCTCTTTCACTTTCTGAAACTAAATTCTTATAGTAAGTTGAGTTCTTGTGCTGGTTTGTGTTGTAGTAAGTCCTCGTATGGATTTTGCTTTGTGTTAGGTTTGATTGGCATGTGGTGCAATTCATCATCGTCTGCTTGCCATCTGTAGGTATTGCGATTCACTTCCCGTTAACTTTCTCTCTTAATTGTTATGTTCAATGTTTTCAGTCAAAGATATCAATGTTACTTGTTTATTGTAACAGCTGTGTATCTGGTTGCTCAATATGCTCGCCGCAAAATGAAGATCATGGATGCAGTGAGTTATCCTTTTTATTCATTATCAAACTGATATGAGTTTCTGAAGATGTTTGACTCATCATGTTTTTAATGTTTGCCCTGTCTTAATTCTGGCTAATGTTAGCATATGCCTCGTTATATTGGACTAATTGTCAGGAACTTGGAGAGAAGAAAAGGAAAGAAGAAGAAAAGAAAGAGAAAGAAGAAGCTGAACAAAAGGCATTAGAAGTAGAAGCAGCAACCAAGTCTCACGAAGAGCTAATGGAGATGAAACAGAGACTGGGAAAAATCGAAGAGACAATAAAAGAGATTGTTTTGGAAACCAAGAAACCTTCAGGGAATGCTCCAACCAAAACCCAAGAAGATCAATCTACTAAACTCCCCCCAAAAGAAGAATCAAAACCAGAAAAAGAACAGAAGGGCAATGTACAGAAATCAGGTGATGGATCATTGAGATGATTAGAAGGGAAACTTAGGTGGTAGGTGAAGAAGGATGTACCCTTCTGTGAGTTATTATGCTTTTGGAACCAATACAGTAGTTGATGCAATTCTCGGATTTTGCTTTTGTTTGTGGAATCACCTTTTGAATTAATATAGATCACAAGGATTTGCGTTTAAGCTACTAGAGCTACAGTAAGAAACAAAACTTGCTTCCATTTCTTCTGTACGACAGAACAAAACAACTCAACACCTCATGCTACTTGAAATTGGTTAAGTATGCTACTTTGTTGTCCAAACATAGACATGTCCTCCAGCTGTGGATCCTGCAAGCACCCCAACATTAAGAGGATGGCAATGAATTCTGCATGGAATAGCTTTCATCAGAGGGCTTTGCAGTGACATCACTGTTTGCTTTAGTTTTGGATTGATCACATCAATTCCTTTTGACAGATTGCCGATAAATATGTATGAATCATCCCACCCCCATACTCCCCTGCAATCAAAAGCATTACCAGCTTCAATTTTTTAACAGACAGAAGAAAGCAATGCCTACTTCTTTTCATTTCTCATAAAAAGTGGGAAAAGAATGTATTGTGGTCACAGGAATAGTGAAAGACTAGCAACAATTACTTGTGCAGTGATTTTTTTGGTCAGAACACAAGTACAACAAGAAAAAGTGTTTTGGAACTACTGAGAGGTTATTAAGGTACAGGATACTGGAGCATACCTGAAATTGGAGCTACACCTGTTGGTGCTATTTTTGTGATATATCATCGAAGGATTCTCGAAATTGCGGCCACTTAGAATACCAACATAGTTGTCACGACTACAAGGAAAACAAAGCGAGAATAAAACAACCACTAGCATTCACAATTTACCGATACAGAATAAGAAAAATGACAGAAAGCTACATTATAAATCAGCTTCACTCTACACATATGTTTATTCGTGTCTCAGTTGGTAAAACTTGTAGAGACCAAAGTAGACTGACTGTCTCTTAACCATCAAGATTTTCTTATACTTGATTGCTTCAAGGCAATAATGTTTTTTCAAAACAATCAAGGCATCATATCTTTACTTAATTTCTTCACAATTATGTTTCAAACAACATCTGATGTGTTTTCTTAAACCAAAGAGATTATTATTTGTAGTTCATAATGGAATGTATTGAACAGGGTGAGGAGAAAACTGACAAGATACCTTGTAGTTGCAAGTGAAAGGCCAGAAGGTGAGAAGTAAGCAGAGTGCACAGCTCTGCCATGATGTACAGTAGTCAATGTTATCGGTTTGTTTGCTCCCATGCATCTCAAGTCCCAAAGGCAAGCAGTCCTATCCTCAGAACTTGTAGCCATGACATGGGGATTTTGCGGGTTGAAGTCAATAGTATTTATCCTGTATTTATGTAAATTCCAGTGGAAAAATGACTTTCCTGCTCGGAGGTCCCATATATTGAACATTCCCTCTCCCTCGCCAAAGTATAAGTTTTGCTCATCGTTTGGTCTTTGTGAAAGCGAATATATAGCTTCATCCCGCGAACAAACGAAATCAAAAACCAACTTTTCTACATCCATCAACCGGATGAGACCATCATAGCTGCTAGCCTGCTACTAATGACCTGCCATAAAATGCAACACCGATATGTAAACAGAGATAACTTAAAAAGGATAAAAAGACAGGTCCTTTAATAATGACCTACCCTTGAGAAAGAGTTTTGCTGAAACACAAGAGATGAAACTACGTTAGTGTGAGGGGTGAATTGATAGATCCTATCATCTTCCTCCTTGTCCAAATTCCAAAACCCAACACTCCCATGTACGTCCCCTGCAGCAATCATATTAAGTTATTAACATTCTCGCAAGGCAAGAACTTTGCAACCAAAATTCTTCCAGGCACAACACGTGCTACATTATGCGGTTCTAAACTCAAAGACTCGAGATCAAACTCAATTTTATTTACATGATCTCTGGGGGAATCTGGCTCCTCCCTATTGACAACAACATTAGAACTTCTAGTGCTCAACATAGGAGCCTCGTTATCATCCTCACAGACCTTAACCAACAATGGTCCTCTAGCAATACTATCAACAAATTGCGTAAGAGAATCCTCTCCTTCATAAGCCACATCGAATGGCATAGGAGCTGATGACTTGCGGGGAAGCGTTGCGTTGTGGGTACGTTTGGGATTAACTGAAAACCTATCGGGTAAGCCACCGGATTCTGGATTCAAGCCTCTGGTGCGTTGAGACTGGCGGATAATTGCAGGTTTAGTATTCTTCTTCTCGTATTGGTTGCGAGGGCGTTTGGTTGCGGCGGAGAGAAGAGCAGCTTTGGCATGCACATTGAGAGCCGCCATCATCTCATCGTTCCGTCTTATGTTCTCCAATCTTTTCCGCTCGTACTCCGTCGCCATTGAAGCGTGAGTGAAAGAATGAGACTTTCTTTTCTCGGAAAACAAGAAAAAATGAGACTTTTGTCTTCACACCTTGAAAAGCTAACATCTTTTATGGGAAAAATGTCGTTTTATCTCTCAACTTTCAAAAAGTGGTCATTCCATACGTCAACTTCTTATAAGGCCATTTTAAACACAAACTTTGCGTTGACCAAACAAATGACCCATTGGATTGCGTTGACCAGGCCCATTTACACACGTCGTTAAATCCGATAACAGACCCATTAACAGACGTTTACATCCGTTAACGTTTCTCTGTTAATGTCGAAAACGTGGTCGTTTATGCTTAAAACGAAATTCTCAATCTCTAAAATCCCCAAATTCTCCGGCTTTAACCTCTGCTTCGCGAGCTACTCCGGCTCCAAAACTGTGTACTCACCTTCCATTGGTCACCCAATCCTCGATATGACGTTGTTGAGTCTCACTAATGGCATTCGTGAAATCAAAATTCGCAATCTTCAAGCTCGATTTTAGGGTTTTTCATTTTGGAGAAATTAGGGTTTGGGGATTTTAGAGATTGGGGATATTTCGTCTAAGTATAAAACGACCGTGTTTTATCACTAACAGAGCAACGTTAACGGGTGTAAACAGACGTTAATGGGTCTGTTATCGGATTTAACGACGTGTGTAAATGGGCCTGGTCAACGCAATCCAATGGATCATTTGTTTGGTCAACGCAAAGTTTATGTTTAAAATGGCCTTATGAGAAGTTGACGTATTGAATGGCCACTTTTTGAAAGTTAGGAGATAAAACGACATTTTTCCCCATCTTTTATTGACCGGAGATGGGCGGTAGAATCCAATTTGCCGCCAAAAAAAATTTTGTTTTTTTGTGGGTTAGTTACGAAGAGATTTACAAAGAAACCTCCAGGGCATGCTCCAACCAAAAGGTCCAAGAAGATCAATCTACTAAAATGAAGAACCGAAACCGAGAAAAGAACAGAAGGGCAATGTACAGAAACCAGGTCATTGAGATGATAAGAATGGAAACTTAGATGGTAGATGAACAAGGAGTACATGCAATTCTCTCATTTTGCTTTCATTGATTTGTCGACTCACCTTTAGGATTAATACAAATCAATAGAATTTAACTTTAAGCAATTAAAGCCACGGTACACAAAACAAGATAACATTTCATGCTGCTTGAAAATGGTTAAAGTACGCTACTTTGCTGTCCAAACATAGACCTGTCCTCCAGCTGTGGATCCTGCAAGTGTCCCAACATTATAAGGATGACAATGGATTCTGCATGGTATAGCTTTCATCAGAGGGTTATGCAGTTCCATCACTGTTCGCTTTAGTTTCGGATTGATCACATCAATCTTTTTTGACAAATTGCCAACATAGATGTATGAATCATCCCACCCCCACACTCCCCTGCAATCAAAATATAAACAAAAGTGGAAAAAGAGTGTATTGATGGTCAGAGGAATAGTGAAAGACTCGTAACATTTACTTGTGAAGTGATTTATTTTGTCAAAATGCAAGTACATCAAGTAGAAAAGTGCATTGGAACTGAGAGCTTAATGTGGTACAAGATGCTGGAACATACCTGAATTTGGAGATCCACCTGCTGGTGTTATTATTGTGATATATCTTGTAAGTATTCTCAAAATTTGAGCCGCTTAGAATACCAATGTAGTTGTCAAGGCTACATGGAAAACAAAACAAGAGTTTAGCTAGCCTCAGAGATGGAGGTAGAAATAGAACAGCCACTAGCATTTCACATAGTATGCAAGGGACCTACATTATACATCAGTTTCACTCTACACATGTTTACTCTTGTCTACATTGCTAAAAGTTTAAGAGATGTATTGAATTTCCCGTCTAAAAACCATCAAGGCACAAGGTTTTCTTGCTAAGTTAAGTGATTCCCAGACTTAATTGCTTCAAGGCAGTGGTGTTTTTTCATCTTTTATACCGAATGCACAGACTTTATGAACCTCAACAAAACTAGAAAAATTCCCCATTACTTACATCTATCCACAATAAATTTTTCAAACAAAAACAAACAACATTTGATGTGAGTTCTTAAATCAAAGAGACTACCAATAAAACCGATACTTGTAGTTCTTAATGAAATGTATTGAACAGGCCGAGGAAGACAGGACAAGATACCTTGTAGTTGCAAGTAAAAGGCCAGAAGGTGAGAAATAAGCAGAGTGCACAGCCCTAGAATGATTTAGAGTAGTCAATGTTTTCGGTTTTTTGGCTCCCATGCTTCTCAAGTCCCAAAGGCAAGCAGTTGCATCTGTGGAACTTGTAGCCATGACATGGGGATTTAGCGGGTTGAAGTCTATAGAGTTAATCCTCTGTTCATGTAACTCCCAATGGAAAACTGATTTTCCTGCTCGGAGGTCCCATATATTGAACATTCCATAATCCTCACAAAAGTACAAGCTTTGCTCATCATTTGGTCTCTGCGAGAGTGAAAATATAGCTTCATCCGTGGAATAAACCAGATCAAAAACCGACTTCTCGACATCCATCAACCGGATGAGACCATCATAGCTGCTGGTAATAACCTGCCATGAATGCACCAACGAACTAATGACTAAAAGAAGAGATAAAGTTTCTCCAATCAAAGTTTCAACACAAAGCTAAATAAAGACAAGTTCTTTAATTGATAACTTACCCTTGATAAAGAGTTTTGCTGAAACACAATAGATGAAACTGGTGCTGAGTGAGGGGTGAATAGATATATCCCATCATTATCTTCCTTATTCTCACAATCCAAATTCCAAAACCCAACATTCCCAAGTTTGTCCCCTGCAGCAACCATCTTAACATTCTGGCAAGGTAAGAACTTGACAACAAAAATCCTCCCAGGCACAACACGTGCAACATTATGCGGTTCTAAACTCAACAAATCCTGATCAAAACCATCCTCAAACTCAATCTTCTCAGGCTTAACCGGAATATCAAATCCCTTCTTCACACAATCACTGAAGGAATCATCTGGCTCTTCTTTTTTAACAGAAACTTTAGATACACGACAAGTACTCCTAGTGCTCACCATAGGAGACTCGTTCTCATCCTTAACCGATCCAATTTCTCCCTTAACCAATTTTTCTCTACAAGACTTACTCTCAATACCCAAAAGAGTATCAACCAATGGCGTATAAGAACCATCTCCTTCATAAGCGGAATCGAAGGGCAGAGGAGCCAATAGACGTGGCGATTGCTTCTTAGGAGAGGGGGGTTTGTGGTGTGTGATCTGAGAACCCATCCGGAAATCTGAAAACCCATCAGGTAAGCCACCGGAATCTGGATTCAAACCTCTGGTGCGTAGAGACTTTCGGATAACAGTGGGCGTTGTAGCAGGTTTCGGCTTCTTTTTCTTAAATGATTTAGATTCGTCTCGAGAGCGTTTGGCTGCGGTTGCGGCAGAGAGAAGAGAAGAAGCTTTGGCACGGACATTGAGAGCCGCCATCATCTCATCGTTCCGTCTTATGTTCTCCAATCTCTTCCGCTCGTACTCCGTCGCCATTGATTGATGCTTGAGAAAATTGAGACTTTTTCTCTTTACACATAAAAAAAAAAAAGAGATTTTTTGCTTCACACCAAAACTGTAAGACCTAGAAGAAAAAAAAGCTAACAACATTTGATTGGTCGGAAATAGGCGGTATACTAACAACTGCCGCCAAAAAAATTACAATTTCCATTTTTTTTTTCCATAATTTCCATTTTCTTTTTGGTGGATTAATTATAAAAAAAAAAACTTTTTATTTTCAAAGTGTGATCTCACTTGAACGGTGTAGATTAGTTTAGACTGTTAGACCGAAAATTAGAACCGTACGATGGAATCCTAAAAGAGTTAAACCCTAAAAGAGGAAAAACCCCAATCTAGCTCTCCGATTCATCTCTCTGTCAATGGCTCGCTTCGTCAGATGTCTGAGAAGAACACTCTTTTCTAATTCGTCTCCTTCAATTGCTTACCGGAACCCTAGGATTGGTTTGCCCTCGAATCAAAATCCTAAATTTATAATCAGCCGCAGATGTCTAAGCTCCGGGAGTTACGTGTCAGAAATGCAGAAATCAGCTTTCCAGGGCAACATTTTGCGACTGATCCGTAATGAGATTGAGTACGAACTCGATCACTCGCCTCCTCTTCAGGTTTTCTATTAATCTCTTCTTCTTTTTGGTTATTATTAGTATAAGCGATAAAGCTAGATACTTTAGGCCTAGGAATAGTGTTATTGATCAATTGATTGTTTTGGCATGGGAATCATATAAATGTTGATCTGCGTAACTTAGTTGATACAACTTGTAAACTATTGGATGAATAATGAAGGAAATGTTCACATCTCTGAAATGGCCTCTCTGTTTTGGGATTTGCAAGCTGCAGTAACCTCTTATAAACCCATACGTTAGCTAGTAACCTCTTCTAGTTCGTCTTATTGAACTACAATGCATTTCCATGAGCTTTGGCTCCCATTTCCGATATTTCTACTTGCTACATTGAATAATAATTTGAGCACTTTGCTTGTACAAATTTGCAGCCTCCTAACAGTTTTGGTCCATTCACTGTGGATGAACGGCCTGGAGAGCAGTGGATTAGCTTGAAAAGGAGATTTGGGGATGCAGAAGACATCAAAATTGAAGCAACTATGTTTGATAGATCAGTTCCGACGTCAAAATCTACCAAAACTGAACCTGAATATATTCTTCACATCACTTTCATTGTCAACATCTCCAAGGGTGGTGCTAGTGAAGCTTTAGAGATCATGTGTTCTGCTTGGCCAGATACCATAGAGATATTGAAGCTCTGCATTCGTAAAGGCAACAACACTTCACTGTCTTCCTATGGTGGACCAGAGTTTGAGTACGGCGACTGATTCTTTTCTTCAACATTAAAAAAATTGAGATACAAGAATGAAATCAGTGAACTTATTAATGTCTTTACATTTGGTTATTACAGGGAATTAGATGATCAGCTTCAAGACGCACTTTATCAATTTTTAGAGGAAAGAGGTATAAGCGACGAGCTTGCTGTTTTCTTGCATCGGTATATGAAGAACAAAGGTAAAGCTGAGTACGTTCGATGGATGGAGAGCGTTAAATCTTATGTTGAGCAAAAATAGGCATCAGCCTGCAGCAAAAGTCTTCATCAGCCGTTGTGTATGTGAGTATGACTCTCTTTGATTTGGGTATGCTTCAATAAATTCATTTGCAAAAAAATTGTTTGCTGGGTTCTTAGCTAGCAGATTGTGTAAAAACTATCCAAGATGCATAATTATGAGCATGGGCAGTCATTTGAATATTCACATCATTTCAGCAATACAAGTCACATATTTCTGGTGTCTCTTGTTTGCCTGTTTCTTACCAGCAATGGAGATTGGAAGTGTCTTAGTTAAGTTTGTAACATGATGACTTCTCGGGTAACTTTTGTTTCCCCCTTAGGAACTTGTTATCTAACACTTTTATCTGAATTGGTGACTTCCAAATCAATTCTAGTGTTCCTTAACAGAGTAGCAACTTTTTTAATTTTAATTCCATAGTGTGGTAACTGTAGATTTACAGTGAAACACCAGAAGTTAAAAGGGACAAGCCAGCTGAATCCGTGTAATTAGTGAAGAAATTTTCAATAATCTCAGTTCTATGGATTAGATTTCGAATATGATTAGAAGTGAAGTTTGGATTTTTTGTTCATCTGATTCTGTTGTTTTGTAGAATTTCTCTCATTGTAGTAAAATAATCAATGAGGTTAATTATTATATGATGTAAAAAAGGGCCATTTAAAATCTAATAGGCTTCTCTGTTTCTGTATAATGAAAACGTCATTATCTAAAAGAATTTTGGATATTTTTCCACTGTGAAATGTGATTTGGTATCTTCATAAAAATCTTAATCGATGTGACGTATTTGGATCATGTGAGGGATTAGTGAGGTAATTATGGTGCATAACAACATGATTTCCGCATCGTTAACATCTTGATTTGTGGAAAATATTGATTGTTAACTGCAATGATTAACATTATATTAATTATTATAACTTTAGTGTAAACATCAACTTGATACGGACCTACTCAAAGCAAAATTCACAGAATCTTTGGGTTATAATTCATTAAATCCAATAATAATAATTAATTTTCACTAATAGATACATCTCACCCACATGGCCACATATCATTACACAAACTATCGTGAAGTGTTGCAGATGTTTTTCTGAGTTCTATTCGACTAAAATTTAACAACGCTCAAGTTGTCGAAATATAAAATCGAACAACGCTAAATTTTATTTATGTAATAGTGAAACACTGTGAAATAATAAAAGCGACGTGACAAGATTAGATTAAAAAGGACCATCAAAATTTAACTTTAATAGTCACATGGCGATAAAAACAACAACCTCTGACGAAGAACTCTTTACTTGTAGATTAATGTCTGTTTCTTTTAACTACATGTAGGACCTCACTTCGATAATCACATTGTATCCACTCTGTATATTTTTTTCCTTAGAAAATGTTAAACCTTGCTTATGGTAGTTTATTTTTGTCATTTTATAATGTATAAATCTTCCACTATACTATAAATTAAGGACATCTTTTTGGTAAACGACTATATATGAATGATTTTTTATTTTGTTAAGAGAATGAAAGAAAGAAAAAAAGACTACATGATTTGCACCGAAAGAAATATATTGATATTGATTGACTAAAGTCAGCTCACGTCTAGCTAATAAATCGGTGACAATCTAGTGGGCAATAATACGTATAACGTAGGACATATTTTGCTTCTCCTTAACGACTATATCCCACAATAATTTGTACTTCCATTTTTTTTGTTATATTCATCTTATTATGTACTACGTGGAATTAATTTCACTTGATCTTTAATAGATGATATTATTTTATATTCATCTTATTATTATGTTATACATGTGATGTCCACATTTTTGATTATAATAAATACACCAGTCTAAAGGTATATGTGCGTGGACGACCTAACATTTCTCCATAAAGTCCATTTTAATAGTTTTTAGTATTGTACTATGGACTTAAAATAGACCTCAAATATTGAATTACACCAACAAGGCATCAATGGAATATATAAAAAGTACAACTTGATTAGTGAAACTCTAACACACCCTGCCGTCAATCATTATATCAAACAAATATGAGAATAAAAAAAAGTTATAATGAAGACTAAAAAGAAGATGACAATTTAAGAGCTCATAGCTTAAGAGTCAAGTCAATCTTCTTAAACTGATTATGATCTTCTTGATTGCTCTTGAAATGTCCAATCATGTTACCGTTATTACTGCCGGCGACTTCGAGGTGAAATTTCTCCGGCAACATCTTTCCGATGGTCGGTTTCTGGTTAATGCTCTGTTTGAAAACATGACTTAAAGTCGCCGTTTGTCTTCCTAAAAAGGGCTTATGGATCGTTGAATGAGCTTGAATCCCTAACGTCGACCTCTTATTCACCGAGCCATGTAATGGTAACGATGCCATGCTTGCAAATCTGCTGACTGAACCGTGGCCAAACGCAAACGCTGAAGAAGGCAAGGAGGAGAGAGTCATCTTGTAATACTGTCCACGTTTGGCTAAGGTGCGCTCGCGTTTATGAGCGTTTTGGTGGCCGCCTAGTGCTTGTGAGCTATAGAACTTTCTTTGACAATAGTTGCAAGAGAACACTCTCGGATCTGCCAAATGTTCTTGCTGGTGATGATGATGAGAAGTCGACGATGAGCTGGTTTTAAAAGAATCGATGAGATTGAGCTCTGACGAGGTCGTGGTTCCACGTGGCAAAAGGGTCAAACCCAACTCAAGATCTTGATGACCTTGTTTCTTGATTTTTAACATTTCTTGATCTCCTTTGATGGACGGATCCATGTATATTCTCTGTATATGGCCTAGAGAGGATATATATAAAGAGAATGAAAGTAAAAACAATTGATAAAGATGTGAACTGATGTGGTCGTGGGAAGTGAAGTGTGAGTTCTATTTATGGAATTGGACGGACATGTGACCTTTTTTCAAATTGAATGATGTTTAAAGAAAAAAAGGACACTTTTGATGTGTGCAATCTGACCTAGAGCTATAGAGCCCACACATGTAACTGTATAGTAGTGGACACTTGAAAAAAGAAGAAAATTAATGTCGTAATTATATGAATTATTGATTTATCTGGGAACACATATAATGAGTGTTCATGATATCATGTTATACTATTGTAATGAATGCTATAAGTAGCTCTATCTTAATCAAATGAGTCTGTCTCTGTTGTCACCTCGATTTTCTTTGTTATAATCATATTATCCTTTTTTATTATACAAACGTTTTTTGGGGATTACAAATATATACACGTATGTACGTAGTTCCTTTATTTAGGGTTTAGGTGAGACGTTTGATTCAAAGCCCTATATGAAGAAGCTGTCTTTATTTGTTTAAGTGTTAGGTAAGTTAGCAATTTGGACAAGGATTATGAAGCCAATCAAACCTCCCCGACAATCACTTTCGTTTCGATTATTTTTAATCCATTTTCCCGTTTTCGGTTGAATGTCCAAAACTTAAAAACGATACACATCCATCTCACATGAAAATGTTATTAATCATTGTTTACGATTATATATATTCATTCTTGTTAGCTTACAAAACTATATATGGCACCCTTGATATATATAAGTCAACTAAATTGTTAAATCAATTCCTTTAATTTTCAGTTGTGTTTCATATAAAAGTAAAGTACAACCTCATCAAATGCATTTGAAATTTTTATATATGTAGTTGATAATGAAAATTACGATTACCTTGTTAGTACTAACAACAGCACATGATTGTGATCTGATCGTAATACAATGATATTGCGAAGTAGTTGTAGTCATACTGGTTCAATTTTAAATACATCCAACTGTGATCTTATCACCAAACATATGATTCCCCAAAATTTATGATTGATTTATTTTGAATCAATATACCATCTGCTGAAAAAGAGAAAACACATCCACCTTTAGTTTCAAAAGTACAGTTTTTTGCTTTAATCGTAGTGACTTATGAGGTGATGCATTTTGTTTTTATTTTGCTTTGTCTAATCAATTTCGACGACAATATATCTCCTCCTAGATTACCTTGTCGGTCCAACCTCCACAACAAAAGTTTATGGACCACCCTCTACTTCTTTAATAACAAAGAAAAGGTAGATATATGAGAAAAGAATGTCCATGAATTCTTAAAAATAAAAAAAAAAAATTAAAAGAATGTCCATGAATGTTGAATAATAGAATGTCTAAAGGTAACATAGTTAATAAACATTTTCCCGTTTACACAATTTGCATGTGATTGAACTGGAACAAAAGATACAAATATACAATGGATTTCGTGGAACAGAGTATAGGATGTGCAATTGTGCATGTGCCTAGCTACAAGTAAGAATGATATATAAGAACACAAATGAACACATTTTATTTGGAAAAAAAAATAAATCAATATGGTTTTATTTATTTGTTGGGGTTTTCTATCTAATCATAACGAAGTCTCTAACTCCTGCACAACTCGGAAACATTGAGAGAAATGGAAAAATGGAAACGTGGGTTTGTTCCAAAGAGATAGGGAACATAATACTCCACTAATTATCTTTCAATCCCTTACAAAAATTAAGAAAAAAAGACTGATTAGTTAGTTACTTTGACTTAGTCACGAGTATCAGTTACGTCGAACATGGCATAACTTTCTATGGGCCCTTATATTAGGCCCATTAGGATCAATAGAATGAGGTAAAATTCGAAATTACCAAAAATAACGGGGAGCTAAGAGTAATTTACGCAGAATAAAAAAATGGGCGCTCGGAGTTAAGATTTCTCCCGCTCACTCCAAAGATATCCAAAATTCGAAACTTAATTTTATTTCCTAAATTTCCTCTTTAATTTCTCCATAATTCGAAGATTGATTTTATTTCCTAAAGTTTCTACTTAATTTCCCCACAACTATTTTAATTTCTCCAAAATTCGAAATTGATTTTATTTCCTAAATTTTCTCATTAATTTCTTTTCTCCACGACGATTTCCAAAAGGGTTTTCTTTTATTGGTCTCCACTAGTCACACTAGTACATATAGACCTCGTCTCTGCGTCGCTTCATCTTTACTTGGTCTTTCTCTGCTCATTTCGTCTTCTCAGCTTTCTCCGATTACGCGAAAATGGCAGTGAAAAACAAACAAATGAAACGCGCTGAGCCAGAGTCAGATCTGCTTTTTGCTGGGAAACCAGTGTCTGTTGTGGAGTCGATGATTCGATGGCCTCATCGCTACCCATCCAAGAAAACAAAGCTTGAAGCTGCGACGAAGGGGTAAAAATTTAGGGTTTTTTTTGTTTGTTTTCTCTGTTGAAATTCGATTTCATGTTCGCTTCTTCTATGATTTTGTTGCTTTATCTTCTGTTTGATGTCTTGGCGTTTCGTTGTTTTGATTTACAGTGACAAAAAGGAAAAGATAAAGTTAGCGAAACGTCACTACGAGCAAGCTTTGGTTGATGGAGTTCTCATCAACCTCAATGACGATGTCTACGTCACGGTACATTTAGCTTCCTGAGATTCCTTCATTTATGCCATGGTTTTTGTCAATCTCTGTTTAGATTTTATGTTGCTACAGTTTTTGTGTTTTGTTGAGATGTTAGGTTGGTACAATTTTCATGGTTATTGTTAATCATTGTTGAAAATTTTGTTGTCAATCACTGATCCTTATGTAATTACCATGCAGGGTCTACCAGGGAAGCTGAATTTCATTGGAAAAGTTATTGAAATGTTCGAAGCTGATGATGGGGTGCCTTATTGTCGGATTCGGTGGTTTTACAGACCAGATGATACTGTGAGTTGTTACTGCTTTTGAGTTTACTAGATCCCTTAGCACTAATTTATGTATCTCATTTGTGTTCTTTGTATTCTATAGTTGATCGAAAGATTTGCCGAACTTGTGCAAAAAAAGAGAGTGTTTCTATCAAATGTTGAGGACGATAATCCTCTGACTTGCATATATTCGAAAGTCCACATCGCTAAAGTCCCATTACCAAAGGTATCAAATACTCTGATTTCAATTGGCGCAGTGTATGAAAAGTTTCGTGATTTGGCTTCTTATGAATTTATTTATCTATACTAATTAACACTTTTTACAACAGATTACCTCCAGAATCGAGCAAAGGGTTATTCCTCCATGTGACTATTACTACGATATGAAGTACGAAGTGCCATATCTGAATTTTACAAGTGCAGATGATGGTAAATTGAATTTTTATTCCTTATGGTTTCGGTTTTAATTAGCTTCCTTTTAACTGTATTGTCCATGTTAATCAGTTTGTAGCCCCATCCTAGACTTATTACTGTTTTGTTGTATCAGTATTATCTTATATGAGCTGGTCGTTTAAAGTGCAAATGATTGTACTTGAAATTTTATTCCTTCTGGTTGCGGTTTTAATTAGCTTCTTACTAATTGTAATGTCCATGCTAGTTAGTTTATAGCACCATCCGAGACTTATTACTGTTTTTGAAATGAGCACTATCATATCTTAGTTGGTCATTTCTAAAAAATACTTAAAACAAGCTCTGGTTTTTGCAATTTTATCATTCATATCTTTATTAACCTTCTTCATAGTGTTTTGGAGAAAACTAATGATTTTTGTTTTGCCAAACAATCCCAACAGATAGTGCTGCGTCATCAACTCTTTCAAGTGATTCCGCCTCGAATTGCTTTGAAACTCTCCACAAAGATGAAAAATTCTTATTGGATCTGTACAGTGGATGCGGAGCGATGTCCACAGGTTTCTGCATGGGAGCTTCCATAGCAGGAGTAAAATTGATTACGGTAAATGTTATTATGAATTTTGTTATGAATTTTGCTGTACTTGCCTCATCTATGTCACTTACCATTTTGCTGTATCTGACCAAGAGTCTTTCTGATTTTGCAGAAATGGTCTGTGGATATAAATAAGTTTGCTTGTGATAGTTTTAGACATAATCATCCTGAAACAGAGGTAAGTCTTTATTGGTGATTTTTATAAAGCGTGTTAGGAGCAAAGATACGATTTCTACTCATGTAATTATTTTATTTTGAACATTGCGCAGGTGAGAAATGAAGCCGCAGAAGATTTTCTAATTCTCCTCAAAGAATGGAAAAGGCTCTGTGAAAGGTTTTCTCTCATTTCAAGCACTGAACCAATGGAATCAATTTCTGAGTTGGAAGATGAAGAAAGTGACGAAAATGATGACATAGATGAGGCAAGTACTGGTATGGAACTCTCAGCTGGAGAGTTTGAAGTAGAAAAGTTTGTTGGCATCGTTTTTGGAGATCCTAAAGGCACAGGGGAAAAGACACTTCTTCTTAAGGTATTGTTTCCTGAACTATAAATCAGAATTCTCAATTAGTTACAAACAAATTTCATCCTTTCGTAAGAGATAATTCAAACATTAGTTTTATTTTTATTTCATTACTCTCAGGTAAGGTGGAAGGGATACAGTCCTAAGTATGATACGTGGGAACCTTACTCTGGCTTAGGGTAACTTTTCCAGCCCTAGTTTTGTATTAACGTTTTATTAATATTTATATTAATTACTTTATTTTTCTTCCAGCAATTGTAAGGAGAAGCTCAAGGAGTATGTAACAGATGGGTTCAAGTCTCATCTTTTACCACTTCCCGTGAGTTTATCAAGCTTTTTACGATCTTAACTACATGTTTGATGATAGTTCCTAGCTAATAATTACTTTGGTCTCTTCAATATTTGTTTATTACTATTTCAGGGTACTGTTTACTCTGTGTGCGGTGGGCCACCCTGCCAAGGGATCAGTGGCTATAACCGGTTTAGAAACAAACAAGCACCGCTTGAGGATAAGAAAAACCAGCAACTTTTGGTGTTTTTAGACATCATTGACTTCCTCAAGCCAAGTTACGTGCTTATGGAAAATGTTGTAGACCTTCTTAGGTTTTCAAAGGGTTACCTGGCACGTCATGCTGTGGCTAGCTTTGTTGCCATGAATTACCAGACGCGGTTGGGCATGATGACTGCTGGATCCTACGGTCTCCCTCAGGTTAGAAACAGGGTTTTTTTATGGGCCGCACAACCAACAGAGGTAAATATATGTTACATAATATTTACCACTAATATATTGTCTTAGAGGCCATGATCTTTATTGCTCTCTCTTATCTTGTTTGACAGAAACTCCCCCCTTACCCACTTCCAACACATGAAGTTGAGAAAAAATTCAACACACCAAAGGAATTTGAGGTAAGTGTGGACGGTTGTACATTTAAATTTAAAACACACTTATAATTTCATTGCTTATTCATCTGTTGTAAATGCAGGATTTACAAGTTGGACTTATTCAAAAGGAGCTTCTTCAATTAGACAACGCTCTTACGCTGGCTGATGCTATTAGTGACCTACCACCGGTGTGTATCTAAACTTCAGAACTGCCGTTGATGATTATGTTACATTATATCTATCTAGTTCATTGATCAGTGCTCTATTAATGCTGTAGGTGACAAATTCTGAGGCAAATGATGTAAGGAATTATAATGATGCTGCTCCTAAGACAGATTTTGAGAACTTTATTAGCCTTAAAAGATCTGGTGAGCATTTTAAACTCGATAAATTTGGTAGGTACCTCTAATCCAATATTAACGAATCTTCCTTTTTTCAGAGACACTATTACCCGTATGTGGTGGAGATCCGGCACGCAGGTTGTTTGATCATCAGCCTCTTGAATTAAGAGATGACGACTTGGAAAGAATTTCCTACATACCAAAAAAGAAGGTGCGACAATTTTTAGTGCTTGTTTCAAGTATTCAATGTATAATCATTTCTTGTTCATGTTGTTGTATTCTTATTGCTACAGGGGGCAAATTTTCGTGATATGCCTGGTGTTTTAGTTCACAACAACAAAGCGCAACTTAACCTTAGGGTGAAGCGAGCAAAGTTAAAATCTGGAAAGAATGTGGTAAACATTAAACCACGCGCAACCTTGTCATTTTTCTGTTCTAGTTTTTTTTTTGCAGATTCTATATGACATGTCTTTTGGTTTTCACAGGTCCCTGATTATGCAGTTTCATTCATAAAAGGAAAATCAAAAAAGTGACTTTCTCTAACTAATATCCTTCTTGTGGAACCTCTTTCCATAACCTAAGAATGTTAAATTCACTGAAAGTAACACATCTGTTATCTGAATGTCAGGCCTTTTGGTAGATTGTGGTGGGACGAAATAGTTAACACGGTTGTGACAAGGGCAGAACCTCACAACCAGGTAAGCCCTTTTGCTTTCATTTCCCATGTGTGTGAGTACGTTCCACTTTGCATTCTCTAGTGACAGGTTTATTAAAACTGGTTGGTGCAGTGCGTAATCCATCCAATGCAAGAGCGTGTGTTGTCTGTCCGTGAGAATGCCAGACTACAAGGGTTCCCTGATTGTTACAAGCTTTGTGGCTCAATTAAGGAAAAGTAAGTCCTTGGTTCTTGCTGCTTCTCTAGCTATGTATGTCATGTGAGTGATTGTTGTTTAGCACTGGAGATCCTAATATGAAAAAAGTGGGGTTTGAATTAAATTTTGTAGGTACATCCAGGTTGGGAATGCAGTGGCAGTTCCTGTAGGGGTTGCGTTAGGATATGCATTTGGTATGGCGAGTCAAGGACTGACGGATGATGAGCCTGTAATCAAGCTGCCCTTCAAGTACCCTGAATGCATGCAGGCAAAGCCGGAGGATCAATCTGATTGACGGTCTCCATCAAGGCCTCATCATGAAACTCTCTATCTTTAGGAATCGTACTCCATTTTCTAGACTGCTTAATGTTCTTTTATTTCTTTTTGGGTCAGCAAGAGCTATATGCTTTAACAATGGCTTTAACTGTTAGCTCTTGATCGTTGTTTCTTCTTCTTAGTTTATGTTGACTTTATCTTCGTTTGGAAACAATTAAATGGTGAAAGATTTGGTCCACGCAAATTAAATTATAGCCCCAGTCCTTCGTTTGGGCGTTTAGGTTTTAATATTGGGCACAAATTTGATATCTCATAACAGAGCAAATTTGATCTTCTTTCGTTTCTTCTTCCTCATTCTTAAACAGGCTTGTTCTTCGATTCCCTAATAAACTCATTGATACAGGGAGAGAGAGACAGAGATGGAGGAGGAATATGTTATGATCGATCTTGATGACGTTTCAAGGCACATTGACATTCCATCAGATGCTCCTTATACTTTATCAGTTAGTTTAATTCAACAATTTGCATTCTCTTGCATTGGTTTGATGTTGTATTATAAGTTTCGTTTTGTTTGTTCTCTCAGGGTTTGGATACTTTGAATCCGGTGTTGACCATTGATGACAAAATCAAGCTGGTAATTCTCTTACTTGCAACTACAATTTTCCAAGTTCAGCAGTTACTCTTTGCTTAAACTATTCTTAATCATATTAGATTGATCTCTCAGGTTGGAGAATATATAGAAACGATTGGTACATGCCTTGCTTTCTCTGACAAAGGTTAGTTTCACTTTTCCTCTTTATTAACAAACATGGAAACATCTTATTGTTTCAAGTAATTATTTTGTCCCTTAAGTTTTTTTTGTGCTGATTGTGGCTTGCGATTTCTTCATTTTTTGTTTGCACAAGGTGAAAACCAGACGCCACAGAAGAAGACAGTTGAACCTGTTGCCAAACTCCACAAGATTCTCAAGTTTAGGTTAGCAGCATTAGACAATGAAGATGGAGTAACAAAAACAACCAATTTGTAAAAGTTTTTCTCCTGTTCAAGTGTCATCGGAAACCTGACTTTTCTTCAAGATTGCATCGGGCCAATCTTTGATATTTTTGCTTTGTTGGCCTCCTTTATGTGGCAAACTAGCAGTCATGTAACTAGACCAAACAATCATGAAACTAGACAGAGATATAGCCAAAAAAAACACTTGTAAGGGTTCTCAAAACGGCAAGCACAAGTTTTTGTCAGAGTTTCCTAAGAAAAATTGAGACGACAAAATCGTTATGCTAAATTGCTAATAGCTATTTTAATGATGCAGTCATATGTAAATTCGAAGGCAGTAAGGCCTTTTATAAGCCCATCTATATTGGGCTTTCAGCCCAAGAGTATTTTGTCTGGCCCGGACCATAATTAGGTCTGGTGGCAAAGTTGTTAATAACACAAAAGAGATTTTAGTTAATAAACCCTAGGCTTCTCCAACGTGTTCTCGGCCATTGCTACCAAACTTCAACTTCGAATTCATTCAGCCGCCGTTCAAATTGCCTCGCCGCCACCGGTAATTTTGTTTTCCCTTTCCCGTATTGTTTTCTTGTCCCTATAGCCTCACTTCTTCTAGGGTTGAGTTCAGTCTCTGTTTGTTTTCAAGGAATCGATTTTACAAATTCTGTATAAACTTTTCATACAATCTGATATCTGTTGTTTATATTGTAGAAGCAAAGAGTAGAGAGATAATGGCTGAAGAAGAAGCTAAGGGTTTGGATTACATACCGGAGATTGTACTGAAGAAGAGGAAGAACAGAGATGAGCTTGCCTTTATCAGGAAGAAGCAACTTGAGTTGGGAAATTTCGGCAAGAAGAAGAAGAAAGTCTCTGACATCAAACGTCCTGAAGATTTTGTGCTTGAGTTCAGGGCTAAGGTACACTTCTTTATTTCCAGATTCTCTGAAAACTTTGCTTTGTCATTTTCCATTCGTTTTACTGCCTCAAGTTCTGATTTTTGCTTCTTGACTTGTTTACACCTTAGAAGAACTTGTTTTGCTTTGAAAACTTTGCTTAGTCTTTGCTTTAAATTAAAGCTATACAAAACAAATTTTGCATTTGACTAAGGTCTGCATAGTGAAGGTCTTTCGTTTCTTTACGCGGAGTTGAAGTTGTTTGTGTTAGCTTCTTAATTTTCAGATTTGGCCATTGAATTTAAAAACATTTGCTCAGTCATTGCCCATTAATTTTACTGCCCAAGCTCTGCTCTTTGCTTCTAGACTTGTCTACTACACCTTAGATCATGCTTTGTAATCCATGGAAACAGTTTTGGCTGAATCTAGTCTTTGAGTTACAATTATATGCTATATATACATCAACCTTTAGGTTTAGGTTTCAACACATTTTGCATTTGACTAAGGTCTTTCTTTGCTTTACGTGGAGTTTAAGTTGCCTCTATTAGTGTCTTTTCACCTTTCTCTTAGACTCTACAGATATTTTGTGTTTCTCCTTTGAGATTTCTTCCTAGTTTGTGCTTAGGACTTGTTGTTTCTTCTGTAAATCCTGCATTGTTCTCTGTGATTTGACTGTTTCCTTTTTGTTAATTTTATCTTTAAGGAAATAGATATGATCCGGATGAAGCAAAGAGTAAAGAGGCCAAAGTCATCTCCTCCACCAGTTAAATCAGACCTGGTTTTCATCATACGCATACAAGGGTAATTGATATTCTCCAATTAGCTTTGTCTTCCCCAATCTTCATTTCTGCTAGTTTCTTATCCTTTCCTTTTCTTTCTGGTGACCAGCAAGAATGATATGCACCCAAAGACCAAGAGGATTCTTAACAATTTGCAACTTAGGAGCGTCTTTACTGGTGTATTTGCCAAAGCAACTGACAGTTTGTTCCAAAAGCTTCTCAAAGTGCAGCCTTATGTCACTTATGGGTACGTAGAGACAATCAATCCTCTTTCGATCTTTCCTTGTTGCTCGATTTCCATGCTGTTTCTCAATTCTCTTATGAGCTGACTGATGTTTACCATTCTTAAAGATACCCGAATGATAAGAGCGTTAAGGACCTCATATACAAAAAGGGATACACGATCATAGAGGGAAATCCTGTTCCTCTTACCGACAACAACATAATCGAACAGGTAAAATTTCCAACTGTTAAAGTATAGGTAGGAGCTTATGCCAGATAATAACCATGCTGTTCTTAATATTTCCCACTTGTGTAACCCTAGGCTCTAGGAGAACACAAAATCTTTGGCATAGAAGACCTTGTGAATGAGATAGCAAGAGTCGGTGATCATTTCAGAGAAGTTATGAAATTCTTGGGACCCTTGAAACTCAACAAGCCTGTGGCTGATGTTTTGCACGGGAAGAAACAAGTTTTCAGCGAAGGAGGAGATACTGGTAACCGCGAAGATAAGATCAATGATCTCATCAGCAAAATGAATTAGAAGCAGCAATCCTTGTAATCGCTAGCTACTTACTATATTTCCTTTAAAAGATCTGTATGAGGCTTAAAAAAACAACCACTTTGGTGAAACGCTATTTCAATTTTGATAAAAGGGACATTCGCAATTTTATATAATCATCCGAGGTGACCCCAGATATTATATTATACACATGTGATGCAAACAGAGTAACATAAGCCAACGGTTTTCAAGTTTTGTCTTTCATCTTCTGAAGCTCCTCCTCTCTTTGGGTGCTTCATCTTCCTCTGGCAACTTCACAATCGTGTATGTTCCTGCTCCGATTAACGCCCCGAGAATCGGGGCAGTGAGGTAAACCCAAATAGCTCTGTAATTGTTTGCTGCAATGGCTGGACCTAGTGTTCTTACAGGATTCATCGAAGCAGAAGTTGCTGGTCTGTCGTACACAACATCATGATCAGTAAAACATATGATTACATGTCCAAGATCTGAATTCAAGAAATGGTTTAGCTTAGATCCATCTAGTGGTTTATTTACCCAGCTATGAGTATGTTAAGCATGACCGTTGCTCCTACCGCAATTCCCGCCAACTCTCCCACCTGTAATCTTGTGATTAGTTTTTTGAGACGACTAAAAAGTCTAAAATTCAAGATTCTTCAAAATTGTTTATGATAAGTAATTTACAGCTCTCGTGTCGGTGGCTACGGCTGTGACAACGAACATGAGGTTGAAGCTGATAATGAACTCCAAGGCAAAGGCTTGGCTTAGACCCACCGTCGGCACCGTCACGCCACCGCTCATCGTTGGTTCAAACACTGCTTTCAGTGCAAACGCCGCACACACGGAGGCCATCACCTGAGCTCCGATGTACACCGGCACCTATTTTTGTAACATAATTTAATTTAGATTTTAGACACCAACAATTGTTTTTTAATTATTAGAAATCGCTTTACATGATATTTTTTTATATTTTTATTACTTTTTTTTTTTTTTGGACAAATTATATTTTTATTACTCATGTTAAAATTTAATTGATGATAAACATGCATGTGCATGTCTATAAACTTCATGTGGTTTTCTCAGTAACATCCAAAAGTGTGTAAAAACAAATAAAGTTAAAGTACTGACGTGTTTCCAAGGGAAGTGTTTGAGAGCAGCAAAGGCAATGGTGACAGCCGGATTGAGATGCGCCCCAGAGATGTGACCGGTCGATAATATAACGATCATAACCGCCAAACCAGCCGAGGCGGCGCAACCAATAAGCGTCTCAGCTCCATCTGTCTTCTGGTTCACGATAGCCGTCGCTGTTCCGGCGAATATCAGGATCAATGTCCCAACAAACTCTGCTCCCAACTTTACACACACATATGTATTGGTTCAATGCTCAGTAAAATGGAACATGATTGATATCAATGATATGAAGTATAGTAATTGCAATGAGAATGCGTGTATATGTACCTTGCGGTAGAGGGAAACGTTAGGGGGAGGGAGAGAGCAAGAGACCGGAGGGAGTCTTCCATCTTCAAGAGCCCATTCATTGTCAACACTGAAACATTTGCAGCTTTTTAGAAGTGACTTTGGTGTATATTTACCATTGTGTCCATTCCTCTTCCCTTCGAATCCTCCAAAGAGCGGTGCTCCTGGAGTCCCCGGGGTTGTAGCCGGCGTTGAGGGCATTGATGGAATTTCCTCATGATCCATAAGGAGGGTAGAGAGAGATGAGATCTTAATTTGAGGATATATGTTTTTGCTATATATGATTGTTTTTATGTGATATAGAATTGAGGGATGTGTAGGGTATTTATAGAGGAAGACATGAGAGTTGACTTATGAGTGAAGGACCCAAAATAGATGATTGATATTTGGTTGAAGTGAGGAGTGAGTGGGTTGGTAATCCTTAGTTTTTAATGCATGTGTCCTAAGGAAGCCTCTTTACATAACATGAAATGTTGCTATCTTTATGAGAATGGGTCGTGTATCGTATCTTGTATATTTCTACTTACATGATACATGTATCGTGTACTAAAGAAGCTTTTGGGATGGAGCAATAATTGTGGATATCTTTCTCTATCGACATACATTATTTTGCTTAATTTGTTCTTCTCCATGAGAATGGAACTCTTGGGTTTGTGTGGTTGTAAGTTGTTAGCAAAGAGAATGATGATAAAAGCGATGGTTCTTGACCTTTCCTTGTCACAGACAGGGACTCATCGTCGACTCTTTTTTTTGTCCTGTGCACTCTTTTGTATCAATCCCTAATACTTGCAAAAAAAGAAACAAATGTAAGAAGAACAGTAGTTTAACCAAAATAAAATATTGAAGAATTTTGTAATGAAAGAAGTGGTTTGTTTGTATGTATAATCCTTGCATGTATTTACGCCAATTATTTTGATTGAATCGATGCAGATGGTTGTATAGTTTGGAAGTATAAATATGATTTTCCCCTCGGAAATTCAAGGCTTTATTAAGCCTTTAATCTCCCCACGCAAAAACTATTCGGTAAATTAAATATACAAATTATGAGAAGAAGTATAATCGCATCCCAAGTGAGGCTCAAATTACTCTATATAAATCCTATATTTTACTAACAATATAGAATCAAGATTTTACATGTTAAAGAAAAGATATCCTTGAGATGTATATACTTATGATTAAAATAACTTTTGAGTTCATCTCTTCATATAATAATTTTGAATGACTCTTGCATAATGTGTATACTTTTAAAGTTATTCCTTTATATCTATAAAAAAAAAATCTGTGATGACCCGTCACAACTCTTTAGAATCAAAGTTAAAACACTAATTTATTGCTTTGTCCTCACAATCGTATGACTATGAAGTGTCTTGGATTTAATTATAATTATTTCTCTAAGGTATAAGTTTCTTGAAGCCTTTATTCGCTTTTATAACTTATGCCTAAATATACATACCCTTTTCTAAGTTTTACGGAATAAGGAATGAGTGGTCTCGGTTTAAATAAAAAAACTATGTGTAGATATAGATAAGAGGTCTATATATCCGGAGAATATATACCTCCTAAGACTAAGATAGTCATTTAAATTTCGTCCATTCCCTTGAAGTTAAATCACATTATGTCATAGAATATAAATTTGGTAACATTGAGTACGCAGATATAATCGAAACAAAATAATAAATCATGAGAATGTATGAATGCGTGTGGTGGTGAATTAGAGATTGTTGGAAGTGGAGCAACAAATCAGGACCGTTTAAAAGATGTGAATCGACTGTTTGTTCTAAAGCCCCATGTCACATCGCAGGGCATAGATAGTAACTGTGAAATTTCTTACATTTGGATGAAGTTTAGTTAACCATTCACTTCGTTGTAAAAAGATTACTCAAGTTTGATTAGTTACTTTTATAAGCACAATGCTTGCAATATCTTCGACAATATATAACATAAATTTTGTGTACATGTTATTGTTAATAACAACCTTAGCGACTATAAATTAGGACAATTTTTTGTTTTTTTTTGCATATAAATGATAGATGGTCAAAAAAACTTACGAAAAATAAATAAATGTAAAAGAAATGATAATGATTTTGAAGGGGATGTATCTAAGAGTAAAGGGGAGGAGTGTAAATAGAAATGTTGTAGGGTCGAATAAAATTGTCAAAAGTCCGGTCCAAATTATTTTGTCCCTCACTAATCGTGGCTACCATGAACTGGTCAACTTTATTCCATTTTCTTCTTAATTAGTTTTACAAGTATACATCATTATCAATTTATCATAAATAAAAATAGCTGGCTCACTTCACTGTTTTCGTTGAGTCTTATTTTGTCTTCTTTTCCTTTTTGTTTTTCAAAAAGTTTTCGTTCTTTTGTTGGGTTAACCATAATTTGGCATGATGTTTTAAATTAGCGTTTATGAAGGATATCATTTACTTGTACCAATATATTTTTATATGTATATATTCAACAAAATATCTATCGATGTGTATAATATTTTGTATAGATTGGAGTTTCATTTTTTTTTTTTTTTTTTTTTTTTTTTTTTTTTTTTTTTTTTTTTTTTTGATTGGAGTTTCATTTGTTTGAATCATGTATAGTATAGTATTTACAAAATGCTGTATGAAATCATAATGTGGCCGGTTTTAATTATTTGAAAACGGGTTATCGTGCATGCTTAAAATTTAGAAAGAAAAACAGTGACTATTTTCGAAGTTTATGTAATCGGAAAAAAATAAAACAAAAGCTATTCACAACTCATCAGGAGTTTGATACTCGTCCCAAGATTGCTACTGAACCACACAATTAAAGTGAGCGTGATAATAGTCGTGTCAAACAATAAACACAATTTTTGTGTGATGCCATTATTGCTTTCAATTTTCAAATGATTTTTTTTTTTTTCCAATTAAGCTTGTTCCTGCATTACTTATTTTGGGGAAATTTTATTTCATTGAGATTTGTTGTCAACGATTAGATAATAATAATATAGTGCTATATACTGTATTATATGGTAAAGATTGATTAACTAGCACGCAAATATTTCAAGCTTCATCATTTCATTTACTAGAATGTTTTAAGCGAATGCATGGTAAATCTGAACAACTTGCATTCAAAAAATTCATAGTGTGACAAGGTCGAATTCCAAAGTTTTAAATATTTTCGTTAAAATTAAAACCTTCACGTAAAAATATAATATTTGACTTTAGTAAAAATTAACTAGACCAGAATGTCAAAAGACAACGTTCCATGAGTTGAGCTTAGCTTAGCTTAATTTGGAGATACAAAATGATTAGAAACAACGACTAATATTCCAATTACCTTTACAAACACACAAGGGTCATAACTTATTCAGTTCGTTTGCGTTTGAGGGATTTGATCTCGTGTAACAAGTACGTAATCCCTTCTTTAAGTGTAGCTTTTCTTCCTTGCTTGAAATTCCAAAGTGTCGGGACTGAGTACCTATCACTTGGATTAAACTCATTAAACTCCTCCAGTGCTCTCTTAACTGCGTTTTTCACTTCATCTCCCCACTCATCTCTCAATTTCATGAGTTTCTCATCTTCTTCATCTACAAATTCCTGCTTGTTAAAATGAAATAAAAACAAGGTTAACTAAGATTTAATAGTAGAAAGAAAAACCAAACTGAACCGATATAACCCAAATATGATGAGACTGAACTGAAATTTCAACAAGCCAAGCAAAAAAACTTAATTCAAATTCTTCTTGTTCAACTAAAGATTAACAAACTATCTTTGATTAATTTTTGGTATAAATCAAAATACATGAATCGTCGAAGAGACGTAAACAAACCTTTGAACCGTCTTCGTCCTCCAACACTTTGAACGGTACCCATGAAAGATCATTTATGTTATGTTGCCATTTCGAATAAAGCATAGCAAACTGAAAATAAACTTCGTCACCAGTGAATCTCTGGTTGCACACATTCAAGAACGGCTTCACATCAATTTCTCCCAACCTCTTTACTCCAATCGTCGTTCGATCATCCGATATCTCTCTCAATCCCTGTTCATCATAACAAAAAACTGAGCCGTGAAGACAAGCAAACCATGCCAACACTCTAGAACATCAATATATATATACCGTAATCAATTCTTCACGTGCTTCTTCTATCTCCTCACTGCTTCGACGTTCTTTTATGACGAGGATCGTGTTCCTAATCTCTACTTCTTTTAGCTCAGAACACTTCTCCTCTAGCTTTTCATTCAACTCTTTCATTTTCTTCTTTGCCTCCTCATCATCTCCGTCATCCACATGCTTCATCATCTTTTCCTTGTGCATGTACGAATAAACGAAGAAAGTTATTTATTTTGAGTTTTTGACTTCGCATGTACGAGTAAAAATCTACTTCCAAGATTGTGTTATTGAGCCACACAAAGTTTAATTAAAGCAACCCTGACAAGTGACAAGTGACAAGTAAGAAGTCGTATCGTTTCGAATAAGATTTCATAATGACTTTTTGTTTTCCAATAAAACTTTCCTTCTGTTTAAGATTTGACATTTGACTTGAGGGGCTACTAATAACCCATAAACGGTATCGTTTTAAGTAGCACCAGAATTAGTTTTAGGCCCAATATGAGGCACATTAGTTCACATTATAGGCCCAATATATTAAGTAACACCAGAAAATGTGCGAAAAAAGAAACTCAATTTCGGGACTGAATTTACAAGACATTGTTCACTAGATCGAAAGAAGAAGAAAGATTCAAACTCTCGAACTAGTGGCGATTGAATTTTTCTCAGCAACATTACATAAGTTTAATATAACTCAATAAGAAAACGTAAAATTTAAAAGACCCTCCATGGGTTTAGATAGCTTAGTTTCGAGAGAAGTAATGACTAACAAAAGAGGTCGAGAGTTTAGTTTAGAGATTCCAAAGCTCAAACACATGGGTACTTGCGTTTGCGAGATTTGATCAAATACATCATTTCAGTAATCCCTTCTTTGAGTGTGGCTTTCCTCCCTTGTCGAAAATTCCAAAGTTCCGGAACTATGTACCGACCACTTGGGTTAAACTTGTTGAATTCCTCGAGTGCTGTCTTAACAGAGTTCTTCACATCGTCTCCCCACTCTTCTCTTAAAGCCTTAAGTTTCTCATCTTCTTCATCCACAACTTCCTGCGAAGAATATCCATTTAACATTCACAAGAAATCAAAACATTTAAAACAGGACAGTTTGAAAGAGACAGAACGAACCGTCATATTTTCTCCAGTCCCAAGGAGTTTGAAAGGGTGCCACGCTGGATCCTGAAGGTTATCCTGCCATTTCGAGCAAAGCATGTCAGCCTGCACCGTTGCTTCTTCACCGGTGAATCTCTCCTTACATGCCTCTAAGAAGGGCCTTTCGTCAAGTGCTCCCATTCTCTTGACTCTGATCGTGGAATTCTTGCCAGCTAAATCTCTCAATTCCTGCAGAAGATGCAAAAAAAAGAGACTTAATTCGTACATCCCCACAAAAAACACACTCAAGAATCGTGAAAAATATTTACCTTAATCAATTCAAGGCGTGCTTCATGAATCTCATGGTTGCTTTGACTCTCTTTTACGCAGAGGGCAGAGATCGTATCCTTCATATCTTCCAGCTCTTCGTTTTTCTCTTTGAGCTCTTCAATCATTTCGTTCCATGTTATCCTCTGCTCTTCATTCAAGTCCTTCATCTTTCTCTTTTTTATTTGGTGGGTTGCTTTCATCTCCTTCATCTTTCGTCTTCTGCTATTTATTGTATTGAACAACCACACAATCATAATTAAATGCAAGAGTGATAAGAAGTCGTATCGTTCTGCATTTAAGATTCTAGTAATGATTACTTTCGTTTTCCAACTCAACTTTTTATTGCATCCCACCGTTCTTTTGTTAAGATTACGAGGGCACTTTAATTACCCTCAAAAACCGAAATACAATCGAGTGATAGAAGGCCCATTAATTTGCATATTCCATAGGCCCAATACACCGGTTAGGGACACTGCTTTAGTATTATTACTAAATTACGGTTTACGACCGGTTGGTTGAACAAATTGATTGAACCATACTCCGGGATCCGGTAAAGTTTCTAGGACCCGAAGCCTCTGCACTCATGGAGAGAACAATGGGAACAAACTCAAGAAGATTGGAATCTAGTGTTGTTACTAGAAACTGGATAATCTCGATTTCGTGAAACCTACAGAGATATTGCTCACTGAATCATCAAAGAAGGAGATAATTTACGCCGGAAGATTCAGTTTTTAACAGATTCCCCGACTCCCGAATTAGTTTTGAACTTGACATAAGTTTAAAGTTAGGGGCTTTTCTTATGTACCACCTATCCAACCGCAAATGATGACGAAGGCGTCAAAGCCCATTAGAAAAGTCAAGCCAAGGGTTTTGGATTAGATCGTTTTTGTTCCTGTATTCTTGAATTAAAAGTTTTTTTCTTTCTTGTTCAGAACTCAGAAACACGATGAAATTGGCCTCCAGCTTGGTTCCTCATCAATGGCGTCTTTTAACATCACCCCAGCTTTCTCTACAAGCTTTCATTTTCTCCACAGGTACTTACTTAGTCTCTCATTTTGTCATCAATGGTTTCGTTTTTCTCCTCCTCTTACCTCTCTCCCTCTCTCTCACTCTTCTTCAGCCAACACCACAAAGTCTCACACTTTCTGGTCTCCAACTTTGCGTCAATGTCGGAATCTTCAGACGGCTGTTTCTCCAATCGTCAGTTCAAGCTACTTGCCCACTTCCTACATTACTCAGAAGCAGATTGAAATCCCTACCTCCCCTGTATACTTATTCCCTTTTAGAACCCTTGTTTACTCTTCTTTGAATAAAAGTGTCGAGCTTTGGGTTCCAATTTGTTTGGAAAGTTTTGATTAAGACAAAAACGAATTTGGATTTGGTTTGCAGGAAAAACAATCGCCGCCAGTGCAGGAAGGTTTGGGTGCTTTTCAAAAACTGCCCATGGTGATGCCATCTATTGATTTATATTGTTCTGCTCTCAGGAAGTCCAAAAGAGTCCAACCAACTAAAGGTAAGTTGATTCCCTATCTTATTTATTGTTTTTCTTCACCCATTAACTTCTTCAAACTCTTTAACAGAGTCTTTGTCCATTTTTGGTCTCAGGCATTGCTAATATTGCAAAGCGAGAGAGAAATAGAGGTGCTAAACAGCTTGATGCATTCATGAAAGTGAGTTCATTGCATACTTCGCTGTGTTTTCAATTGAAATTCTGAGATGATTGTTGTCTTACCAAATCAGAAGTTGCTTTTTGTTTAAGGAACTGGCTCTTCCTTTAAAAGGATACATGGAAAGTTTTCCAAGGAAGAGACTCTTGCATCCATATGAAAGGTCTCTTATTGACTTGACACTTGGTGATGGAAAGTATGAAGAGGTATCTATTTTGCATCCCCTCTAAGTAATTCCGCATCTTAGCCTGCAACTGATGTTAGCATTGACTTATAAATTACGTTTTTAGGTGTTAGGAAAAGTTGATGTTCTGAGGAAGAAGGTGCTATCTGTTGGAAAGGAACATGCTTCTCTCTGCGCCAAGGTCAGACTCCTCGATTATGTCAAAAGCATATTGTATTTTTCATTTTAGTTAATCTCATATACTGTAGATTGTGATTGGTACTACATCAGTATAGGCCTTATAAGCTTCATACCGATCCCATTGTTTCATCTTATTCTATCATATATCAGTACAGGAAAATTTAAACATCTTTCAATTTCTTTGCAGGCTTTGTCAAAGAAAGAGGCAGAGGAACGCTTGAACGAAGGTGTGGAGAAGCTTGAACTGGTTTTCCAACAACAAGGAAGAGCTGTTGATGATTTGCTAAGTATAGCGAAGGTTCCTTGCTATGAATCATTTGCTTTTCTCTTCCAGTGGTTTGACCCTTTTGACTTAATTATCAGATCTGTATGTATGAAAAGAGCTACGCATTTTGCAGGTTTTGAGGGCTATGCCAGTTGTTGACTTGGAAATGCCGACTCTTTGCCTTGTCGGAGCACCAAACGTTGGCAAATCATCGTTGGTCCGCATTCTTTCAACAGGGAAGCCTGAGGTCTGCCATATGTCCCAATCTCTTTAATGTGACATTAACATTGTCTAGTGCTTATAGTTTTTTGGTTTGTCAGATTTGCAATTATCCTTTCACAACCAGAGGAATTCTGATGGGTCACATCGTTTTAAACTACCAACGATTTCAGGTTACATTACTTACTTTGCTGCGGCTAATCATCTTCCTCATGATTTAGATTATTTAATCATCTAGAAACGCATTGCAGGTTACAGACACCCCTGGCCTTCTTAGGAGATGTGATGGTAAAGTCTAGTTGCTACGAACTCTCTGGTGGAAGAATAATTTTCTGATGTTAGATTAAGTCTTGATTGTTGTTTTTTTGGTCATTACAGAGGATAGGAACAATCTAGAGAAGTTAACTCTTGCTGTACTCACTCATCTTCCAACCGCGGTTCTATATGTTCATGATCTAACTGGAGAATGTGGGACTTCTCCTTCTGACCAGGTATATGAGTAAGAAACAAATCCTTATGGATTTCATTGCATAAAATGTGCCAAAGGAAGTATAATGTGCACCGTTATCTCATTTTATTGGGTCTAAAGAATACAGAGAATTGAGTGTGAGCCAAAAAATTGGGTCTGATATATCCTGATTCAGTTATATATGTGTTCTGAGGGCATTGCAGTTTCGAATTTATAAAGAGATGAAAGAGAGGTTTAAGGATTACCTGTGGATTGATGCTGTGTCCAAATGTGATCTGCTGGGCGGCTCACTGGTGATGTATGCCAAAGAAGATAGAAGCAGCGATGACGCAGAAATAATTAAGTACAGGGAAACAGGACCTGATGAATCAATTCATGTCTCAGTGAAAACAGAACAAGGTCTCAATGAGGTAGGAATCTTACCAGAAATATTTGATGTCTAAAGAAAGCACAAGTGTGTTTTGAGTGGTCTGTTTCTCTGTATGGCTTGCAGCTAAAGAGCAAAGTAAAGGAAGTACTGAGTAATGAGATGGAGAAGATCAAAAGTGGAGAGAAAATTGATCTAAGTGTTGGTACTTGTTAAGATCATGTGTATATGGAAACAGGATGGTGGTAAAAAAGATGATGATCAAGACGACATCGCTTCCTGCAAGGAAGAAGTTGGAGATAGAAACGGCAGTGGCCAAGCTACAAGCACTTCAAACGAAAGATCAATGGGAGCTTACCATCAATTGTTTCTGATGGACTTTGCTTCCAATCTTTTCAAACTAAATATTCAAAGATCGAAATTTTTTAGTATGGTAAATCTGAATAATCTCCTATTAATGTTATAGCTATTTCTTTCCTCCCTTGTTAGTGGTTTTGGTACGCATATATATTTATTTTAGCAATAATGCAGGATTAGATTATAAAAAAAGAAAGAGAGAAAAATGTTGCAAAGCAAAATTGTGACGCACAAAAAAAGGAACGTTCGTAATAAGAATTAGAAATTGTCAGAAGTACACAGAAACAAGAAAACTTGTGGAGAACAAAAAAATATCGGATTCAGAACAGAGAAAAATATTAAAAAAAAATTAAAAGACAAAAAAAAATTAGAAAAGACAAAATCGATAACAATATTATCTCTTCTTCTCTCCTTCCATTTTCGTTTTCGATAAACCACCACATCCTCTGAAACCCTAGGCACGACAATCGCCGCCGTCTCTAGAAACGTCCATCTACTTCGGCTTTGTTTAACAGGTTCGATCTATCGCCGCCGTCTTATGTCAATTTCTGTGTTCAATTTTGGTTTTCGTCGTGATTTCTGGGTGGATTTGTTGAAATTGAATATTCGATTTTGCTTTGTTGGTGTTTGATTTTACCGCAGATTTGATGAAACCAGATCGGGTCTACCTCTAGATCCGTTCTAGGTTTTTGATTTTCACCGTCTTATCATCATTATCATCATCAATCCAGATGCTCACCAAATTCGTCATTCATAGACATGTCTCTGTTTCTGAAAGACGATTCGATTCAAATTCGCGAAGTATGGAACGATAACCTTGAAGAAGAAATGGATCTGATCCGAGATGTCGTCGACGATTTCCCTTACGTCGCCATGGACACTGAGTTCCCCGGAATCGTCGTCCGACCTGTCGGAACATTCAAATCCAACGCTGATTACCACTACGAAACCTTGAAGACGAACGTCAACATCCTCAAGATGATCCAGCTTGGCCTCACTTTCTCCAATGAACAAGGCAACCTCCCAACCTGTGGAACAGACAAGTATTGCATCTGGCAATTCAATTTCCGAGAATTCGATGTCAATTCTGATATCTTCGCTCTCGATTCCATCGAGCTTCTCAAACAATCAGGCATCGACTTAGTGAAAAACACGCAAGACGGGATCGACTCCAAGAGATTCGCAGAGCTCTTAATGTCATCAGGGATTGTGCTGAACGAAAACGTGCATTGGGTTACATTTCACAGTGGATACGATTTCGGATACTTGCTAAAGCTCTTGACTTGCCAAAACCTGCCGGATTCGCAAACAGACTTCTTCAAGCTGATCAATGTTTATTTTCCGACGGTGTATGACATTAAACACCTGATGAAGTTTTGCAACAGCCTTCACGGTGGTCTGAACAAGCTTGCGGAGTTGCTAGAAGTGGAGAGAGTTGGGATCTGTCACCAAGCTGGTTCGGATAGTTTACTCACGTCATGTACTTTCAGAAAGCTCAAGGAGAATTTCTTCGTTGGTCCGTTGCAGAAATATTCTGGTGTTTTGTATGGATTAGGGGTTGAAAATGGTCAGGTTGCTATCTAAAAAAAATGAAATAAAAATTCCTTAAAACTATTTTCTCTCTTTTTCCATTATAAGAATGCTGGTATGCATCATGACCACACTTATAACTCTAAAAGTTTGAATCTGAATTCAAAATTATTGAATGAAACATGAAAATGAAGAGGTATGATGACACAAAGTTGAACTGTTTTGTGTCTAAAAATAAAGGCTCAACTTTTTTAACTTACGAGCTCCGTACCGTTGGAAAATAACGGGGAAAAAATCTGAACGGAAAAAATGTTGGTTAATGTATGGATGATGTTTTCGTGGGCCTAATGTAAGGGCCATTGTTGCTATCAGATAGGGCGATTAAATTTACTCACGTCTTGTACTTTCAGAAAGCTCAAGGAGAATTTCTTCGTTGGTCCGTTGCAGAAATATTCTGGTGTTTTGTATGGATTAGGTGTTGAAAATGGTCAGGTTGCTATCTAAAAAAAATGAAATAAAAATTGGGAAAAATGTCAAAAAAATCATGAACTTTCAAATTTGGGACGATTTAATCTTGGACTACGATGAAGACATTTAAATCATAAAGTTTTTGTTGACTTTACAATTAATTAGCGAAGTTTGTTTGACTCGCCATTTTAGACACATCGATTTCATTTTCTAACCCTAGAATCTCAATCTCTCTCTCTCGCTTCCCTCTGTTGAAATTCCGATTGATGATGGCTAAAACTCGTGGGGGGAAGAGAAGAATTCCGGTTCGGCGGTCACCGCGACTGAGTCAAGCAGCAGCCGCGGAAAATTTCGGACCAAATCCTACGAAAAATTTCGGACCAAATCCTACAGAAGCGAAGCTGAGCTTCCGCGGCTGCTGCTTGACTCAGTCGCGGTGACCACCGAACCGGAATTTAGCCATCATCAGTCGGAATTTCAACAGAGGAAAGCGAGAGAGAGAGATTGGGATTCTAGGGTTAGAAAATGAAATCGATGTGTCTAAAATGGCGAGTCAAACAAACTTCGCTAATTAGTTGTAAAGTCAACAAAAACTTTATGATTTAAATGTCTTCATCGTAGTCCAAGATTAAATCGTCCCAAATTTGAAAGTTCATGATTTTTTTGACATTTTTCCCAATAAAAATTCCTTAAAACTATTTTCTCTCTTTTTCCATTATAAGAATGCTGGTATGCATCATGACCACGCACTTATAACTCTAAAAATTAGAATCTGAATTCATTCACTTGAAAATGAAGAGGTATGATGACACAATTGTCTCAAGTTGAACTGTTTCGTGTCTAAAAATAAGGCTCAACTTTTTTAACTTGCGAGCTCCGTACCGTTGGAAAATAACGGGGAAAAAATCTGAACGGGAAAAATGTTGGTTAATGTTTTCGTGGGCCTAATGTAAGGCCCATTGTTGCTATCAGATAGGGCCATTAAATTACAGTCAGTATTTAATGATCTTAAGTCTCTTCTTCGCGCAAGCTTCGGTCATTATCATCTGAGGTTAGTGACTTCACACTCTTCTTCTCCGACGATTCCCATTCCCAAGTTCATTTTCGTGACATTTCTGCGTTTCGGGTTTCTGTGTAATTGTTGAAGTTTTGTCTTACGAGCCGGCCTCTCGTTGGTTTTTTCGATTTAGGTATTGCCATGTGAGACTAACATTTGGCTCGTTTACTCGCAGATAAAAGAGAATTTCTTCTGATCGTAAACGCATTCTTCAAAGGACGTGTCTGGGTAAGTTTTTATGGTGTTTCTGGGTTATTGCTCTGATTTTCTAGTTGAAAATCTGCTGATTTGGTGAAAGATATAGCGTTTCTAGGGTTTTCTTCCTGGTCCAGGGGTTAGCAAATTTGTAACGTGTCTGTGATATTAAACGCATTAACTAGTTATTATTGTTCATTTGTAGTTGAAGCTTCAAGATTTTGATTTCTTACATCTTTGTTGCCAAAATTTTACTATTGTTTTGTTTGGCGTATAAAGTCCACTCTTAGTTGCTTATTTCTTCTAATATGAGTCTTCTAATTTTCCCTGCAGAACCTGTTTTGTTTCTTAGATCTGTCCTTTGTCAACTAATCCTATAAATCTGGTGAAAACTCTTTGTTACAGCCCACCTGCTAGAATGGATAACAGTTCTGATGAAGAGTCAGAGATCAGTGAGTCTGAGATTGATGTCTATTATGTAAAACCTTACGAGCTACTGAAGAATGGGGAGTACAAGGTTAAGGTGAAGGACACATTCAGGTGCCCCTTTTGTTCTGGGAAGAAGAAGCAGCATTACAAGTATAAGGAGCTACTTGCTCATGCGTCTGGTGTTGCCAAAGGATCTTCGAGTAGAAGTGCTAAGCAAAAAGCTAATCACTTTGCCTTGGCAAAGTACATGGAGAACGAGCTTGCTGGTGATGCTGATGTCCCACGCCCACAAATTCCCTCTTCCTCATCGAAGCAGTCTCAAGCAGTTGTGGATGACATTTATGTCTGGCCTTGGATGGGGATTGTCATCGACCCGGTAAGAAGAACTGATAACAAGAATTTGCTCCTTGATTCAGCCTACTGGTTGAAGAAGCTCACCAGATTCAATCCTCTTGAGGTGAAAACCCTTTGGCTTGAGCAGGATTCCGTAGTTGCCGTCATTCCTCAGTTTAACAGTGGTTGGAGTGGGTTTAAGAGTGCCACAGAGCTTGAGAAGGAATATGAGATTAGGGGCTGCGGCAGAAAGGACTGGATTGATAAAAGAGGAGACTGGAGGTCTAAGGCTTATGGTTGGTGTGCACGTGCAGATGACTACAACTCTCAAGGGTCGATAGCAGAGTACCTGTCCAAAGTAGGAAAACTGAGAAGTTTCTCAGATATCTCCAAGGAGGAAATTCAGAATAAGAATATTGTGGTGGATGATCTAGCAAATAAAATTGCTATGAAAAATGAGGATCTGAACAAGGTGCAGTTCAAGTGCAATGAGAACGCGATCTCTCTGCGCAGGGTTCTTATAGAGAAAGGCGAGCTGGACCGAGTTTATAAAGAAGGTTTGTACTGAAAATGATTGCTTATATATCACCCCAGCTGCATTCGAGTTTATGCCTTTGACTCGTCTCTGTACTTTTCTCTCCAGAAACAAAAAAAATGCAGGAGTTTTCGCGGGAGAATATCAACAGGATCTTTAGAGAAAAGGAGAGGCTAACCAATGAACTGGAGGCTAAGATGAATAATCTGAAGGTTTGGTCCAAACAATTGGACAAGAAGCAAGCACTAACTGAACTGGAGAGACAAAAGCTTGATGAAGACAAGAAGAAGGTTAATATTTTGTCATTGTAGTATACTTATGCGTTGATGTTTTCCAGGGTACTGATGATCTTTTTGTTTTCCCTTGTTATGGCAGAGCGATGTTATGAACAGCTCCCTCCAGTTGGCTTCACAAGAGCAGAAAAATACAGATGATCGTGTCCTGAGACTTGTGGAAGAACACAAGGTCTGTTTTCAGTAAATGGTCAAACTAGATCTATCAGTGTGTGTCAAGTTCCAGAAAAACATTTTTCTTGTTTGTGTTTAAAGATTCCAACTTTCTTCTTTCTGAACTCCAGAGGAAAAAAGAAGAGACGTTGAACAAGATCCTTCAGCTTGAGAAGGAGCTAGACAGCAAGCAGAAACTTCAAATGGAGATTCAGGAGCTGAAAGGAAAGCTGAAAGTCATGAAGCATGAGGATGAAGATGACGAGGGCATCAAGAAGAAAATGAAGAAGATGAAGGAACAGCTAGAGGACAAGTGTTCTGAGTTACAAGATCTAGAGGAAACTAACTCGGCTCTCATGGTAAAAGAACGTCAAAGCAATGATGAGATACTAGAAGCACGCGAATTTTTGACGACGGTAATATATTTTAAATGCTTCCATGTTCTTGGGTGCTAGTGTAATATGCGCTAGTGAAATGCTAGTGAAATGTTGGTGACATGGTCAAAATCTGTATGATGAGGATGCACAAGGGTGATTTCCCAACTGCTTTAGGATTCTGTTAAACAGCGTCACAGATGCTCACCATGATATAGAGTCCAGAATCTGTGAATAGTTCCAACAGCCATAGTGGAACCTGAGCTGTGAATGATGAATTGTTTGCATGTTTTGGGTTTTTTTAGGAATTGAGAGAACTGTTGAGTGATAGAACCATCATCAGAGTAAAGAGGATAGGAGAACTTGAGGAAAAGCCCTTCATGACAGCATGCAAGCAGAGATTCACAGTTGAAGAAGCTCAGGTGCAGTATGCCATGCTTTGCTCGAAATGGCAGGAAAACCTCAAGGATCCAGCGTGGCACCCATTCAAACATGTTGGGACTGGAGAGAAAAAGAAGGTTTGTTTATGCCTCCTGTTACATGGAGATTCTTTCATACTGGCCCTCTGTGCCACTTCAGTAGCATTTATTGTGGTGAACTAGTAGTGATGGTGTTGTTATATGGAAATGGTGTAGGAAGTGGTGGATGAAGAAGATGAGCAAATTAAGAGTCTGAGAGAAGAGTGGGGAGAAGAAGTGAAGAATGCAGTGAAGACAGCACTGGAGGAGCTTAATGAGTTTAATCCTAGTGGCCGGTACTCAGTCCCAGTACTGTGGAATTCGAAGCAAGGAAGAAAAGCCACACTGAAAGAAGTGATTGATTACATGACGCAGCAGATCAAAACTCTCAAACGCAAACGACCCTAAAAGGTAATCACTATTTTGTTCCTTAAGTTAGTACTTTGTAGTATTGTCTTCTCATTGATCTTGGTACACAAAGAATCTTAGGCTTGACATAGATTTGCTTATGCATTAGTAAAGTCTACAGAGTCGTTTTGTGTCATAACTTGCAAATAAAATTCTTTTTGTTTTAGAATGAACACACATAAACTAGGGATTTTCAGCTGGTTTAGGATATGGTCATATTGATTTGAACCTGTAAAGAGTATTATTGAAAGTTGAAACCAAGTGGATGTGTTCTTGTGTTGCAGGAAACAGATACTGGAGGAGAGAGAGAGATAATTTGGTCGATGGTTTCAAACTTTTAATCGTTTAATTAGGCCATTAATAAATTTAAGACCTGTATATGTTTTGTAAAGTGTTGGGGCTTCTCTGTCTCACGGTGACTCATGTGTATACAATTTTCTTAAAACTATTATCTGAAATTAATGGGCTATGAGCCTGGCAAATAATATGTGTTAGTTCTTTCCGTACGGATATCGTGGGCTTAATGAAAGGCCCACTGTTGCTATTAAACAGGCCCAATAAGTTGCAATCACTGGCTTTTTCATATATAAAAAAAGATGTAAAGTTTTTTTCTTCGCGCAGCCATCTGAGGTTAGTTCTCTTCATTCCTCTTCTCCGACAGTTCTGATTCTGAAACTCAATTTCGCGAAGATTTTTCTTTCGCGCCGACTCTCAGTTATTTGTCGATTTAAGCGTTGCCTTGTGAAACTAACATTGGCCCTTTTACTCGCAGATAAATCGGATTTCTTTCTGATCCTAAACGCATTCAAATAGGAAACATGTCTGGGTAAGTCTTTTTTTGTTTTTTTATTGGATCATTGTTCTCATTTTCTATTTTTGAATCTGCTGAATTGGCTATGGATACATCCTACTTGGAGGGATTTTTCTGGGTTTTTGATTTTCATTTCATTTGATTTTTTTTTTATATTAGATTGAATGTTGTTGTCTGTTGGCAATTGAAAGTTGAATTTTGAATTTTGAATTTTACTCTTCTTACGTTGGATCGTCCTATATATGCATTTGTCAAATCATCTAGCTAATGGTTCTCTCTGTCTTGTTTGTTAGTGACTGGTCTTCTTGTGTTTATACAATGTTTTCTTTGATCATAACTTCACAATGCAAGTGGATCCTTTTTCAAAACTGACCACTATAACAGATAAAAGTTCATGTTTATTTGCCTTTCTGTTCTAATGAGTTGTTCTATAATTTGCTGTTTGAAGCGATGAGGCTGCTCCTGTTGTTCCTCCTGTTGTTGAGCCAGCTGCTATTCCGGAGGACATGGATCTGATGACTGCATTGGAGCTGACCCTTAGGAAGTCACTTGCTCACGGTGGTGTTACCAAAGGTCTTCATGAAAGTGCTAAGCTCATTGAGAAGCGTGTTGCCCAGCTCTGTGTTTTGGCCGAAGACTGCAACCAACCTGATTATGTCAAGCTTGTTAAAGCTCTGTGTGCAGATCATAGCATCAATTTGCTTACCGTTCCAAGTGCCAAGACCCTTGGTGAATGGGCCGGTGTAAGTCTTCTGTTTTCTAGCTTGTTAAGTTTGTCTTGTGGTGTTTTCGCCTTAAAGTTAGATGCTTGTAATGACCAATGTACTATGTGGTGACAGCTCTGCAAGATCGATTCAGAAGGCAATGCTAGGAAAGTGGTTGGATGTTCTTGTGTTGTAATTAAGGTAAAGAAAGACCTTATACTCAAATCTTCTTAACTTGGTATAGACTCTTGACACTTGTGGGTTTCTGTGATTGAATGATTGCTTTTGCTTGTCGCAGGATTACGGAGAGGAAACAACTGCACTCAACATCGTGAAGAAGCATCTTGAATCTCACTAAATGCAAGAGAAAGCATTTCAATGTCAAATGCAAGGATAGATAAAATATGCTTTGTTTCCCCTTGTTGTGTGTTTCTTCTTGTTTAGAGGATTGCTCTCGGAATTTGTTTGGATCCATAAGTTATGTAAGGCTCTAGTCTTCCAAGACTCATCACGATTTGCATTTTCAGAACTCTCTTTATAAAATTTAGCTCCTTTCTATAAATCAAGTTACTATTATTCGTATCAAGTAACAAAATTGGTCTTACACTTTCACGGTTAAGAAGGCGGGAACATGTGTTATCGAAAAAGTAAAGTTTTTTACATTTATGTCTCTGCTTCATTCTTACACCGAATCTATGCATATGCCTAAACAAAATGAAGAACAATTATGGAAACAAATTTATGATTCAACACAATCTAGATGTTCACTGAAAATTTAAGAAAAAAAATAAAAACCTAAATTTCCAAAATTTGTGTCCCTTATTGAATCGATACCACTTGCCTTTTTTACCTTTTGGAGATGATTCTAATTTTGTAATTAGTAATATATATAAATAAGTGATTTTTGCATGTTTAACCACACCGCTTAACCTCAGAATCACCCGAAAGCTCTCTCCTTTTTCTTGCTCTGACCTTGAGGATTTGAAGCGTTGCCGTCAACTACAGGGTTTTTTTTTGGCACAGTTTGTTTGATTACGTTTTTTTAGGGTTTTGAAGTTTGAGATTGTTTGGGGAAGAAGAACAAATGACTGCTATTGTTGGATTTGACCATTTTTCGAAAGCACTCATCGATGCTGGAAAGAATCTTCTTAGCCCTCCTTCTTCAACTGACGACCTTCTTACTCTTCTCGATGTACAGTTTCTCTGATTCTTCTTCCAACCAAAATCGTTGCTTTTGCTATTTAGTGTTTGTTGGAATAGATTCTGTTAGGTTTGGATTCACGAAATGCGATTAGGGTTTCTCTTTCTTGCCAATAAGGAAAGCTTGATTGTTGATTTTAGTTATATGTTTGATCAAATCTCGGTGCTTTTTGTTGAATTCGTTGCGTTTTCCACTTTTCTGGGGTATTTAACTTGTTAATTTGGTTAAAGGCGAATCCTTTTTCGTTGAATTTCTAATTGAAATTTATCTGGCGTAGGAAACTGAGTCTCTGCTTAAAAATGTGGAGCAAGATCAACCATTATCAATGCAAAGCGCCCTAATTCCATCGAGGAATGCTTTGGTATCTGTTGACCTTTTAAGCCATCCTGATTCTGATGTTAGGGTTTCAGTTGTCTCTTGCTTAACCGAGATTGTGAGGATTACTGCCCCTGAAGCCCCTTACAGTGATGATCTAATGAAGGTAAATCAAATTCCACTAACACTCTATTCAATTTCATCTCTCTCTCTCTCTCTCTCTGTGTCTTTAATTTTCTGTTGGTTCCTACTTCTTTGGTATTACAGGATATCTTCAGGTTGACAATAGAAGCTTTCGAGAAATTAGCTGATGCGTCCTCCCGCAGTTATAGGAAAGCCGAGTTTGTGCTTGATAATGTTGCAAAGGTCAAATCGTGTTTGGTGATGTTGGACTTGGAATGCTATGACCTCATTCAACAAATGTTTCGGAACTTCTTGAAAATCATAAGGTAGATTAGATATACAAAACCTTATTTACAATACTTGAGAAACTCTTTAGATTATAGACTGAATGGGGGTTCTTTTGGGTGTATATCTAATAGATCTGATCATCCTCAAGTGGTATTTTCGTCAATGGAAATGATAATGATTGCAATAATAGATGAAACCGAAGAAGTGTCCACGGATTTGCTTGATAGTCTCTTATCAAGTGTCAAAAAGGAAAATCAGGTAAGGTTTCTTCCTATTTCAAGTTTAATTATCTCGCAGTCAATTAACATGTGATTTGATTTTTCTTCTCCTCATGTCTTAGAATGTTTCACCAATGTCTTGGAGTCTTGCGGAGAAGGTTCTTAGTAGATGTGCACGTAAACTTAAACCATACATCATCGAAGCTTTGAAGTCTACAGGGACCAGCATGGATATGTATTCTCCAGTAGTTTCGTCCATATGCCAGAGTGTTTTTGACACTACTAAAGTCCACAATATAATTAACACCAAAGAACATGAGGTATTATATTTGGCGAGCTTGTTCATTTGTAGAGTTTCAGCATCTTTTAATAGTGTTGTTTAACCAAATACCTTGATCTAGGGGAAATTGGATTTGGGGCATTCTGGCAAGGAGAATCTTTCTAAAAGTAGTTCCAAGAGACCTGCAAGAGATGGAACTCAACGAATCAATGAAAAGGAAAAAGTTAGAAACGGAAACAATTCTAGTTTGTTGAAACAGAGTCTGAAGCAAGTGCGGTCTGCAAGTACAGATGCAGAAACAGAATTAGGAATTACAGGGAAGAGAGGACGGAAACCCAATTCTTTAATGAATCCTGAGGATTATGACATTTCTTGGCTTTCGGGAAAAAGAGATCCTTTAAAGACGTCTTCAAACAAAAAGATCCAGAGAAAAGGATCTGGGGGAGAATCATCACTTGGAAAGGTGGCTGCCAAGAAAACACCTTTGCCTAAAGAAACTTCCCCAGCCACTAGTAGTAGGGCTCTGACGGGGTCACTTAAACGAAGCCGGGTTAAGATGGATGTGAGTGACTATGATTCTGATTCTCTTTCTTCACCGAGATTGAAGAAATTGGCATCATGCTTCCGGGATGAAGAAGAATCAAACCAAGAAGAAGATGACAGAAAGATTGGAAACTCCAGCAAAAAGACTAGGTCCCAAAATGGTTTAGAGAAGAGTCAGAAAACAGCCAAGAAGAAGCCAGTTGTAGAAGCTAAGACTGTAAACTCCAGTGGAAAGAGACTATCAGCTCGCTCGGTTGCTAAGAGAAAGAATTTAGAACGTGCACCCCTAGATACTCCTGTTCCAAAATCATCTAAGAGAAAGGTCGAAAGCAAGACAATCATAGATTTCTCTTGTCGAAATAATACTGTTAAACTTTTTGTTGAATTTCACGTTTGGATCAACTGTGCAGAAGATGGTTTCTCAAGTTGCAGCTAGACAATTGGCAGACGAATCTGAAGAAACTCCAAAGAGCCATCCGACAAGGAGACGGACAGCGAGAAAAGAAGTGGTATAATAAGCTTTGTCACCTTCTTTCCCCATTATTAACATTGATTGCCACCTATCTGTTACCATGTGATATATGGATTTCCATCTTTTCAGGAGTCTGATATGAATGGCTTTGGCGAGGATTTGGTCGGTAAGAGAGTCAATATCTGGTGGCCGCTCGACAAGAGGTAAGTGTGCTGGAAACTTGAAGGTTCTTATTTCCAAGTGTACTGTAATCTTTGCTTTTCCGTTGATGGTCTTGCACTGTGCAGATTTTATGAAGGCGTCATAGATTCTTATTGTACTCGTAAGAAGATGCATCGGGTGAGAGAATATCTCTGATCTGCTATTCAATTATGTTCCTCCTATCTGAATCGTGCCTGTTTCTTAATTGATTGAATATGGAATGTTTGTTCCCCCACTGGTTGCAGGTAATATATTCTGATGGAGATTCAGAAGAGCTTAATCTCATTGAAGAACGCTGGGAGTTGCTCGAGGATGACACTTCTGCCGATGAGGTACAAGTTTCTTCATTTTGTTTTGGAGGAAAGTGTAATTGCCGTGCTTAATGATTTCCCCACAATCGATCAGCAGGATAAGGAGATTGATCTGCCAGAGTCCATTCCTTTATCTGACATGTGAGTAAAACGGTTCATTACTGTGATCTGTGTAAAGTTGCAATCTTTATCTCTTATGGTCTTTTCCGGATCTTATGATGTTGCAGAATGCAGAGGCAGAGAGTCAAGAAAAGCAAAAACGTGGCAGTGTCTGTGGAACCGAGTAGTTCCTCAGGTGTAAGGTGTGTGAGAATTTACTAAAATTCAAGTTATTCTTTATGTGAAATTTTGATGATTACTTGTTCTGAGTGAATTGGCGTGTATATTGATGGTGATAGATCCTCAAGTAGAACACCTATGAAGAAGGATTGTGGCAAAAAGTTGAATAAACAAGTTGAAAAAACAAGAGAAGGAAAGAATCTTAGATCGTTAAAAGAGTTGAATGCTGAAACTGACAGGACAGCAGAAGAGCAGGAAGTGAGTCTAGAAGCTGAATCTGATGACAGAAGAGAGGAGGATTTCGAAGATGATAGTAGCGAGAAGCAAGAACAATCCGAAGACAAAGGTGTAGAAGCTGAAACTAAGGAAGAAGAGAAACAATATCCAAATTCAGAGGTTGAGAGTGAAGGAGAGGACTCAGAGTCAGAGGAAGAGCCGAAGTGGAGAGAAACAGATGATATGGAGGATGATGAAGCAGAAGAAGAGAGAGAAGAGGTAGATAATATGGACGATGATGAAGCAGAAGAAGAGAGAGAAGAGGTTGATGATAAAGGGGCAAGCACAAACTTGTCTGAGGTTGAGAAAGAAGAAGATGAAGACGAAGAGAAGAGAGAGTCATGAAGGAGTTATATAGAGTTAAAGCGTTGTAAGCAAAAACCATTTCAGAAAGATTCTTTCTGCTTAGACGCTCTGGTTTTTCTTTCTTAGTAGATTTGTTGTTATTGAACCAAATTATAGAAGATGTCACCTGGTTTGTGTTTGTGTCTTGAGAGTTTGTCACATTTGTAATTCATTTTCGTTGTTACATACTATAAAGTATAAACCATGTTATGAGCCCACACGTTTCTCTGTCGGTTATAAAATCATTTACAACGTGCGACTTTGAATTCTGTACACTACTGATAGAGAAACCACTTGGAAATTGTCTAATTTTTACATTCAACCATCTTCGACTGGACGGCTTTGAATGAGAGACCACTATCCTTGTCCACATATTCTGATTCTAAAAAAAGGTATTAAATAAGTTAATACTCAAACATAAATATAACTTAAATCAGTTGCCAAATAAAGAAATTACTTCAATCATAATTGACTTGAAACATAATCATCATCCTTCTTCTTTCTTGTTAATCCCCATGTTAAAGAATAGATGTATTAACTTGAAACCTTGTTCAAAGATGGCTTGAAAAAGATTTTGCAAAAGAAAATACAACTAGAGGCGTTTTAGTACTCTATTTTTCATTATTAATAAAATAAATACAACTATGCTTAACATTATCTGCATCTAATTTTTTTATTACTTTCATCAAAAATATTAAAAATCAATTACAGTTGTTTTACTGAACAGAATATAGTTATAGTTTTATATTTTAACCACTTACAAAATAATATAATTTTCTCTTAACTTTATAATTTTTAATCCCTTTTTTTTGCACCAATTTTTCAATTATCTTTTATCTTTATGAAATTCACTATCAAAAGGCATATAAATCTTACGGTCAATAATGTTGTACTTAACTTTTGTTGAAAACAAAATATATACGAATCTTTATCATGAAGATACATCAAATTAATCTTTGGTTAACAGACTGAAATACGGATTTAGTCATTTCGGATCAGGGGAACTTTCCTATTAGCAAAAAGTTAGGGCCCAGATTTGAAGTCAAGGTCAATCTTCTCAACTACTCACCAATTGTTTTTTTTTAAGGGGTTTTAAAGAAAATATAAAAATAAAAATTTAGAATAAGATAATGACACTAAGGAGAAACAAATAAAAAATTTAAAAAGCATTGTTCATAGATTTGTATAGAAGATCTTAAAAAAGAACATACGTACGATTACTAGCTTTTTTATCAAGGTCTTCTAGAACTCCATATATTTTGATTTATAAACTCATTAATTGGTTAGATTTTTGTTTTGTTTTTGTTGATGTTAAATAGCAATTTCGTATTCGAAGTGTTAAAAGTTAAATTAAGGTTATATTTTGGCAAAAATAAATACGTAAAAGTCAGATTCACAACACCTTTAATTGACCATTTTGTTTGGCTTTTTAATGCATTTACACTTATCACCTAAAACTTTGAAACTAATGTACTTCTCTAGTGTTCTAAGATAAATTTAATAAACTATTAATCCCAATAATTCTTCATTTACCAAACCCATACTCTTTCAATAAATCAGAACAAAAATATATTAATCTAAGTTTTTCAGTTTGTTCTTTTAAGAAAGAAAAAATTATCATATGTAGACTCACCAACTCTTTAGTCTTTAGTCTTTACCATGGTTAGGTGAAACACGGCAAAGTAATTACAGAAAGAAACTGTAACTTCTTTTGAAGTCTCTATATATACAAATCAAAAACGACACATCATATTCATACCATACTACTCTCTTAAGCCCTATAACCTTCTAAACCATTAAGAGGCTTTGCTCCATTACTAAAAGAAAAAAATGCCTGTCGACGGGAAACTCGTCTGCGTCACCGGAGCCGGCGGCTACATTGCTTCTTGGATCGTTAAGTTACTCTTAGAGAGAGGCTACACCGTTAGAGGAACCGTAAGGAACCCATCTGATCCCAAGAACAATCATCTAAGAGAACTTCAAGGAGCCAAAGAAAGACTCACTCTTCACAGTGCAGATCTTCTCGACTACGAAGCTCTCTGTGCCACAATCGACGGTTGCGATGGCGTTTTCCACACTGCTTCTCCAATGACCGACGATCCCGTAAGTAAATAATTTTTTAATCGCTTGAGGAGAATTAGTATATTACTCTTGTTTTCTTAGTTTTAATTTTCTAAATTAATGTAACTAATTAGGAGACAATGTTGGAGCCGGCGGTGAACGGAGCCAAGTTCGTGATTGACGCAGCGGCTAAAGCCAAGGTCAAGCGCGTGGTTTTCACATCATCAATTGGTGCAGTTTACATGAACCCTAACCGTGACCCTCAAGCCATAGTTGACGAAAACTGCTGGAGCGATCTAGATTTCTGCAAAAACACAAAGGTATGCTTTTATCTATTTAAGTTTTGCTATACCTAGTTTTAGAGATGCCCTAACTCCTTAACAAAGAGTTTTCTGCAATAAAATCGAACATGTGGCTGTAACAAGGTCTACGTCTTTAGCCTTTAAACCGAGACCAGGTTACTTTTGGAATTCTAAGTTTCTTTTTTTTCCTTATAGAATTGGTATTGCTACGGGAAGATGGTGGCGGAACAATCCGCGTGGGAGACGGCGAAGGCAAAAGGTGTGGACTTAGTGGTGCTAAATCCGGTTTTGGTTCTCGGACCACCGCTCCAGTCAGCGATCAACGCTAGTCTAGTCCATATTCTCAAGTACCTCACCGGCTCAGCCAAGACCTACGCTAACTTGACTCAAGTCTACGTGGATGTCCGTGACGTGGCACTAGCCCATGTTATGGTCTATGAAGCACCATCCGCCTCAGGCCGTTACATCCTCGCCGAGACCGCCCTTCACCGCGGCGAGGTTGTTGAGATTCTGGCTAAATTCTTCCCGGAGTATCCACTTCCCACCAAGTAAGTCATAGTTTGGCTCGTTGACACTTTGGTCAAAATTATATCAAAGTCAACACGATTTCGTCGGTCTAATAAATACAACCTTTGATTTACAAAAAACTATTTCTGTTTAGTTTTTAATACGCCAAAAAAATTTATGACTACTTGAACATATCTATTCAAAATTATATAAAAAAAATTAGTTAGGATAAAAGGGACATGAGTGGTATTGGGTATTCTTATGACTGTTGTCCCATTTCCCATATGTTTTAAAAATAAGCACTTGTGGTTGTGGTGGATTGGTGTGTACTAACTCTCACATCACAAAGTCCATGTCATCTATCACCTACTGCTGACGTTGAGATCTTACAAGATCTTATAGTACACGTGTTTGGGTATGTGTTTATACCGAAAAATCAAAAAAGTGTAGTTTTGCAAAGGGTCAAATACCGTTTGACAAATACGGGAGTGTGAATGTTTTTTCTTCACCTACTCCAATATTTGGTCACTAGTTTCATGACTTGTGTGTCTCCTGTAGTTAGTTTAATAATTAATACGTTACTTCAAAGTGATATACAAGAAATCCTTTTCACATTTTCGTATTCTGCTGATTAACTAATGTATTTTGTTTTTTAATGTTACTAGGTGTTCGGACGAGAAGAATCCGAGGGCTAAGCCATACAAGTTTACTACCCAAAAGATAAAAGACTTAGGCTTGGAATTTAAACCCATTAAGCAATCTCTTTACGAATCTGTCAAGAGCTTGCAAGAGAAAGGTCATCTTCCTCTTCCTCAAGATTCGAACCAAAACGAAGTCATCATCGAATCTTAGAACACATCCACGACCCTAGAATACGATCATACCCACATAAAAAGCTTTATTCTAAAGTTATACATACGTTTGATTTTGACTAAATTATTGTTATATATAGCTGATTGTTCTTTCTTTCTTTGGTTGTAATTGAGAATATGTACGCATATGTATTATATGATAATGGAAGCAATGGTTTTATTATCCGATGTTATTATAACGCTGTTTCTTATATAAACCCTATGAGGCAGCCGGGCATTGAGGAATAGCCAGAAAGGTATATTGATTTATCCTAAAGATTTCATTTCAATTGGAATTTGGTTATTCACCATGTATACTACTATGAGCCTGATTAAAAAAACAAAGACAAAGCGATTCTTACAAGGTCTAAGAACCTTTCCACTAGTACTATCGAAAAGTCTTCGTGAACTTGGTTTCAGTCTAATTATTGTTTAATCTTAAATCATTACATATATCTCTATATATATAGCTGATTGTTCTTCCTTTTATTTATTTTTGAATATGTTACATCATGAGTATGAAATGATAATGGAAGCAATGATTTTATTATCCCATGTGTTATTTATAAGGTTGTTCCTACGAAAATCTGATAAAAGAAAAGATGCAAACCAATTCTTATAAAAGGTCTTTATGAACTTGGTTTGGATCTAATTTTATTCGAATATTCCTAAGTTTAAAGATGACTCAATCAACATCGGAGGTAGACACTCTACATGGTAACTGCATGTTGACAATGTCCTGTCTTGGAAGTGTCTCCACATTTTGTGAGTTTCTTGATGCAAGAAGAGGAGTGGCTTCTCTGTTTTTCCGGAAGACAAGGTAAGCTATGGCAGCTAAATAGAGAGCAATGCCTGCGAACCCAAGAATTCCACAGAAGATGACGAGGGCAAGCTTCATATGACTATGGATAAGCAGTTTGATGAAACTGCTTACTAGATAGTAAATGTTTATTCCCATGATTAAACCACCAATGACCCAAGTCAAAGCTGAAATCTGTGAACAAAGGAAACATATGAAGTCAGAGATGATGATGAAAGTATTTCACCGTTTTTCTTTTAAATGAAAATGTGTTTGATTGTTACATACCGCCATTGGGTTGACGTGTGAACCCATCTTGGTTTTGCAGCTAGTGAACTTGAGAAGAGGAACCAACGCGAACGGGAGCTCAAAGGATAAGATCATCTGTGCTAAGATATATTCAATTGATGATTTGACATCGTGTAGTAAGTCATATATACATCATATTTAGAGATAGAAATGATTTTGGTACCGAGGCAATGATGATTAACTTTCCAGCTCCAGCTGAACCGCCAATGAGAGCAACAATTAGACTCGGGATTATAGCTAAGCATCTTGTTAGTAAGTTTCTGAGCCATGGCTCGAGTCTTAGATCAAGAAAGCCCTGCATTACGTATTGTCCAGCATAAGTTCCTGTTATCGTCGAGCTCTGGCCAGAAGCAAGAAGCGCAATCGCAAATAGCTTTGAA